CAACCCACGAACAGTCATTGTCAACCAATCAGGCACACCCGTCACTATGCCTTGGGTGCAAAAAGCCCCTGCAATCCTGCAAGCATGGTACCAAGGCCAAGAAGCCGGTAATGCTCTCGCAGATGTCCTCCTCGGAAACAGCAGCCCAAGTGGCAAACTGCCAACCACTTTCCCAGTGCGGATCGAGGACAACCCAGCATACCACAACTGGCCAGGTGAAAACCTGAAGACCGTCTACGGAGAAGGCATCTACGTTGGCTACAGGCACTACGAGCGTTCCAAGATCGCACCGCTGTTCCCCTTTGGCCACGGCCTCACATACACTACCTTCGGATACGGGTCGCCAAGTGCCAGTGGCACTGTCCTCTCTGAGCACGACGACATCACCATTACCGTGCCTATCACCAACACAGGCTCGGTAGCTGCCCATGAGATTGTTCAGGCATACGTAAAAGACGTCAAGTCTTCGCTCCCGCGCCCAGAAAAGGAGCTGCAGGCGTTTGGCAAGGTGTTCCTGCTACCGGGCGAGACCAAGGATGTGGTCTTGAAGCTGAACAAGTACTCAGTGGGCTACTTCGACACGAGCCTGGGCCAAACTGGCGCCTGGATTGCAGAAGAGGGAGTGTTGGAGGTGTTGATTGGCGCGAGCAGCGCTGATATCAGGTATGTTCTGCCGTGAGTAGCCATGACATTGCGATGCTAACTTTTCGTGCAGGGCCAAGCTAAGCATTCACGTCAATGAGAGCTTCCAATGGATCTTCTAGATAAAGAAGCATAATGATGAGTATCACGATTTTCTTTGATTTTCACCAGCTGGAGAGGCGTTGGTGGTGCACGGGATCGACCGGGTGTGACTGGCATTGCGTTCCGTCTGCTGTTGAGGCCGGGGCTGAGAGCACATATACAGTCGTGTGCATAGGTCTCATTGCCCCGTCAAGCAGAGAAGTCGCCCTACAGAGGCGATTGTTGTCGTGGAGGAGAGAGTCTTGAGGCGGAACTCTAATATCGTCAATGTATAAAGCAGGCTGAGCGCACAACGCAACCCGTAGTAAGCTGCTTGGCAACAACAACTTGAGACAGTGCTCTTGAAAAGTGAACCGTGAGAGTCCCAAATGACAGCTGCACGTGAAGAAAGAAAAAGAAACAATGTCGGGGTCGGATGCAGGATGCACTGGCTGGAGCTGGTGATGGTTCGCTGGCCAGCAACCCCCCCATAGCTAAGCGTGACGAGCCCAGTTGGGTCGGCTACCAGATGACGCGCTGGTTTTCTGCCACTGACCGCCTTCGGGCCGTCTTGTTATCCCGCTGGTCCCTGACAGAGAAACAAGATGCCACCACCAAACCACCATCGCGTCTGCCGGCTGTCCCTGATTGACCGCGCTCCTTGTGTCGCTTAATACTGTCGCATACATCTGCGGCGTCGTCCCCTGTTCTTTTGGCGTGGCCCCCGAGCGACTCCGGCCGCAGTGCTAGCTCGAGCTGCCTTGCTCCTCCTAATCAACAACGGCCGCCCAAGGTCCAACCCGGGACCCTACAACAGCCAGCAACCTCCTACACAACATCGCGACCCTTCCATGAGCTCTACCAGGCGCTGATCCGCCCAAGCCATTCCAACGCGTTCACCCTTCCGGCCACGCGAGGCTCCTTAAACCCGGCGAGCCTGGTAAAGCCGTCATGAATCCGGCGCATCGAGACGGGTGGCCGCCGACGCAGGCCGCCGTGTCCGCGCAGGCTCAGCAGCAGGCAGAGCAGGGCCAGGCGCAAGGCCAGGCGCCGCGCCCTCTTGGCCCCTATGGGTACGTACCATCTACTCGTCCCGCCCGCCGTGGCAGACACAGGCGACCGAGCTGGCGAAATCGCCTTTTCGCCATCATTTGGCTGGATACAAGCTGACTTGAGAGCCACGATAGACCGAACAATTCCAATCCGCAGGCCCCGCCTCATGCGTCACCTGCGCAAGGTCCAGGGCCGGTCCTCCCACCACCGCCTGGTAAGTAGCGCATGCAAACGACGCGCTTGGCCCCTCTGCTAAACTCACCACAGGTGGCGGATATTATTCCTCAAACGCCGCGACCGCCCACAATCAGAGCCTCCCTACGCTTCCAGGATTGACCGCGCAACCCCAGCATTCGTCGCCCCACATGGCTGCACAGCGCCCAACCTCTTCTGATGCGGCGGCGCAAGGCCATCAAGGCCCTCAAGCTCCTCCATACTCGTTGCCAGGGATATCGCAAACGCTGCAGCAGCAACAGCAGCAATCGCAAGCGCAAGCGCAATCGCAGCAGCAGCAGCACCATCCGACTTCGGAGCCAGCAAATGCCGACCGGGAAAGGGAAATGCGCGAGCGCGAAACGAGGGATAGGGAAATGGAGCCGCACGCTATGCACCAGCAAGAAGAAATCGTAAAGCGTGAAGCAGAGCACCGAGACCGGGAGCTTCATGAGCGCCAGCAGCGCGAGCACGCAGCGCTCCAGAATCACTCGACGCCGATGCAGATCCACCAACCGGTTGCAGTGGCACCGTCGGCGCGAACGATACACGGTCCAAACGGCCTGCTAGGACAGTCTGGGCAGATGAACGGACCGAATTCGCTTGCGCCTCCTATGGGTGGCGGTCCGAACGCGTCTGGTCCCATGTACGGCAATGCGCCTGCGCAACACGAGCAGACGACACCTCGAATGCAGCACGCGGTGCAAGCGCCGACCCAAGCCCAAATGCTGATGCCTTTTGCTGGCCCTCCAGGATCAATGGCCATGGGCCAGGGCCAGCAGCCGATTCTCAACGACGCATTGAGTTACCTCGACCAAGTCAAGGTGCAATTCGCCGACCACCCCGATGTCTACAACAGATTTCTTGATATTATGAAGGATTTCAAGAGTGGTGCGATTGATACTCCAGGCGTGATTGAAAGGGTATCGACTCTGTTTGCAGGCAACCCAGCCTTGATCCAAGGATTCAACACATTCCTCCCACCCGGCTACAAGATTGAATGCGGAACCAATGGAGACCCCAACGCAATCAGAGTTACAACACCGATGGGAACTATGGTATCCACCATGCCTGCGCCAAGGCCACTTTCGCCGCCCCGAAGCAATGCCGCGAATGGTAACAATGGCCCACAGCACGAAGGCACCTACTATGAAACCGCGCAAGGTCGACCTTGGCCTCAGCAGCAGAGGCCCCAAGGGCCTGAAGGACAGGAACAAATGTTCTCTCCAAACAATCGTGCCCTAGGCCAGCCTTTGTATGGGCCGCAGCAAGGACAACAGGGCCAGGGCCCGCATTCACCAGAAGCCAATTCGAGGCCGCACCCTGATCCGGCTGGCTCAGCTGCCGCACTGGCTCACCAGCAGGAGCAAAGAGGCGTTTCGCAGCTGCAAAACGCTGTTTCCGCTGCTACCAGTCGGTCGCTCATGTCCCCCAGCGTCGATTCTGCTGCACCCCAAGGGCAACCCATGAACGGCTCTGCGCAACTCCCTCAAATGGGTGGGCCCGCGGCGGAGAAACGAGGACCAGTAGAATTTAACCATGCTATCAGCTACGTAAATAAGATCAAGGTAAGTAAGATTCATTTCAATGCGGATCCACAGACACGGACGCTAACTGCGTCGCAGAATCGCTTTGCAGCTCACCCCGACATTTACAAGAATTTCTTGGAGATTTTGCAGACCTACCAGCGGGAATCGAAGCCTATTCAGGACGTCTACGCCCAAGTCACTCATCTTTTCGGCGGTGCGCCAGATCTTCTGGAAGACTTCAAGCAGTTCCTTCCCGAGTCTGCCGCTCACCACAGAGCACAACAACAAGCAGCTAAGAACGCTGCTGAAGATGCGGTCATGCTCAGCAACGTCAGAGGCGAATCGGGATACGGAGCGGCAGCAAACCAGCAGACACCGGGTCGTGCCGATACTTCGCGACTGCCTCCAATGGGTAACTTTGCACCCACACCGACAGCAAACCGTGACAACAAGCGGAAGCGTGAGCGACAGGGACCGATAGCCGCGCCTATGCCTGCGCCCATGTCCCAGGAACCGCCAACTTCGAATGTTCGTGGCGGTTATAGCCAGGCCAATGTCAACAAGGTACGTAAATGGTTCTTTTTTTGCACTACTATGAGCAGGGTCTGGGGCACGGCATTCCAAGGTTCTTTTTCTTTGGAATGCACGTGCGCAGCCCCAAAGTTCTTCAGATGACTTCTCACCCTTCCCTTTCAAAAGCCGTACCCACTTTCCCTCCACCTCATCATGGCCACGCACGCTGCCACAACGAGCGTCATCGTCGTGCGTGGCGGTGATGGTGACGGTTTGCGTGTGCCTCGTGAGGATGCATTCCCGTTGCTCTTTTCTGTTCCCGCTCTTTCCGACGTACGGACCGAGCCAAACAGATTGAGTGGGAGAACTGCTCCACTTCCGAAGCGACCTGGGTGCACTGAGAAGGCGTTGTTTGCTAACGAACTAAAGCGCGCAAAAACCGGTCATACTACAAAGCAGGCCATTCCCGATGGCCCGCCAGTCTCGCCTACCCTGACGCCTGCACTGCCTGAACCAATGCCACCGACCACGACGACCTCCCCTAGCCAAGATGAGCTTGCGTTCTTCGATCGCGTCAAGAAATTTATTGGAAACAAGAACACCATGAACGAGTTCTTGAAGCTTTGCAACCTCTACTCGCAGGATTTGATCGACAAGCAGCTGTTGCTCTATCGCGCGCAGTCCTTTATTGGCGGCAATCAGGAACTCTTTGCTTGGTTCAAAAAGTTCATGGGCGAAGACGAAGAACAGCAAAAGTCGCGTCCCAAGACTGTCAACTCTCGTGTTTCACTGTCCAACTGCCGGAGCCTGGGTCCTAGCTATCGCCTTCTTCCTAGGCGCGAACGGGAGCGTGTCTGCAGTGGGCGCGATGAGCTTTGCCGATCGGTTCTAAATGACGAGTGGGCCTCTCACCCAACGTGGGCTTCTGAAGATTCTGGTTTCGTCGCGCATCGCAAGAATACATTCGAAGAAGGCCTCCACAGGATTGAAGAGGAACGCCACGACTACGACTTCAACATTGAGGCTTGCAGCCGTACGATTCAGCAGCTAGAGCCCATTGCCAACCAGTTACTCACCATGAAGCCCGAGGACAGGACCGGATTCATCTTACCCCCGGGGCTTGGGGGGCAGAGCGAAACAATCTACAAGCGTGTCATCATGAAGATCTACGGTCGCGAAAGAGGCAAAGACGTGATTAAGGAACTCTTCCAGATGCCTTGGAGCGTAGTGCCTGTTCTTCTTCACCGGTTAAAGACGAAGCTGGAAGACTGGAAGGCTGCTCAGCGGGAATGGGAAAAGGTCTGGCGCGACCAGACTCAGAAAATCTTCTGGAAGTCGCTTGATCATCAGAGCATCACAGTCAAGCAAGCCGACAAGCGACAATTCCAGCCCAAGTCGCTCACGAACGAGATTCAGGTCCGCTACGAGGAGCAGAAGCGTCTCCAACAGATTCAAGAAATCTCGCAGCCTGACTATCAGTTTGCCTTCTCTTTCAGGGATGAGGAGGTGCTGATTGACGTGGCTCGCCTGATGCTCACTTTCGCCGATAACAACACGGGTGCCGACTTTGCAAAGGTTATACCTTTTATCAGAGAGTTTGTCCCTCTCTTCTTCGGTATTGATTCGGCCAAGTTTGAACAGCGGGTACACACTTCTGGACGCGACACCCCGAACGATTCTGGCGAAGACACCCCCTCTCCCGATGAAGATGTTTCTCAGCGCTCGTTGAAGTCAAAGAAGGGTGATCTACGTCGCGATGTTCTTGATCCCCGCAGTAAGTCGCGAAAGGACAAGGACGACAGCGTCGCTTCCGCGAGCCGGGATAGCACACCAGACAATTCGATGGAGGATGAGCCCGCTGGCGACAGCTCCAACTCGATTGCGCGCGGAGACCGACCGGCAAGCCATTGGGTAGAATACGCTGCTACCCCAACAGCTTTTGGCGACAAGGAATTCGAGCATGAAGAGCCCTACCGCCGCGTAGAGTACAACATGTACGCCAACGCCTCAATCTACTGCTTCTTCCGGATGTTTGTAATGCTCTACGAGAGGTTGTTGAAGCTCAAGGAAAGCGAGGACGAAGTGCAAAGGCTCATCATGCGTGCCAAGGAGCCCAAGGCCGCGCAGAAGCTCAAGATGCTCGACAAGCAGCCCGAAGACTTTTTCAAGGACACTTCACCTTCAGCGAACTACTACCACCAACTTCTCGACATGTTCCAGGACCAGATTACCGGAGACGTTGAAATGAACTTCATTGAGGAGACACTGCGTCGGTACTACCTGCAAATAGGCTGGCAGCTGTACTCCTTTGACAGGCTTCTCAGCTCACTGGTTCGATTTGCCCTGGCCATTGTCAGCCAAGATAGCAAGGATAAGAGCCTTGACATCTACAACCTTTTTAGAAAGGACCGCATCAATGACACCACGACGCACAAGAGTGAGATTGCTTACCGAAAGGCTGTTGAGAAGCTTGCCAAAGACGCCGACACCTACCGCATCACATACGTAAGTAATAGCTGGGCTTTTGCCAGTAATACTATGCTAATCTTGCAACAGGACCCGGCAAAGACGGAGGCGTATGTCAGGTTGTTTAAGAAGGACGATCCCACCTTTGAATTCAACACGCTTGACCGAATCAAGCGCTGGCGGGCGTACGTCGCCTCATACATGGCTGTGGAGCCTACTGAGGAGGTTGATGTCTCTCGTGTGCACTACCCCTACTTGAAGAAGCGTCTGGCAAAGGCCGAAGACCTTTCCGAAGAAGACCGTTTCGAGCAAGTTCAGCATGACGACAAGATTACAGTTTCCATCAGTCCTGCTGCGTACGTCATGACATTCATCAACAGCGAGCCTTTTGGTACCGGTGGTGTCCAGTACTTCCTTCAGCCGGATGCCGTGCGGGCAGGCGTCAGCGAGGCAGTTCCGAAGCCAAGTGAGGAGTACAAGAAGCTGAACGATGACCGGAGAGAGAGGGCTCAGGAGATTCTTGTCAGGAACAACAGCTGGATGAAGGATCTCAGCCGTGAAGAGGTGGATGCTAAGAAGGCGGCATTTAAGAAGGACATGGAGGAGCCTAGGAAGGTGACTGACGACGAGGATGTGGATATGGAGGGCGCTGATGGGTTCGCGTACTAAAATCCCTTCTTTAGTGTTGGCGTCGCATTGGAGATTCGGCAATATCGTTGGGTCATCGGCGTTGTGGGCTTGGATGTCTGACCGCGAAGAATTGTTTTGGCTTAACGATCTGCGCATCACGGATAAGGGGGGGTGGGAGGACAGCATACATACAGCCTGCGTGTACAGCGCAGCACTTTTAGTTTCTTTTCTGGATTGGTGTTGGTTGGTGTTCCGGATGATAACCCGACTCATCTATATCCATTTGTGTATTTAGGTACGAATTTTACATTTTGCATTGGACCTTTTTGCGGTTTCCATGATGTAGTCATTGCACGCTCTTGGCCAACCACTCCTCCCACTGCTCCACCGTCCACCCACTACTAATTTCATTGGCCACGACGCCGTCAAACACGACCGTCGGCGTAACATGGACGCCCGTCATGCGGTTCGCCTTGACCTGCACCTTGACATCATTCGTGACGCCATTACCCGCATTCAAACTCCCATTCTCGCCCGGCTTATCGCCAATCTCAAGCAGTCCATACACCTTTGACTCGTCGACGCCCACACTACCCGCAATCTTGGCCAAGCGCCTATACGTCTGGTTCCTCGTCTCATTGACAAGACTGACATCGAAAAAGTCCTTTTGCTGCTCAAACACCTTCTCGGAGAAGTCGTAGAACTTTGTCGAATCCACTTTTTGCACCGCGTACGCCGCCTCGTGCACCAGCGTCGACGCGGGGTGCCATGGCTGGATCTGCTGCCGGAATATCGTCACTAGCCGGTTGCCGTATGTACCCAGTAGTGATTTGCGCAGCGGCGAGGTGTACAGTGTTTTGAACATTTTGGCCGAGAACGGGCAGGTGTAGTCGAGGTCTGGGGGATGGGGGGGTTAGCGGTGGGATAGAAGAAAGAGGGGGAGGGATGGGATAGGCGTACAGATTTCCAGTGTGTGTACGGCTTTGGGCTGGACGGCTGCTGAGGCGAGCTTTTGGCCTGCGAATTTGGGTGCGAGAGCCATTGGTACGGTTGGGGTTGGGGGTTGGGGGTTTGCTTTTGAGTAGGGTGGATGAGGTGGGTTTTTGTGGGTTTGAAGAGGGGAGGGACTAAAGGGCACAAAGTGTTGTTTATGAGGAAAAGATGAAAGATGGAGAGAGAGAGAGAGTATGTGTGTGTGCCTCGGGTAGTGAGGTGATTGCGAAAAAGCACGTAAGCAATGCTGGCTATGTTGCAGATAGCTTGACCTTTGAGGTATGACGACAGTCGGGCCGTCCGCAATCGGCAGATGATGTGTTGGGGCCGTTCTGGATGCAGGCTTTGGAGGTTATGACTTTTCCCGCTACTCTAAGGATAATCAATTGGCTCAAGACAGCCCGGAAACCGGTAGTAAATGTTCATCTAGCTAGACGTGGAGGCTTGGTATCTGGTGAAGTGAGCTTGTTTAGGGTCTCCCGTACTGTAGTCTATCTAAACTAGCGTGCCCCTCCCCCGCCATTATCCATCCAAGCCCGGGTCGCGGCACCAGCTATAGCTCCGAGCTCCATGTATCACCTCGCCATATGTCGCCCTGCTTTTGACGACTCCACCCCCGGAATAAGTACCGTTGCTACTTGGGTAGTATTTTTATCGCCGAACCCGCCATTGGCCCAGAATGCCTGACGTCAACTCTACCGACGACGACCTTCTTGCCCGCCTCAACGCGCTTAAGAAATCCTCGGTCAGCTTGGATACCAACTACAGCGCGTCAATAGCGCCTGCGGATGCTCCCAAGCCTACCGATGATCTTGCGGCGCGATTTGCACGTCTTGGCTCTGCGTCCCCCGCGGGCTCTCCACAGCCGTTGCGAGTAGTGTCTACGAACAATGCAGGCACGCCGACAGTGGCACCGGGCGCCCCAAGCTATCTAGAAGGTGTTGCACAGGGAGTAGGCGAATCAGAGGTCGAGTTCAACGAGGAGGATGAAAAGAGTTTGGAAGAGTTGCTAGGCGAGTTGAATAGCGCCGTCGGCGACAGGAAAGAATGGGATGTATCGAGAAAGGAACAGCAAGATGTTGGAAAGCTCTTGAAAGATATGCAGAAGATCTTACCAGAAGTGGTGAACAGCCGTTCAAATGCACGAGGTAATCACGGAAAATCAGAGGGCCTTACAGACTGGGAGAACGTCGAGGTTGATATTGGGAGTGGTGCAGTAGGCGCAAGACAAGACAATGTCGAAGACGCCGATGAAGAAATGGATCAGGACGGCAAGAAGAAGACTGAGGATGACGAGGCCGACGATATCATTGCAAAAGTCATGGCTGAGCTGGAAATCAGCAAGAAATATGATCCTCCCTCTCCTCCATCAGAAGACGAGCAGTCAGACTCGGGACACGAGAAGAGGAAAACAACAGATGACAACACAGACGGAGGCCTGACACTGCCCTCCACACCACAAGACCTACCAGAAGACGAATTCAGCCGCGCACAAGCCATCGAAGACGATTTCAATGCTCGTCTAGCCGCTCTCGCCGCACCATCACAACCCCAAACCGACGCGCTCGGTCTCCCCTCCGCGCCATCCTTTGCCCCCCGAAAAAAACCACCCGTGTCAACAAACCTGCAAAAGATAATCGACGAGGAAATCGATACCTGGTGCATCATCTGTCAGGACGACGCTACGCTCAAGTGTCTTGGCTGCGACAACGACTTGTATTGCCAAAACTGCTGGATGGAGGGTCACCGCGGCGAGGCGGCGGGGTTCGAGGAAAAAACTCACAAGGCGGTTTTGTATTCGAAGAAGAAGAAACAGGCTGCTGCGTGAAAAGTGGGTTGGTTTATACTTGCTCAATAAGAGAAGTGAGCAGCGTTCTTCGGTTGATTCAGCCACTGAACTATCGCATCACGGGACTTCTGCACTCAAGCGTGAGTTGGAGGGATCTGTGGTTGCACGCGACGTTTAATAGATTGTTGGGTTATGTATGTATAACGCAGTAGAGGGTATTTGTGTGTTTGACTGATAATGTAGCAGGGTAGTACCTCATACTCAGTATGCAGTCTGGGTTGTGTAGTCAGAACATCCAGACTCATACTATACCGATACATGATTGCAGAAGACTGGCATTGCCTGAATAATGTCTCCTCTCAACTGCAAATCAGGGCACAGAGCACTGGACAGTGTAATGGGCTTTGCTTTGCCTGGCTTCTGGTCGCTCCCAGATTCTTTGTGCATTCACAAGCCAATTTTGTCAGTGACATCGCTGAAGACATGACTGTAGGAGGTGGCATGCCTGCAGGCTCGACTTGCATGATCAACAAACCATTGAGAGACGCATCTTGGGTTCGATAGTCAACGCTCGAATATTATTAACATTGGGCAAGTCTATCTTCCCCAAGCATATAGATACAATATAGGAATCTCTATATTACACTCAATCGTCTTGGTGTGTCTCGTCAAAAGCCAACATGATACCCATTGTTCTTTCGTACGTCCACATGGTCACGGCACTCGCTGGCGCTGCCTTGAGCAGACTGACTGTCAGACCCCGGTACATGCCTCGCCGTCCCTCGTATTTCCAGATATGGGCTAGAGTGCTGACTACACCGGTATAAGTAGGTATGTTCCGATGGACATAGTGCTCTCGCATGGGGCCTTGAACCTGCAGTCGTTTGCGCGTAGTGTCGAGCGGGTAGACGGCAGTCTTTGAGAGAATGCTCGCTATGACTCCTGCTACGGCATCCGAGCTTCCCAGGGGCAACGGAAATGGAGATGCAGCGGTAATTGGCTTTAAGCTCTCGTAGCTCGCGAAAAAGAGACCCATGTATGGGACGATCTGGCTGATACCGGCTCCCAGCCCACGGAAGAAGCCAGTGGGACCTTCATGCTGCGCAATGTGTCTTATGGAAGCTGGGAGGGACGTATACACGCGATCAATTCCCTGAGCAGCAAAACGTGTGCGGAGTAGATCAAGCGGATATGTAATCGTCGTCGCAGCAGCGCCGGCCGAGGCACCGCTGATGAAATTTGTCACGGAGCCAGGCAGGGCGTATGGTGGAGGAATTGCCTCGAGAATATGCGAGACATATGTGTATGCCGAAAACTGGGCACTGCCGTACGTCAGGTACATCAGCTCCGCTGGTATGTTGCCCTTCCACAAGCCAGTAAGGCCCTCCTCGCGCAGAATGTGCTTGAGGGTGCCCAATGTTCCTTTGTACGTGGGACCCGTGACATGGCGAATGCTCAAAGGGTCGGAGAGCGAATGGATCTGGAGTTGCAGGCGGATCTTGATGACGTCGAGGGGAGCTATCACGAAGCTATTCCAGCATCAGCCCATGGTGTGACTGGGGGGAACAAAGAAGGGATCGAGATACCGCGAGACTAGGCCTGCGACTGCGCCTGCAATCACCACCTGCCGCTGGGAGCCCTGCAAGACAAATTAACTCGACGCCAGGCACACGCGGGGGATTGGTGAAGGTTGGTAAAATGGTACCTCATGCTTCAGCTGCGACACCCCCTCAGACATGCGCCCGGCGCGTCAGTCGACGCACGCGTGAGAAGTCGGACGCGTTATTACGTGTCCTCAGCAGCGTCCTCGGTATGGAAGGGAATTCGACTGCAGAGAATTGCCGGGCAAAAGGTGAGTGGTGACCTCGGTATACGGCGTGTTTGATTCCCACCAAGCTCGCGCGACCGAAAAGAAGGGCAACCCCGCCTTGTCCTGCCACTGTTTGCCAACGGCGACCGAACGAGTTATGGCCTCCAACATCATCACCAGGCTCCCTGCGCGGAATCTGAGACGCCCCGTCACGACTTCTTGCAGAATACCAGCTGCATTCCAGACACGGAGCGCCTGCTACAACTCGTGCTGGCGATCACCGAAGCCCGCCGAGCTTGCTAATCAGAGCCCCGCTGCCAATGGCCCCTTCAGACCAACCAGACCCCGCCATCAGCTCCAGCAGTTGAAACTGGCTGAGGAGCAGGAATACCCAGCCCACGATGCTTCTTCAGCTGGCCAGCTGGGTAGAGCCCCAGCGAAAAGCGTTGCAGTGAATATCGACGGCCATGCCAGGGTCTTTGATGCTGTGTTTCTCCGGGATAGCTGCATGTGCACTCAATGCATGGACCCCGACAGCAAGAATAAGCGCTTCCAGACATGTGATATCCCGGAAGACATAGAAGGCAGCTTCAAGGCCGTTGTCGATGAGAAGAGGGGGGACTCGATCGAGGTAGAATGGACGAGCGACGTCAAAGGATTTGGGCCAGAACACCGGACTCGGCACTCGATCAACTGGCTGCGGCGAGCATTCAACACTGAAGCTGCGATACGCAGTGGGCAACGGCACGATGACCGCGTGTTCTGGGACCACGAGGAAATTGTAAAGGCTAACAAATGGCTTGATTACAATTCCTACATGACGCGGGACGAAACTCTGTTCGAGGCTCTCACCCACCTCCACCGATACGGCCTGCTCTTCATCAACAACGTGCCCGAGTCGGTGGAATCCGTCGTGCATCTCGCCTCGCGCGTGGGCACGCTCAAAGAAACTTTCTACGGCCGCACATGGGACGTCCGTTCCAAGCCCAAGGCCGAAAACATCGCCTACACCCCCGACTATCTGGGCTTGCACATGGATCTCCTGTACACGTCTAACCCGCCACACCTGCAGCTCCTCCACTCGCTGCGTGCCCGCACCCCAGGCGGCGAATCCTTCTTCTCAGATGCCTTTGCTGCAGCACGCCAGCTCCGCGAGCAGTCAGAAAGCCACTTTAAGACTCTGTGCACGTTCCCCGTGACATATCACTACCACCATCCCACCCAGCACTACCACTTTACACGCCCAGTCATAGAAACTTTTTCCAACCCAGACGCTACGGAGCCCACCAGCGCCGCCATCCGCCGCATAAACTGGTCTCCGCCCTTCCAAGGCCCCGTCCAACAACCCAGCGGCAGCAGCACCGCGCCTTCGCTCCGCGACTTCATTGCTGCGTCGCACGCCTACGAGAAACTACTTAGTTCCGAGGATAATCTGTACGAGTACAGGCTGAATGAGGGCGAGTGTGTGATTTTCGATAATAGAAGAGTGCTGCATGCGCGCAAGGCGTTTGATGCGTCAAAGGGCGAGCGCTGGCTCAAGGGCGCTTATGTAGATAACGATGTGTTTTTTTCAAAACTGAGGGTCTTGCAGGAGAGGTTTCAAGGGATGTGGGTGGCTGATGGCGTGGTGAGCCGGCCTGTAGAGTAGAATAGTGGATAGATGGCGACATGGTAGTAGATAGTGTTCGTGGCATTTAGAATTGTAAAAGTGGATTTTTGTTACGCTTTTCGTCTTGTATCTTTGCACATGATGTATGCTCACCATAGTCAATTTGTCGGAAACAAAGATGATAAGAGATGAGGAGCTAGATATATATTCAAAGTGTCGAGAAACATCACTGCCATAGCAAGACTTGTAATACCACAGTCGAGTGTTTTCCAATCACCAGCTCGAGATCCAAGTGCGCAGAAAGCATTGCGAATGAAGCGCATCTATTTTCTAGTCTAGTATCTATGTTCAAAGTGTAAAAGAGTGTCTAAAGTTGCAAAACAAAAACTCCAAAAAAAACCCTCAAAAGCAAAAGAATCAACCGCGCCACCATGCTCAATCCCACTACCCATCTTCCTCCTCTTCATTACCTCCACCAAGAAAAAAACCCCGAAAACTCAAAATATATATAAGTGATTGAATAAGAAAGCCCCCCCTCGAAATTTACCCCTCACCCGTGTCTATATCTATGCATTACTCCGCCGGCCATGCAATCGTTGAAAAAAAAAGGCTATCGCAATGAGATAGCGAGAGAGAGAGAGAGAGAGACAGCGGACTTAAGCCTTGTCGCACTGGAACTGGAATCCATTGAGCCAGGTAGGAATGGGCTTGGTGATATCGTCGTCGAGGTTAACAAAGTTCTTTGCGCGGCCATCGAGCTCAATGACCCAGCCGGCGACATTGACGTTGACAAGCTTGCACTTGGTCGTGTCTTGGAAGACGGTGAGCTGCGCCGAAGTACCCAGGATGTTGCCGTTGCCGCTGTCAATCGCGCTGTTGGCGAAGCGCGCTGAGATGCTGTAGGGAAGGCCGTCGGCGGGGACCGTGGTGTCGGCGCTGGCGCCCGTGCGGTCGTTGAAAATGCGGAGCGTGATTTGAGGGGTGGGGTTGGGGAGAGCAGACACGGAGGTGCTGAGGGCCAGGATGGCAGCGGCGAAGGTGGTGGTGAACTGCATTTTGGTGGTTGGGTGGTTGTTGTTGTTTGGAAGTGAAGTTGAGTGAAGTGGAGTAGATGTAGGAGAAGAGTGTTGTAGAAGCTGTAAGGCTGTTGTGATGAAGAAGCTGTTGTTGTTGTTGTGATGATGAACTTGTAGGTCGCGACACTGCTATTATTTATACAATCGTTGCTGTATACATTTCCAAGCTGTACATCTCTCGATGGAACATCCCTCTGACACTGCCCTACCTGAAGCTATTCGCAGAACATCGTCGGTGAGGCATGCTCGCAGCCACCGCCCTTTCTCAGCCTCCTCCACAGCAGTCGCTGAAGCATCGTGAGATGCCAATGCTACAGATGAGATCCTTCATGAGCGAGTTTCAAAGACATGCTTCCTCTTCTTGGTTAGCTCGAGGCACAGCTGTTCCTACACGTCGCTCGGCGTTACATTGGAATGCTTGCAACGACACAGTGTGGCTTGACCTAGTGCCGAAAACGCTGTGCCTAGTACTTTTCCCAGACTTCTTCCGGCAGAAAGTTACGGTAAGGGAGCCGCAGTGCGTAATGAAAATGCGGTGGTCGAAAATAGAGCTGAGGTTGCTGATGGCTTGGCGGGACTTGGCCGGCGTCGCTCAGCCTCCGTATTTCTCCACTGTAAGCACATTAGAGTTGGCAGCGCATTTTGTTAGTGGCTGAGCACCTAATGAGCTGATGTTAATTGTAAATTATAGAGTATAGCTTGCCATGCGCCTCTTCCTTCGAGGTGGGGCTCCGTGCGGTGTAGTTATCGGTAGAGAGCCAAGATGCGCTCGTGGTGTTGCAGTGTAGTAATTTCCAAGCTTCATTCTCCTTTTGTGTAGTAGACAGGCAGCTGATGGAAATAGAGCAGTAAGATCAATTCGGCTGTTTGATGAAAGAAGAGCGATTCTACTCGCGAGGCAGGATTTGCACGTGCGGTACAAGCCACTGCTGCGCTTTTCGCGCGTATTCCTCTCCCTATAGTAAGCGACCTACATATTTCAAAATTCATCACCGTTTCCCGAACAAACACTCTTGCGTGCAATTCATGTGTCGCGAATATTGGAAATTTCTTCTACGTTCCGCGCCGTGGGGAAGCAGGTGTCTGCAGATAGCAGATGCACTCTAGAAGTATATGCTGTGTCTCCCAGACCAACAGTTTTCAATGAAATGACCATCTGCACAAGGCTAGAACAACACAATACCAAATAATTTCCATATCGCTGTGTCGAAATAGTTTATCATGATACACCAATTGACCTACACAGTGTTTCTATCAGAGAGACAGTAATCATCACTCCTTTGCATGTTTCGTCGCATAACCCCATCGCGAGAAAAGTAAGGCAAAAGTAGGAAACGATCGACCTACGTGTTAAATTCAGTCGTGATTGTCGTTTCAAATCGGGCATACGCTGTACAGGCATGATCATGGAACGATCAGTGTTCACAGTTGGTAACTCTGTTTGCGAACAGCGCATAGTTGAAGTGGCAGACAAAGCAACCTGTATCTGCCTTTACTTAAACATCTCTTAACGTCGCTGCGTAATGGTAATTTTAACCATTTCAAATACTAGAACCTGCATCTCAAAAAGAAATATGACCCACAAGCAGTATTCAGAACCGCCTTGTGATGCGCCTTTTGAGGCTAATAATCACAAACCACAGTAAGCGCATTTGGATTGTTTTTCCAATCCAAAACTGACATACTGACTATTGCACACAGTAACCAATTCTCATCCTTCTTGGATCTCCCCGCAGAGCTACGAAACAGCATCTACGAGCTAGTTCTTCACGAGGGCACTTTCGACGTGTTTCCTAACCAACACTCGCCCAAGCCTCAGACATTATCTTTACTCTCTACCTGTACCCAGATACGATATGAAGCGTTGCCTATCTTCTACTCGCGCAATACCTTTGACTTTGCTTTTATGGTCACGCATATCCCAAAGTTTGTCAGGATGGTAAGTACTGCAGCCTGTAGGGCAGTTCGGTCTATTCGCTTAGATCACAATGATATGCGGCTTCTTCTTGAGGCTTTCGAACGCGGACAGACGCGGAGCGAGTTGAGACTGTTCTCTTCATTGGAAGAGGTAGTGATTAAAATGAATAAGCCAGAGCGAAGGTCGCGGTTGGCAGTAACTGAGGCGATTAGACCAATCGTTGGGAGAGATGTCGTAGTTAGATTTGGATAGAGTGTGAGAGAATATACTAGTAGTCTCTTGCGTGAGGCTAAGTGAGAGACTAAAAAACATGCTAAAGTCTCAGAAGCCGCAAATTGGACTCACTCACTAGTGAAGGTGAGCATTGGCTCGCTCACTGTTGATTGGTCCGCTCTCTTTCACTCGGACAAGGCGCGATGCTATAAAAGTTCGGCAGATCTGCTTTCTCCACCTTTTCCCACAACAACTCAAACAACCACACCACCAACACATTGTACACCCTCCGACATGGCCAAAGACCAGCGCAGTGACCGACGTGCGAAGAAAAGAGTCTACCGCGCCAAGAAGAGCACCCAGGACCCTGACGTTGTCGAGAGCAAACACGATCGCATGTGAGTATCATAGCGGCACTGAGCGCAAGAAGAAAACTGACGCAGAAGTAGCTCCCGAGAAAATCAGACTTCATCGCCCTTTCTACGTCTATCAGCCGAGCTCCGTAACCACATTTACGACTATTGCTTCGTCAATGCACAGCAAGAGCAGAAGCACGGGAGCTCTGGTCCTGAAATTACTCCGGGAGTACCGTCTCTAGCTCAAGTCTGTCGCCAAATCCGCACAGAATTCGCGCCTATATTCTTCAGCAGGGCCACATTCCGCTTTGGAAAGATGGAAATGATGGCGGATTTTAGTCACTCACTGACTGGGGGGCACCGTCAAGTCATTAAATCCGTGTGTCTATCGATGGTCGCGGTAGATGAAGTAGTGTATTGGTACATGTGCTCCCGAATTTGCAAGGAAACTCGGCGGGATGCAGAACATGTCAGAGATTTGATTCAGTTCCCATCGTTGGGGAACGTCGAGGCCGAGGTTAAAATCCGCGTCCAGCGCGATTCCGAAGCCCATGCCCTAATCAGGGATGCTGTTAGGTTGTATTTTGAGAATAATGACCTGCATGTCGATTGCTAAACTTGTCATACCTAGTATGATATCCATTCTGGGTAGTAGCGATGGCAAAAACATTCAACCACAGTTGGACAAAGTCTCTTGGTACAAGTCCTCTTTCTCTCTCTTCCTTCTTGCATAGGCCTGGCCTGGTTCATGTACAGTAAACAAACCGCAACAGTCGGACCAGCATTGAATCTTTTGCACTGTATTTTGCAATGAATATCTTGGGCATGGAAATCAGCAGGTGGAATCAGCGGAGGACAATTCTGTAACTAGGCTAGCAGTAATCAATCAAAAATACCTTCTTCCCTCCCTTGTTAAATACACAGACTCACATGCGAAATACAGACACTAGAATCGATATTTCATCCCTCCAAGCCACAAGACCAGTTACAAAGATAGCCTCCAAAAAAACGACCCAAATTACCATGACGTCACCAACCAACACCACTCCATGTTACATGGCCTAAGAGCATTAAGAATACCACAGAGAGAAATTGAAAAAAAACAGACCGGCCCGCACATATACACACATACACACACACACACACACACACACACACACACACACACACACACGTATATATATATATATGTACGCCTTAGTCATGTAAAACCTTTCCCCCCCAACAAGGAAGGTACTTATCAATACACACAAAAATAACCGTTACACATATGACTCAGTCGTTTCCGCTCTCTTGATTCCCAGAAAAGAAGAGAAGAAGAAAAAAAGACCGAGTACATACATATATCACCACACCAGTTATCTCTCTCTCTCTCTCTCTCATAACCCCACAAGCTTACATGCGAAAAAAGAAAAACAGAAAAGAAGAACAAGAGGAATAAGAAAAGATGCCCATCTACACGCACACCCCATCCTCACCCGCCCTCCAACAAGCTCTCAAAGCCAGTCTACCCTACAGCATCAACCTCGTGTACCGAATACAGCATGTCAATCAAACGCCACACGCGCATGTCCTAGCTACATTTCCCGCGTCGTCCATGACGACCACCACGGCGACAGATGCGATAATACCGCCATGCTGGGCGGCCGCATATCTGGACCAGTCGAAGCGGCCCGAGACAGAGCTGTGGCTATTCAGCACGCTGGAGCTTCCGGAGCATGGACAGGCTTCTGATGATGATGGTGGTGGTGGTGGTGGGAAGTACTGTCTAGGATGCAAAAACGCCGTGTTGGATTTGGTGGGCTACATGGCTACGCTACCTGCGCCGCCGATGCTCGCGGAGAATGCTCCTGCTATGCATCTTGCGAGGCAGCATGAGAAAGAGTATCCTACGCCGCCTCCTTCCGGCGCGTATCAGATGACGCCGGGAACGTACATGCGCCATCTCCTTCTGCCAAAAGTCGTCACGCTCGGAGCATGCCAGCGCGATGTGTTTAGTATTCTGCGCGAGGCGGGCATCGTGCGGACTGAGCTCCCTGGCCCAGATGCGGAGCTTAATAAGTTTCTGTTCAAGCTTTCTGATCTACCAGAGACGCGACCACTACCTGACGGGCTGCGATGGGGACAAGTGCGCAAGCAAGACATTGCGACTGTCCAAGCTCGAACAGCTATACCCCGAACAGCAGGCACTTTGATGTCACTGAAGAGTGTGGCAGTTTTCGAGGAAAAGACGGACACACCCGTGGCGTGGACGTTTCTTGGATTGGATGGGTCTCTAGTCTCGCTACATACGGAAGAGGCCTACAGAGGCAAGGGTATAGCAAAGGCTGTCGCCGCAAGGCTCTTGAGACAGCACGCACAGGGATTAGCAGTCGATAACCAAGGCAATGCCTGGTCGCACGCAGACGTCTACATGGGCAATGTACAAAGTGAGAGCGTGTGCTGCAGTCTAAGTGGCAAGGCGCTCTGGAGGTGCTTCTGGTTGCGCATAGATCTTGATCGGGCTGGAGCACTTGCAGGCACATCAGCTGCATTCGCTGGGTATCACGGAGACAAGTAGTATAGTCGAAAGAGCGGTAATAGGAATCTGTCTTCAAGTCAGCGTTCAGCTCTGCCACATAAGCCAACAAGAAATGAGTAGAATGCGTTGCTCATTAAAAAATTAGAGTGTTGTTGTTGTATTTTTGATCCTCACCGTGGGACCTCAGGGTTAAAAAGAAGATAATCATAGCGATAGCGTCGAAGAAAGAGTTGAGCTTACCTGACGTGTGAACCAATACCCTTGCTTGGCAAGCATCACGGGCATATTCTGTTTCTGAGTTCATCTTATCGTATTGTCGTTGACTGTCTATATCATCAAGACATTTTCGACAGGCCGTAGCCATGCCGACATCTCTCAAAAAGTGTCATCGCAAACGTGATAGGCTTAGTCGAACAGACCGAAGCCCATGTCCTCATCCTCGGACTCCTCCTTCTCCTCCTCCTTGGCCTCCTCCTTAGCGGCAGGGGCGTCACCGCCAGTAGTGGTACCGACAGCGGGGGCAGAGGAAGCGTACTTGTCGGGGTTGGCAATGCGGTCCTTGAGCTCGGAGATCTCGTCCCACTCGTAGTCGGTCTCGATGGCGACGGCGAGGACCTTCTTGTACGAGTTGACAACCGAGTGCATAACCGAGGGCAGGGTAGGGTAGCTGATAGCCAGAGAGATACTGGCAATGGCGGTGATGGCCGAGGTGAAGGTCTTGAGGAGCTGCTCCTCGCCAATGTCCAAGACGGAAGCGTCAAAGGTCTGGCCGTTGTCGTAGATCTGGTAGATACCCATACCGTAGGTGAAGGGAGAGATGTTCAACAGGTTGAGCAGGGTGGCCTCGGAGGCACCGACCTTGTTACCGGCCTCGATGAGCTTCAACTCGGTGGTGATTTCAATGGTACCACGGGCAATCTTGGTGGGGACACCGAGAGCCTGGAAGAAAGACGTCTTTCCGGGTTCCATACCACTGCAGCCTTGTCAATTGCGTGTTCAATGGGTATGCGCCCGAGATGGTCTTACGTGTTTCCGGCGGGAATGAACACATCGCCAGGGGCAACGGCACCGGCACGAGCAGGGGCGGCGACACGGTTGGACAGGATCTTGTCACGGGTGGCCTTGAGGTCGGCGTTGGTGAAGACGAAGCCAACGTTGCCTATACCACTATTAGCGCCATGGCTGGATACGGGAATGGGGAAACGCACCCTTGACGTGGGGAAGAAGGCGCTCGTACTCTGGGTTGTCACCGACAAGACCCTTCAGAGCACGGCGGACCATGGTGTTCTTTCCCATGAGGACGACACCCTCGCCGCGCAGAGACTGGCGGATCTCGTGCATCTGCTGCGACGAGACATTGTCGACGGTGACGATGAAGATGCTCTTGTACTCCTTGAGGAGCGCCTCGAGCTTCTCGAAGTAAGCGGCCTTGGTTTCTTTCTTGCCCCCCATTGTGTTCGGTGACGCAAAGGGATGTTTAAGGTCTTAGTTTTGGTGGTCGTGGTTGTTTTGGGGAGAGAGGAGGACAAAGTTCGGCTGGACGCGAAAATTGAGGTCGTCTGGCTGTGGGTGGCCCCTGCTCGCTAACGCGCTAGCGCATCCAGAGACAGAGAAAAGTACGGACAGACTTGACGAGACAGCATTGCTAGCTGCAACATCATGGCGCTGCCCTACCAATGTCTTGTTGCGCACAGCTCCAGAGATGCAGGCGACTGGACGCTTTTCGGTGCGAGCGGCCCAAAGCTGGTCGTCCAGTCCAGCCATGGAGTGACATCAATGTGGCCAGAGCAAGAAGCGCAGACTGAAGTGAGTGAGCAGACTGGGTCTTTCAACGAGTTTGATTGAACCGTAATTGTTCTGCTAAGGAATAATGCGGTGGGTACGTCGCTGACACGAACAGGCGCAGCAAGACGGCGAATCCGAGGAGCGCCCAGGCAAAAGGATCAAGCTGGAACAACCAAAAGAGCAGACATCCAACTTTTCAGACCTGATACTATCACATAGCGGACAGTACCTGATCGGTGTAACCGGCGAGGACAAATGCATCCGTGTCTTTCAGGTCGATTCCCAGGGTCGACTACAGCAATTAAGCGAGAGGTGCATGTCAAGAAGGCCTTCTTCAATTGCAATTACATCCGATGACTCGACAATTCTATGTGCGGACAAGTTTGGAGACGTGTATGCTCTGCCACTGCTTCACTCGCCAGAAGACGACAAGGCCGAGCTGTCAGAGGCCCCAGCAGCCGAACCCGAGCAAAAAGACTGGATGCCGTCCGCTACTACTCTGACAGTTCACTCTGGCAGAAATCGGAAGACGCTGGAGGAGCAGCTCAAGCAAAAGGCAAAGGGGCTAGTCAAGTCCAAGGAGCCCATGCGCTTCAAGCACGAACTCCTCCTCGGTCACGTTTCTATGCTCACAGATGTTGTCTTTGTAAAGGTAGATGGCCGAAGCTACATCATAACGGCTGACCGTGATGAGCACATTCGAGTTTCAAGAGGTCAACCGCAGGCGCATATCATTGAAGGCTTCTGCTTCGGCCATGAGGCCTTTGTAAGCAGGCTGTGTCTCACCCCATCTGGCCTGCTTGTCTCTGGCGGCGGAGACGATGATGTGTTCGTATGGGATTGGCAAGCAGGCTCTCTGAAAGAGAAACTGGCTATTCGGGATCTCGCCTTTGGTCATCTCCAAGAACGGAACATGGTCCCAATAGACCTGGAGCGTACCCACTACAAAGTCGCAGTCTCTGGTATATGGGTCCTGCCAAGTGATGGAAGCAATGTGAGCAAGGCATTTATCCGGACCATTAGAGCCCAACATCTGATTTCTGACAGGCCGAGACAATACTCGTAGCATGTGAAGGTGTTCCGGCGCTCTTCACCCTGACCCTAGGAGGATCCGCGCCTGGTCTACACATTCCACTGAATGGCAACGCGCTGGATATCGCTATGATGACAGCGTCGACAGGCTCGGTTCAAATGGTGGTCTCGGTAGACCACATTCATAAAGCAGGCTCCACCAACGAGAAGCGCGAGGATCCAGTAAGCCGCCTCCCTGCATGTAAATTGCACCCTGTCTCTAATACGAACAAGGTACCGAGGCTGCAGTATTTCTCGCTACAATCCAACGGCACGTGGCAGGAGGACAGCGGGCTTGCAAAGACGTTTGAGGCTGTTGAGCGCAGTGGAAACCCGGGTAATAGCAATGGCGATGTCCCGAGCGGGGACGACCAATCCGTCCGAGGCCTGCTCTACAACATGGAGAACCTCAGAAAGCGACCGGGCGCGGAGGATTAGCCAGCAACCTTGCGAGATGTGTGTAGAGGAGAGAAGATAGATGTCAAACACGGAGCAAATATACGAAGATAGCAAGTAGACCGTGATGAGCGCGGCTCCAGAACGTCCATGGCTTGTCATCATATCACGCCCAAGCCGTGCAGCATAACGGGGCAAACCAGCCGATACACCGATAGACGCGTGGTTGCCGAGGCCCCCGCAAGGGCGTATGCAGTTTGGCCAGGGGGGTTTCGCGGCAGATGCAGATGGGAGGTTGGAAACCAAAGTGCGTGGCTGCGGGTTGCGTGGGTCTAGTCGCCATCGGATTTCTAAGAATCCAGGCAAGCAGAGATCGCGGCGTGGCGATGGCGTACAGGGAAACCAAGTAGCCGCCGGACTTTTTCTTGCTTTCCGCCGGGGCGGCATCATCAGATAACAATACTTAGTCTGGGAGAGAAGTCGTGGTTTGACGTCTCCCTTTTCTTCTTTTCTTTTCTTCTTCTTCTTCTCCATCGCTATCGTAATTAAGAGACGTCGTGTGACCGTTGGGGCCTGCATAGAAAGTGAACTAAGCTCGGGCTCACACCAAGGTTGAATACACTCACACACACACACGCACTACAACCCCACTACTAAGCACACCGGCATCTGCCCCGAGGCTAGAAAGTCGGCGCTCACTAATTGCTGCGACATCTACTAAGCCAGCGACACGACCGACTTTCCAGCTGCTTCTCCCTCTCTGTGTCGTCTTCACCAAAAAAGCACGCTTGACGTCGCCGCGTAACCCTTCCGCATCCCATCCCATCCCACCATCCCGCACAGCGACCCACTCCCACCACCAGATCTTGCACGCGCCACGCGAGTCTTCGCACACGCCGTCAAAGTGTTCGCATCAATCTTCCGAAGGGCCACATCGCCTCAATACTTATCTTTATTCTCCGTGCCCATTGCTGCTGCTGCTTCGCACAACCAGCGCGTATCGCCTGTAGCGGGGCTCTCGACTGCTTCAAGTTTTTCAAAACCACAAGCGCGGAATATGCATTCAAAACTAGTCAGTAGGTCAAAACTGAAGCTGCCGTGCAAAAACAAGAGCTAACATGCCGCAGTCATTGGGTGAGTTCGCGACACAGCAGTTGCGACATATTTTTTTGGGGGGCGTTCTGACTCTGGTAGCTCTGGGCCAGCAGGCCACACCGCAGCCATCTATGCGGCACGAGCCGATCTGAACCGTACGACACCCTCACTGCGACATCAAATCACCGCTAACCATGCGCAGCCGTCATGTACGAGGGTTTCATGGCTCTCGGCATCGCAGCAGGCGGTCAATTGACCACCACGGACGAAGTGGAGAACTTTCCGGGCTTCACAAAGATTGGCGGAGGAAAGCTTATGGTCCGTCACCACATGCCACAGCTATGCGCCGGCCAGCACTCACAGCAGACAGGAACAAATGCGCGAGCAATCCGAAGCCTGCGGCACCGAGATTATTTCCCAGACCGTTGCCAAGGTCGACCTCAAGGCCCGTCCCTTCAAGTACTGGTTACACCCCATGGGCGATGACGAGGAAATCGAGGAGGAGGAGCACACGGCCGACGCCCTGATCATTGCGACCGGCGCAAAGGCAAGGAGGTTAGACCTCAAGGGCGAGGACAAGTACTGGGGCAACGGCGTGTCCGCATGCGCCGTGTGCGACGGCTCGCTGCCCATGTTCCGCGACCAGCCCCTCGTCGTCATTGGCGGTGGAGACTCGGCAGTAGAGGAGGCTATCTACCTCACCAAGAAGGCGAAGAAGGTGACGGTTCTCGTCCGACGAGACAAGCTACGGGCCAGCCGGACCAACGCCCGTCGGTTGACAACGCACCCCAAGATTGAAGTCATGTTCAACACGAGCGGTGTTGAGATCAAGGGCGAGGACAAGCCCAACGGCCTCATGACGCACCTGGTGGTCAAGAACAACGTCACAAAGGAGGAGCAGACACTGGAAGCCAAGGGCCTGTTCTACGCTGTTGGCCACGACCCCGCCACGGCGCTGTTCAAGGGCCAGCTCGACATGGACGAGGACGGCTACCTGATCACCAAGCCCGGCGAGGGCCTCACGAGCGTCGAGGGTGTCTTTGCCGCCGGCGACGTCCAGGACAAGCGGTACCGCCAGGCCATTACCAGCGCGGGATCCGGCTGCATTGCTGCTCTCGAGGCCGAGAAGTGGCTTGCCGAGAAGGACGACAGCGTCACCAACGAGCTCGAGACGGAGACGCAGGCCGAGAAGTCGCAGACCAACGGCGTCGTGCCCGAGTACCGCTCCAACCCTCTTCTGTAAATGAACTGCCCTGGTCCGTCCTGGGGTGGGAAACACACACAGACATTTGATTTGTTTAGTGCATAGCTGAAAGAGGACATGATGGGGGGGAAACCCCATGTCCTGTTATAGATCTCGGCAACATGGCAGGAAAGCCTGTTCCGTTTCCTTTGCTAAGCTCGTTGCGGGTGGGAGCATATTGCATAGAATCTTTGAGCGGTCGATTTAAGGGTTTTTAGATAGACGAAACATGTGGCAATAAAAAAAAGGTTATTTGGAATCGCATTCTGAACGGAAGTGGGTATCGTATTGGTTCTAATACTCGTGCATGGTCTTCTCTTTTGAGGTTGGTGGTCCTTTAACACTCGTTACTACCAACAACCAGTCGTCACATGATGGAGCAGCGCATAATGTGTATACGCGATGCGGTACATGTGGGCGGGCTTGACGAGCGTAGTAGCCGTCTAGCAGGCGACATTGCATGCTCGCTCCACACGCCTTGTGACGAGACTGCTGGCTCCGGAGGATGACGAGAAAGCTGAATAGCATCTAGGTTGATAAGCATCAACGTCCCAGGCCATTGGCTTTGAGAAGGTTGAGCGCACTCTCGAATGCCTTGACCACACTGATGTCTGCGTCAAGTTAGCCAGCGTGGCATCCCCAGGCGAAGAATCACGGTAACAAGCTCACAGTGGTTTCTCTTCTGCTCAAGCGTATCCTCCGAGTGCTTGACGTATGACGTGCGCGTACACAGTCTGTAAATGCACATCAGCCCAACGCAACTGCATCGCACATCAGCCACAAACGTAGGGGGACCCACCTTGAATACGTTCGATCCGTCTCATGCAGGTGTCCTGACTGCGCCCATAAACGGAAATACTGGGCAAAAAAAAAGTATTAGAAGTGTCCATGTGTTTAGTAAGAAGGAAAGAGGCAAACATTACAGTCATGAGGCTCTCCCATTCCTCTGTTAGCGCTGCTTCCTCCCCATGGCATGTCTTCATCGCCTCGTGATACCGATGGTGCAGGTCGTCCCAGTCAAAGTGGTCGATTCTGTGCGCAGGGTCCGAATCGTCTTCCTCGACTTCTGCTTCTGCTTCGCTGTCGGCGCTGCTTGGCTCGTCGCTGTCATCGTGTCTGGGCTGCTGGGCTGACGCTGGACGCTGCGTCGCATCGGAGCCTACTCGTCTGAGTGGTGCATGGGCGGCTTGAGAATCCTGGCTTGCAGGCTGCTCAGGCCCTGACGTCGGTCCTTGGTCCATGCCTGCAGTGTCTGAGACAGGAGCCTGCTGCTGCACTGGGGGCGAAGACGGCAGAGCAGGCGAAGTTTGGTTTGGGGGCGTTTGCGCTCGCCCGGTCTCGGAGGTGCTGTTCATTCGTGATGCTCGTGGTGGCGGTGGCGGTCAGTGCTGAGGATTACAGTAGTAGAGCGTTGCAGCATTGTCCTGCGCCCATCCAGAGGGAATCTGACGTGTCGACGTCGGCCGTGGTATTTTTTTTCTAAACTCGAGTTGAATCGGCTGCTTGCAAGTCTCGTTTGGAGAGGGCATGTTCACACCACGTGCCTAGCGCAATGGGGTTGGGTCAGTCGCGGCATGACGTTGGAAGGTGCGTCTGACTCGCGCCTCATGCCCGTCCTCAGATACCGCCTCATGTCACGCTGGCTTTCCTTTTCCCTTCGGCGCGCTCTCCCCCCATGCCCTTATCTACACAGCACACAAACAGCAGCGTTGACACAGCCTCCAGATTCACCGGACACCCTACTGGCTGATCTCCATGGATACATAGGCTCCTGCCGATCCCCGCGGCGAAACAACTCTCACCATGGTCTCGCTGTACCTCGCGGCCCTACCACTCTACGAATTCTCTGGAGGCGACATCACATAACATACGCGTTTCGCCATGGAATGCGACATTTGCGGCAAGGGCGCCAGCCTCAGCCAGCCCTTCCACTGCATGACTTGCGCCCGCGCGTACCTTGAACAGCCCCGCATCGAGCTCGCGAGGACGCTGATAGACCGTGATGGCGTGGAGAAGCACGTCAAGGCGATTATAAACGGCTCCGAGGACCAGGCGATACAGCATGTTTCGCTCGTCGACTCCAAGGGCGGACTCTTGGTCGACCGGCAGGAGTGCACCAACAATCTAAACTGGCAGCGCACCAAGGCAGAGACGCTCGAGATACACGAGCGCGTCAAGGCCATCTCGGAGCATGCCGGCAGGCTTCGCCAACAGATAGAAGCCACCCGGAAGGAGCTCGAGGCCAAACGAGCAGCCAACGCACAGCGCAAGTCGGACCTCTCGTCGGCCACGTACGGGATTGAGTCGCGGCGGGCGAACGAGCTGGACAAGGTGCAGCAAAAGATCAAGAGGCTCGACTACAATGCGGACAAGATGCATCACGACACGATAGATTTGCGCATGCAGCTGTGTACGACTGCCGCGAAGCTTGCGGGCTTGAAGATGCAGCGGCGAAAGACGAGAGACGGCAGCATCAAGGAGGTCTTCAACATAGGGCCCGGGTCACGCCTGCGCATACACGATCTCCGCGACATGAACGGTATGACTGGACTTGTTGCGTACGGTGGTAAATGTACTGACGTGCGCACAGATGTACCTCCGGATGGCTTGTCTGCCTCGCTGGCTGCTGTAGCCCAGCTCCTTGTTCGGGTTGCAGCCTACCTAGGCATCCGTCTTCCTGCTGAAATCACACTGCCCCATAGCGACTACCCGCAACCTACCATTTTTAGCCCAGCATCGTCGTACCAGGGGAAGAAAGTGCCGTTTCCTGGCTCGACGCCCTCACACTCGTCAAGCACCAGCCCTGAAGCCTCTCGCACGCTCGAAGCGCGCGTGCACCTCCCTAAGCCCCGTACCCTCTTTGTCGATCGGCCGTTGGGCCACCTCTCAGCCGAGGATCCTCCGGCATACTCATCCTTTATCGAAGGCGTGTCGTTGCTTGCATACGATGTGGCATGGCTCTGCCGCACACAGGGCATGAAGGACAGCTTCAAGCAGTGGGAGGATACGTGTTCAATGGGTCGCAACCTGTACCGACTGCTGATTGCGCAAGAGTCGTACAACCCGCAGCGAGTTGAGAATACATTCGACAAGGACATTAGCATATCCAAGTCGTCTCGCTTTATTCCGCGCAAGTCAGGAGTTGGGTTTGGGCAGCTTTCGCACGCGACGTCGCACTCGTTCCTGGGCATGGCGGAAAATGCAAACTACATCAGCGGGTGGGGGTTGTCACCGACAAAGGTTGTCGACGAGCTCAAGGCATTCTTACTCGCGGAGCAACAAGCACAGGAATGGGATGTGTTGAACCAGAAGGAATGGGAGGACATGGAGAAGCTGATGGCCGAAGAGCCGGTGGTGGTTGGAGAAAAGCGACGGGGCAACACGGGCTTGGACGATGGACGCAGCTACCTGACGTCGACTACAGCCAATGGGAAAGCGTCGCCATCACGCAAAGTGGATGCTTCTGAGGGTGAGCAGACTACGCGCAAGAAGGGTGTAAGCGGCTATGTGAAGCTTAAAAGTAGGCCCGAAGACGATGCATATTAGGGCTAGCAACGGGCTTGCAGTGTGAGCTAATGGGCACATGGAGGACGTCCAAGTTGGATATTGAATCTGCAAGCTACCAATGCACGTGTATGGGAAATGCTGCTGCCGTTACGTATTTGAAATGCGCAGCCGAGCAAGCGGTATTGGTGTGCAGGCCGTGATGGTGTAAGCAAAGCGATGTGTAATCAGACAGCACAGCCAAGGCCGGCGCAAGGCGGGTCGGAGAATACTATGACACCATCCACGCTTGTCCATCACCCCCTACACGCCATGTTATGCCGAGCACCCGCCTGCCAACATGCCACCTATTCGTGGAACGCTGCTACGTATGTGTGTGTGTGTGTGTGCCCCTAAATACGTGGTCTTAATAATGCAAATGCTGCTGAGAAATACGCAAGTACGTAGTCCTCAGATCAAGCGGCACCTCTTGCCGAGACATGGGAGAGGGGGGGGTGGAGGGGTCATATATAAAACAGGGAGGAATCCACTGTTCGGTGTGGGCTTTGCTTTATTACTACTTGCTGCAACCACTACTACGACCCATCTCAAGGAAATTTTGTGCGAAAAAAAAAATCTCTGTTACCGCTATTCACGACAAGGGGAACCTTCGTTGCAAGAAAAAGACGTGATTTTTTTTCAATCTATTCCGGAAAACGAAAAAAGAAAAAATAAATACAGAAGACCGCCACCGCCAGAATAAATTACCTACTTAACGCGCTAAGTAGGTGGACGGACACGCGTTTTGCCCTCTCACAGGGATTTAAAATAAATACCCTTTGTGAGCCGGTGTCAAGACGACTAAGAAGAGAAAAAATAGAAAGAGAGAGGGCGTGCCACCTGCAGTCTGCATAGTTCCTCTTTTTTTTTCCCTCGCCCTACTTCGCTTGGAAAGAAAAACCCGGTCCTGTTTACGTATAATTATCTTGTGTCCTTTTACATTTCATCGTTTGACGACGACTACTACTACTACTACCCCGACTATACGACCACCTTCTTCTTGCCGCTGAAGTTTGGCGTTGTTCTTCCTGATTATCCTCTGCGCCGCAACGAAAAAAAGAGAGTTATCACAGCGTAACCATGACGCTCGCGGAACACCCAATCGATACCCCGCCACGCCCGGCGTCGCCTGTGCACCGATTCGGGACGCTGGCGGTGCACGCTGGAAGTCCGCATGATCCTGTTACTGGCGCTGTGATTGAGCCTGTGAGTTTTATTTCTTTGTCTTCTTTTTTTTGTGACAACGCGCCCCAGGTTTGACGGGGAAATCCAGACTGATAACTGGGGTGGTAGATTTCGCTTTCGACGACGTTTGCGCAGACCAGTGTTGGTCGCCCGGTTGGCGAGTATGAGTACTCACGCTCCTCGAACCCTAACCGGTATGTTCTTCTTTCTTCGTAGCTGCTTTTAACGAGCCCCCAAAAGAGTGAGAGAGAGAGAGAGAGTGTGTGTGTGTGAGAGAGACAACAACTTACACGCCCATGACAGAGACAACTTTGAAAAAGCCATCGCCGCCCTCGAACACGCGCGCTATGCCCTCGCCTTCTCGTCGGGCTCCGCCACCACAGCCAACATCCTGCAATCGCTGGCCGCAGGCTCCCACGTAGTCTCCGTCTCAGACGTATACGGCGGCACGCACCGCTACTTCACCAAAGTCGCGCTCACACACGACGTCAAAGTGACGTTTAGCCCGAGCATCGAAATCGACATTGCAGAGCTGATCCGGCCCAACACCAAGCTCATCTGGATCGAGTCGCCGTCGAACCCGACGCTGACGCTCGTGGACATCCGCAAGATTGCTAGCATCGCGCATACGCACGGCATCATGGTGGTGGTGGACAACACGTTTATGAGTCCGTATGTGCAGAACCCGCTGGACCACGGCGCGGACATTGTCGTGCACTCGGTGACAAAGTACATCAACGGCCATTCCGACGTGGTCATGGGCGCCGCGGCTTTCAACTCGGACGCGCTGTACGAGCGGCTTTCTTTCCTGCAGAATGCGATAGGAGCCGTGCCCTCGCCCTTTGACTGCTGGCTTGCGCACCGCGGCCTCAAGACGCTGCACCTGCGTGCGCGCGAGGCAACCAAGAACGCAACGGGCGTTGCCACGGCCCTCGAAGCCTCGCCCCACGTCATCGCGGTAAACTACCCAGGCCTCAAGTCGCACCCGCAGCACGCCATTGCGCTGAAGCAGCATCGCAACGGCATGGGCGGCGGCATGCTGTCGTTCCGCATCCACGGCGGCCATGCGGCTGCCGAGCGCTTCTGCCAGGCCACGCGCATCTTCACGCTTGCAGAGTCGCTCGGCGGCGTCGAGTCGCTCGTCGAAGTCCCCAGCGCCATGACGCACGGCGGCATCCCGCGGGAACAGCGCGAGGCCGCCGGCGTCTTTGACGATCTCGTCCGCATCAGCTGCGGCGTCGAAGACGAGGCCGATCTCGTCGCTGATGTAGTCCAAGCCCTTGAGAAGGCTGTCGTTGGCGCCAAAATCCAAAATCCAAATTAAAGAAATCGCTTGCTATCTTTTAGACAATGGATTTCTTCTCCCCCTTTTTTTCCCCTCACTTCTCTGTTTTCTCTCTACGTGAATAAAAGAGAGAGAGAGAGAGAGAGAGAAGGGAAAAAAAAGGGGGGGGGGTCGTCTTGTTCCCATGCTCATGCATAGACACATATATATACATGCTCATGGGACAAGTCACTTCACGTCACATCACAACACGAGGATATCATACACTTCTGCATTTACGGGCGTTTTTATCTTACTTTACTTTACGTTATTTACGACTTTTCCCTTTTTCTTATTTTTTTTTTTTTNTTTTTTTACGAAGGCTACATACTTGGATGATGATGATAATATGTCTATCCCGAATCGTACCCCCCCCCCCGCCCGAAAAAAAAGGTATGAAAAGAGAAAGAAAAGACAACATGGCATAAATGATACCACTACTTTTTTCATGAATTTGACTCGTACATTTGCCTTTGGGTGTTTGTATGATTGATTGCATGATGTCTTTTCTTCTTCTTCTTCTTCTCTTGATTCAGTCACAGTCTAGTCCACATGTGGCTATCAGAATCATTGATTGCAAGACAAGACAAGAAATCAAACAACGGTCAAGAGTAATCGGGATAACTTGGGATGTTTCATAGGATTATTTTCACAACCACACTACAACTCATCTCGACTCCTCTCACCACCAGCCTCCTGCTCTTGCTGCTGCTGCTGCTGCTGCTCCTCTTCCCTCTTCCTGCTCTCCACATCCTCATCCCACATCTTCTTCTTTGGATTACGAGGCTTGCTACTCTCCTTGAGCACAGTTCCGTCTCCACGCGTTACTGGCCCATCATCTTCATCTTGCTTCCGTGGTTTGAATTGCGGGTGGTCCGGCACCTCTTGTTGTTGTTGCTGCTGTTGCTGCTGATTTTGTTCCGCCATGTTGCCGACTTGCTGCGAGTAGGAGCCTGGGGGACTAGGATCTTGACCTTGTTTCTGGGCTCCGCCTCCACGACCAACGGGAATGTAGTGAGGCTGGGCGTTGGGTTCGCGCCGGGGTATGCCGCCTGTTGCGCTGGGTTGGATGACTAGGCTCTTGGAAGAAGACGATACTGCGGTGCCCACTGGTGCAACTGCGAAAAGAATGCGAAAGACAATCTTGAGCGGCCACAGGATAAACCACGTTAGCGGTCCGTACAGCCAGCGGCGGAAAACGAGCCAGAGAACGGTTGTGATGAGAATGTAAAAGGTGGTTTCGAGATACCACGTGTCACTTTTTTGGCTTTTGAGTAGTGTCGACACGAGCGTCTTGCTGTTTGCTAGCAGCGTGTTGAGGTCTGAGTAGTGCTCGCCGAGATTCTCAAGTGCAGCCGTCGATTGTTCAAGTGTTTCTTGGGCAAAGCGTGAGCGTGAGAGTTCCTCTCTCATCAACAGGTGTGTCCTTCGTAGGGCAGCGGTAACGTCCGAGGAAGCCTGGGCGACGACCTCGCCTTCTGATATGCCCTGCTGCTGCTTCCTTTGGCGATATGTAGACGAAGGAGTCGAGGAGCCTGACTGTAGGTTGGAGAAGAGCAGTTCGCGTTCCTTGAGCTTTGCGCGGTCGGCGTTGTGTTTGGCGGTAAGCTGGGCTTTGCGGTACTGTGCTCGCGAGCTGTGAAGAGTACAAGTTAGCCAGCCGCGCGCGCATTATGCGGAATAATCATATGCCTCACGATTTCAAGTCCTCGGTCAGTCTTGCAAGTAGGACGGCAAGCCTACTCCTTTCGCTCTCCTTGCTGCTGTCTTTTCTTCGGCCAGCAATGCCGCCGTGCAGAGTGACGTCTTCGACTTCCTGTCGCAGAAGCTCGAGTTCCTCCTCAATGCCCTTCAGCGTTTCATGTATCTCGGCACCAAGTTCGAGGCGCACGTCACCCTCGTCGGCAGGGTCTAGCGGCAGGGAGCCTGGCTGGAAATCGAGTTTGGCAAGGCGCTGTATGAGTTGGCCGGCCGCCTTGTTTGATTCGGAAAGGGTGTTTAGGCGCGCGGTGAGGGATTGGGTGGTGGAGGGGATGGGAGCCATGGCGTGGCGCGGAATGCGGAGAGGTAGTCGTCGCCGGTGACGGAGAGACGACGACTACGGTGGGCCGTTTAGGTGGGGGGAAAGAGCGCAACGTGTCTGAACCGCCCCCCGCAGCCCGACAGGAAATCTCAAGCACTCTTGCCAGATGCTTGCTGGTATGCCCTCGCAGCCCTTGCGCTACAAGACCACTAACATACTGCCAGCATTGGTCCAGCCCGTCCCTTCGCCGCCATGATCACCCGGTTCCTCACCGACGTCCGCGTGTCTTTCAATCCCTTCTCCCCGCGCTCCAAGCCCGCGCGCCTCTTCCTTTCTCTGATCCCACCGGATGCGCGCTTAGATGGCATGAAGATTGAGTCCAAGATGCTGCCGCGAAACAGCAAGGAGCCGGCGAGCTTGGGCGTCAAGTTCAGTACGTACACGCGACCCTGTCGGCACAAGACGGAGGGGCTAATCCATGTGCGCAGAAGACGGCAAGGAAATGAACCTGGATCTCAGCAAGATGCGCATCACACAAGTCGTCGAGGAGGTAGACAGACATTCACGGTCCTTGGCGCGGAAAGAAGAGCTAGCAGGCAACTAAAAACATCCTCTCTACATATTCACACATTGGCTGGCGTCACGGCAAAATAGACTCGAGGCTTGCAAGACGAGTTGGATTTCTTCTTATGATCCAATCTACCGATGTTTTTTGTCGGCGCATCATGCACTTGTATCTACCGTCTACCGTATTAGGTCCAAAAAGAGCACACGGTTAGCCATTAGGCGTATCGATGAGTATCGCACATTGCCGCTTCTTCGGGTTTCTTCCAGGACAATAGGCATCCGTTAGACCTAGTTGGAAGGAGCACCAGATATGTAGAACCACTTGTCGATGCTGGGGTCAATGGGGGCGGGGGCCTTGTTCTCGCCAGCAGGAATGTTGAGCGAGCTGGGGTCGACGCGGTCAGCAGAGGTAGACACGGTAGTGTTGGCCCTGTAAGGTGTCAGTAAAGTTATGCAGCAGCAGTCTATTATCCACATACAGGCTGATCTCGTCCTTGGGCGTCTTGCCCGTGATGAGCTTCTCCCAAGCCTCAGCACACTCGCGGACAATGTCCATGGCGTACTTCTTGTTCTTGCACTCGCCGGAAAAGGCAAACTGGTTCTCGGGCTTGCCGTCTGGGATCTTGTAGATACGGAACCACTCGTTGGTGGCGCGGAGGAGGCCGGGCAGGTGGCGCTCAACGTCCTCGACGTCGTTGAGCTTGGGCGCCAAGGGGTCGTTGACGTTGATCACCATGATCTTCCAGTCGGTCTCGCCCTCGTCGAGCAGAGCCATGACACCGAGGACCTTGACCTGGATGACCTCACCGGGCTTGGCGACCAGCTCGCCAATCTCGCACACGTCCAATGGGTCGTTATCGCCCTTGGCCTTGGTCTCTTGGTGGACAACATTGGGGTCCTCCCATGTCTGTGTGGCATCAGCATTCGTGTGTCGGGGTCCGACATCGGGGAGCGCGTCATGGTACCTGGGGGAAGGCGCCGTAGTTCCAGAGGTAGCCCTTGTGGGGGAAGCAGTTCCTCACGTAGCGGAGCTTGCCCTTCTTGATGTCCTGCTTGATGGGGTTGAGCTGCTCCTCCTTGGAGATCTGCAAACGGCCGTCAGCATGTCCAAGCACGCGAGCAGCAAAGAGGGTGCCAATGGCAGGATGCATACCTCCATCTTTGCGTTGGTCCAGCGGGGCACCTCAACAACCATGTTGAGGACCGTCTGCTGCTCGTTGGCGTAGAGCGGGATGTCGTGCCATGGCGAGACGACCTGACCGTCCTTCTCGATGAAGATGCGGTGCTCGAGCGTGTTGGCGGCGGCCACTTTGCGGGTGGTGTAAGACATGGTGGGCGAGTTCTCCGTGGCAGCGGTGGTGACTGCGGATGAAGAAGCAACGGTGGTGGTATTTAGATGCCCTGCAAGCTGCTGGGCCCTGGAGTTGATTTTGTCGTTGAGGGGTCTAGTGGGGCCGCTGGCAGGCGGGGAGCTGCGTTGGGTTGGCGCCACGGTGACGAACGTCACCGCTGACCGTCTGCGTAAGACGGCCAACGAAAGGGGAAAAAATAACGTTGACCTGCCACTAAGCCTCTGTGCAGAGAGCTGCAGTGGGGAAAGGCGGACGGGCATGGGAATAAGAATAAGAACAAGCCAGTAGGCTACTAGAAGACAAAGTAGCCGGTTTCCAGCCGCGCAAAGATCAAGCCGAGGATCTGAAAACAACGATGGCTGCCGAGCGTATGTCGGAGCTCCCCTCAGTGCGAGCGCACAGACACACACTACGTAGAAGGGCCCACTTGGGACGCTGGCCTAATAGCTATTCTTTTTGCAAGACGAAGCAAGTACAGAACAAAGCATGCATGCAGTTGGAAGTGTTTTTCATGTCCCCGAGTCATTCGAGTCCGGTGAGGCCCATGGCAGCCAGAGTCTGTGGAATTGACGTGACACAGCTATCTCGGCCTCAGTATAGCCTATTTGGCCGCCAAAATCCAGGGGCTACCACATCGCTACCAGACCCATAGTCTTCGGTGATGTCGTCCACAGCAAGATATATTCCATTGTCGTCTCGTGACCCATGCGCCATGGCTTCCTCCAGCATGGGTTCCCAGCCATTGTCACCATCGGAGTGCAAACCGTCGTGCTCATCCATATACTCTTGCTCCAAAGCCCATGCATCAACGCCGCGGCCCCCGTTTCCAGAAAGCCCCAATCGTGCATACTGCCGTTGTTCTTGCTGCTCGTAGATGCTACGACCAGCAACGTATGGTAGTATTTGATACTGACAAGGCAGCTCGGCAAATCGTACAGTAGGCATGCGCCGTGTTGACGGATGCGAACTTGTCTGGTCTTGTTGTGTTACGCGAGGAGTTGGCAACAATGGCTCTGGTCGTGCGGTATCCCTTGTTTGTGGCGAGGCTGCCCAGCGTTTCTCTTGGAAGGTGTCTTTGCACTCCTGGAGAACCTTTGCCAAGTCTGACGAGGTTTCCGACTCGTCCCAGTCCGTGCACTCGCCGTCTACTATCTGGTGTTGTTTATGTGGGTGTGCTTTGTGGTCAAAATTGGGCGACGTTCCAGACTCCCTTGTATTCGGGCGACTTGCTGACAGCCTCTGATTAGGCAAGGCAGGGGGCATTGATGACGGCAAGCAAGCTGCATCAGCACTCTGGGGCTTTTCCGATTGGCTGGCGAGGTCGAGTCGGCGTGGAGACGATGAATATTGAGGGCACGACTGTGATCGGCAGACTTGACTGCGTGGAGCCAGCGAGGATACTCTGAAGCGCTCAGCCACCTCGTCTGCACTTTGCTTGGCAAATGGCGGCTTAGAAGAACTCTCTCTATTCACATTGGACGCATACGGTCTGTATCGTTCTGGATCATGCCGTGCACGAGCAGTGTCGTGGTCGGCTTGAAGGCGTGCAGGCGTCGTGCTCGGTGCTCTGATGGATTCAGACCAGGACACATAGCCAGTGCTGTCGTGGCGGGGACGTCTATTCTCAACGGCTACACTAGACTCTTGGTCAGCAAGCTCAACGGTAGGCACCACCGCGTCAGTCATTGAGAGTGGATCGCGACGACGCCGCTCGGTCTCGTGCATGCTGCTCTGCCGAGATGGCCCTTTTCCAGCTTGTCCTGCCGGTGCAAGGCATTCGGAGGTGAAGAAGGCCGATATCTCCCCTTCGGCTGTTTGTATATGCTCTTTCTTGCGTTTCTTAGGCATGTCTGGCTGCAGTGGGGGCTTGGGGTGGTTGTGCTGGTGCAAAAACTTCATTTCGGAAAATACAAGGTCGGGCACTGCCAGCAGGTCAGCGGAACCGAATTGTATCCCTTGCAGGTGGGTGTGTATTGTATTCTATGGCATCTTCAGAACGCTTACAGCCACGGCCTCTGACTGCCATTGAAGCGCGGCCCTTGCTGAACAAGCCTAGGTCTGGCGGCTTCAACTGCAACAAGCATCAGCACGGCACTGTCTGAGCAGAATCCATGGCTGCTGCATGGCCATCATACAGTCAGCCGGTCTCGCGACACGTTCTTGGCCCGGAAGCTCTGCACTACGACGCCAGGCTTCTCCTTGTTGCTGCGCGCGGACTTGTGCTGCGGCTTCTTGGGAGAAGTGTTGCGTCGCCGACGGTGGTGCACGTTGGGCTCGTAGCGGTCGGGGCGTGTCTTCCGCCGGGGCTTGCGAGCATAGCGACTGGCGTTGGAACATTCACTTGGGGCAGCATGGCGGGCATGGCTGGCAGTCTGTGGTCTCGCGTCGTGCTGACGAGAGGGAGCTTTCGGAGCGAGGGGCTCGAGCAACGAGCTGTCCGACGTGGCTCGCCGTCGCGGATGGGCGGGCGTGGAAGAGTCGGAAGGAAAGTCGGGCTGCTCCGTGTCGTCCAGCCACTTGGATATGTCCATGGTAGCGTGATTGGTGTGGCAATGGCGCAGTGGAGGGGAGGGCTGGGGGTGAGAGCCGGTTGGCGGGCTTGAGTGACACATTGGGCGCTGGCATGGGCGTGGCTGCCTAGAGGTCGGGGGCAAGGGCGATGGGGTGGTTACAGAACAATGGCAAGTGCGCTCGGGCTCTGCCAGGAAGGCACCGTTGGGTTAGTCGAGTGAGCAAAAGGAGCAAGAGCGACGGGCACGGCCTGGATGGAGGCATTGGCTGCGTGGACAACGGGCAGTCATGGCATGCGTCGTCTCGTCGGCCGGCCTGCTACGCCTACACTCGGCACTGCTGGTAGCAGCGAGTGGCAGAAAGAAAGGGCCGTCAGGATGGGTTGTGGAAGTGCCATGGCGGCATCCTGGCGCACTGCGTCACGGGCAGGGCGACGGCGGAGAAAAAAAAACATGCCTTGGCTGGTGTTGTTTCGTAGCGTGTCTCGTGTACATACAGAGAGGCAGGCAGGCAGGCAGGCAGGCAGGCAGGCAGGCCAGGCCAGGCACCGGGGGGATGGGTGTCGGGGGGGTGTCGGGGGCTAGGGGTGTACTGTAGGGCGGCAAATCAGGGCGTCATGGCATGTCTTGTGAGGGTTGGTGGAGGTGGGGGGTGGCACTGGAGCGGGTGGATGTTAGTCGGGCGTACTGTCGCGGTAGTCGTGGCCGTGGTTGGGCGGGCGGGCGATTGGAGGCGCACGAGCCGCGGCTGGGATGCAGAGGGCGAGGAGGGTATGGGTATGTGTGTGTGTGAGTGTGAGTGTGAGTGTGGGTGTATGGGTGGGAGAGAGTGTGCTGTGTGAGTGGTAGGCCCGATCCCCACACCCATCTGACTAGCAGTGGTGATGGCGACTTGATAAGCTTCTTTGAACCACGACGGGCGGTCCAATGCGCGGGCGGCGTTGCACTGGCAGCTGGGGGCGTGTTGGGCGGGCGGCCAATTGCGCGCGCAGCCCGTCTGGCGCCTCTGGCCGCTGCTGGGCCGGCCAGGGACGAGGGGCGTATCAGAAAAATGGTCGTGGCCGGGCTGCATTGCTAGGCTGCAGCTAGACGCCGACTGCATATACCCAGCATGAACACACAGACACGGGACACACTAACGCGAACCTGCCTGCCGACAGCTGCGGCCAGAGAACCAGTCTTTGCCCTCGCCCATTGTCAGCTGCTGGTGCTGGTGCTGGTGCTGGCTGCTGTGCATGTGCGTGTGCGTGTGAGGGGCCACTTCCGCCCCCATCCCCTCGTATCCCATCCTGCTGCAGGGCCTCTCTCTCTCTCATTCTCTTGCTCTCGCCAGTGCCAGTGCCAGTGCCAGTGCCAGTGCCAGGCAGTCCGCCAGTCCGCCAGTCCGCCCGCCCGCCAGTCAGTCAGTGCCAATCCACTGCCACTGCCAGCCCAGCCCAGCCCAGCCCAGCCCAGTCCCGTCCCCTCGACTGCGAAACACTTGCACGCCGCACTCCCTCTCGCTCGCTCTCCCACCAGCCTGTCCGTGCGCCCTTGGGATACCGCTAGCGCTCCTGCTCCTGCTGCTGCTCGTGCTGCTGCTCCTGCTCCCAGCACTCACCCACTCACCCACTCACTCATATCACCGCCTGCCCCGCCAACCCGCACCACAACCATTCTGCTCCTCGCCCTTGCGACCCTCCTACAAGCGTCGCCTGCGCCACCCACCCTCTCCCTCTCCCAGCCTGCTTACCCAGGCACCACTCTACTAAATGTTCGTCCTGTCACGTTGCTTCTACTACTCACTGCCCGCCCGCGACGCCGCCATGCATCCGCCGCCTTCCCCGGCCGTTTCCTTTGTCTTGCCTCTCCCACACTCTGCTTGTCCTTGACCTTTTCTGTACCGCCTGCGTTGCTTTGACTTGCGAGAGCTGCTATTGAGACCGTTCAGTGTTCGATCCAGACATCCTCCGAGCCATGTCGAAACTCTTCATTGGGTAAGTGCCACCTCTCTCTCCCTCTCTTCCAGCACACGACGTTGACGCTTCACAGAGGCCTTGCCTGGCATACCGACGACCAGACGTTGCGCCAAAAGTTTGAAGAGTTTGGCCCCGTCGAAGAGGCTGTGAGTGACTGCCCTCCCAAGACTGGCCCACATATATATATATATATATCCATATATATTTGTACATGTATGCATCTGTGCTCACTCGCCATCAGGTTGTCGTCAAGGACCGCGATACTGGCCGCAGTCGAGGCTTTGGCTTTGTCCGCTACTCACAGGAGACGGAGGCTGATGCTGCCATGCAAGCCATGAACAACGAAGAGTACGCGCTCTGCCTGCCCTGTGGTCTTCACTTCCGAGAGACCGCCCGATGCATGCCCTTATTGGCAGGTCAAAGGTGCTGACGGCGTTAGATTTGATGGACGTAGAATCCGCGTCGACAAGGCCTCGGACCGCGCTGGTGGCGGCGCTCCCCGAGGCGGTGGTTATGGTGGTGGTGGTGGCGGCGGATACCGTGGAGGATACGGTGGAGGACAAGGAGGTAAGCTTATCATGATACACGACTCTGCGCCTTGTACTAACCAGGCCGGCAGGCTACGGCGGGGGTGGTCGCGGTGAGCATAAGCAATTTATTCAAGCATTGGTGACGCTTTCTGACCATGTGACACAGGCTACGGCGGCGGCGGCGGCGGCTGGGGTCCTTCGCAAGGCGGCGGCGGCGGCGGTTATCAAGCTCGCGGCGGCTACGGAGGCGGCCAGGGAGGCTACGGCGGTCAAGAAGGGGGCCAGGCCCAGCAGCAATGGTAGACGCGTCGTGGGCCGGTTTTATGCTTTGATTGCGGCATGTGCTACAGCCTTACGACTAGTAGTAGAGTAGTAGCAGCAGCAGCAGCAGCAGCAGCAGTAGCAGCTGAGAGCAGCCAGGGCTCGTGGGGGGTTGGGCCTGTGTTTCTGCGAAAAAGGGTCCTTTCGGGCGTTTCCGTCTCCGGGGGTGTCTTTTCTCCTATGTTTTTGTTCATGGCAACAAGGGTGGTTGGTACTGACGGATGAGATACCCATTGAACCAGAAGGTGCTGCTGCTCCGTCCTTGTCTTATATACCAAGGCTCTGGGCCTTTTTCTGTTACCACAAGTCTTCTGTTTTGCTTTGGCCATGATGGTTGTGGAAGCGCTTCGCCATATCCAACGGCTCTACATGTACGGGATGCAGACGGCAGGCAGACGGCAGACGGCAGACGGCCAAGGGCAAAGGGCAAAGGGCCAAAAAGCAACAATGGACAAGATTCGGTACCCAGGCCCGAGCCAACCAGCGTCGGCGCGCCCATCACGTCATGATTGGGATGAGGCTCTGCGGTCCCTGGCGGGTACCTAGACAGCACAAGCACAAGTAAAGTTTACCACGACGCTACCCACGACGCGGCAAAGGGCTCGAGGCATTCTGCGGACGAGCCTCACGAGCCTCACGCATTGCTTCTTCGTGTGCTGCACTGCACGATAACGCCGTGGCGAGAGAATGGAGCAATGGGTCCGGGTAGGACCGCGGCCATTGTGACGCCTGTTGCATACATATTGCACTGCATACCTAGCCGCCCGCCAGCTTTCTGCTGAGGCTGCAGCGTCGGCACATGGCCATGGATGTCGATGCACGCCGCCTGCAAGCCATGAGGGCCAGACAGCTTCCGCTTGCTCGTCGCCCGCCCAGTGCCAGTGCCAGTGCCAGCATGCTTTTGCGCTGCTGCTGCTGCTGCTGCTGCTGCTGCTGCCTGGCGCCGTGATCTTCATCTGGGGCCTCCCGCCACGCCCGAGCCCCAAACTGATCAAGACGGGCTGAGGATGCGCGTCTGACTGTCCTCCATCCCTTCTACCACCTCTCCATCGCCGATACACCACCACCACCACCACCATCATGAAGACCTGGCACGGCTGCGACAATGCCGCGGCGCCCCAAGTCCCTCGACGCCCTCAGCCTTGTCGCCGTGCCCTGTCGGCTGTATTTGTCACACTCGTATGCCTCGCTGCATTGGATACCATCTTTTCCCCCGGTCCCAGGACATGGCATGCCCACAAAAAGCCGGTTTCGCATCATGCTGCTTTCGCATGGGAAAAGGTATGTCGACACAGAAGACCATTTCTTGACCCTCACACCCTCACACCCCCACACGTGGGCCTGCAGCCACTATGCACCCTACCACATGCAATAATCCCGCACCCTCGACTTGCACAACAGACCGCTATTCCATGGACTCGACACTTGTCTTGGTCGAGTACATCCATATGGCCCCAGCATATTGCATTTCCCATGGTCGCGTCGATCTTTTTGCCGCATTCGGTAGCCCGGTTCCACATTACCATGGCTTGGACCAACGTCTATCCGTCACACGGCCAACCCACTCGTATACACTCGACCGACCCGCCCAACTAACCGAGAGTCTCCGCGAGGACACTTGAATACAGAAAAAAGAAACTCGTGTTGATACGTAATTACACCACTGATCAAGTCCCAGATCTCGCCGAGTGACGACTTGGAGTTTCACAAATGCTTTGACGGCTTTGAATGCGCAAAATTAAAGTTGCCACTCGATTACTTCAACGGCGTGTATCCTAATCATACCGTCAGCATTGCTCTCGCTAAACTACCCGCCGTCGTGCCAGTAGAGGATCCACGCTATGGCGGACCTGTCCTCATAAATCCCGGTGGACCAGGAGGACCGGGCGCAGCATTTGCGCTCACTGCAGCAGCCTCACTCCAACAGCTTGTTGACTCTGACGACCCTCCTAGCATTGCGTCTGCCGATGCAAGGTACTTTGATATCATTGGTTTTGATCCCCGTGGTATTGGCTGGACGGAGCCGGCTGCCCAGTGCATGCCAGACGTGCCTTCAGCGTGGTCTTGGACTTTGAGAGAAGACAACGAAGGCCTGCTTGGAAGCTCAGATGCTGCTCTTGGAAGGCTTTGGTCTATGACGCATGCCTTTGGCGCATCCTGCAAACTTGCCGAGGAACAGCACCATGGCCCTGACATTAAGCAGTTCATGTCCACGGCATTTGTTGCCCGCGATATGCTGGAGATTACCGAGCGACATGCCGAATACGTGGCAAAGGAGGTGGCTCGAATTGTTGCCAAAAAATCGGGCAAGCAGCCTGGATGCCATAGCACAGGATATGTCCCAGGGGAAAGCAAGCTGCAGTACTGGGGCTTCTCCTATGGAACCTATCTCGGGTCGACTTTTGCCTCCATGTTCCCAGATCGTGTAGGACGCTTGATCCTTGACGGAGTTGTGAGCGCATACGACTACAACCACGGCCTTGGAAACGGGAGTCTTGTAGATGCCGAGAAGGCCCTATCGTCCTTTTACACCTTCTGCCACAACTCAGGTCCCGAGGGGTGCGCACTAGCGTCGTCGAATTCTACTGTCACCGATATCAAAGAGCGATTCTGGAGAATCATAGACTCCCTCTACCATGATCCGTTTCCGGTCATCTCGCTCGATGGCCCGGACTTTATCACATGGTCCGATGTCAAAATGTTGATTTTTACCTCGGTCTATTTCCCCCAATTGACGTTCCCGTTGGTCGCTGGAGTTCTTGCCGATGTCCAAGCAGGAGGCGGCAGTATCATCGACCAGATTGTTCAGCAGTATCGCAATGGCCATGTATATTCATGTCCTATCAACGGCTCTGCAGAGCCTAGTGAGCCGGCGTGGTCTGTTGTGCCTACAATGTCCGTCTTATGCAGCGACGGCGTGGACCGGAGAGATGTCACTAGAGATGAATTCGCAGAGTACTGGCACATTGTCGATTCGGTATCACCCACGTTCGGTTCGTACTGGTCAATGCTACTGATGCGCTGCTCCGCCTGGAAGATCCGCGCTACCCACAGGTTTAAAGGCTCATTTGGTGCCAACACTTCCCACCCTATCCTATTTATTTCCAACACCGCCGACCCCGTCACTCCGCTACAAAGCGGCCGCCAAATGAGCAGTCTTTTCCCCGGCAGCAGTCTTTTAGTAAGCGACCACGCGGGCCACTGCACCCTCTCTGGGGTCAACACCTGTTTATTGGAACACACAAAGGCGTATTTTCAGACTGGACAATTGCCGTCCCCTGGTACAGTGTGCGTGCCTCCGCCGAGCCCCTTTTCACTCAACTCTACCAACCCAGACTCGCCTTTCTACGACCCTTCGCTGGACAATGCGAATGTAGTGGCGCTCAGGACAGACGATATGGATGCCAGGCAGCGCCGTCTTCATGACGCCGGCGTCAGACTGATGGACAGCGCCGTTGAGAGCGGTATCCTGGTTATGAACATGCATGGGAGTCAGAAGATGAAGCGCGTAATGCACAGTGCCATGTTAGGGTGATGTAATTTCATATTGAACAACAATCTGTCCTTGAATACACTAGCCATTGTGGACAAGACTCGAGCTTATATTGAATCGAGGTATCCAGTAGCCCGTACTACTCTTTGGAGCATTACATGCATGAAATCAATAAAACAGATTGATTAAATGATAAATGCAGTAACAATGTTACAATACGAAAATATGGATTCAAGTTGGGATATTCCTCCTACTCCATCCAAACACACACACACACACACACACACACAAAGAATGTAAATTAATATCAATATTCTAGAGCAAGACCTTCAATCCTCGCTCCGCATCACAATACACTTTCAAGATACTGATTGAGTTTCTAGATCCCCCCGCTTTACCCCCCTCCCACATTTCATTCCTATTCCAGCAAAAAAAAAATTAAAAATTTCAACGTTCAACATGTTGTCTCTCCCACCCCACCCGCTCCCTCCTTAACCAACACCCATCACAACACATCACCGCAAACCCATGGACCCCTCAAACCCCTTCCTCGCCCTCTCCTCCTCCTCCTCCTCCTCCTCCTCCTCGACAGCAATCCCCCACCTAATCTTGGCCCTCAAAACCTGTACTTGGCGCTCATACTCCCACGTCGGCGTCTCGGCGCCCCTCATGCCAATGAAGCGCGCGAACATTCTCATTTTGACTTTTAACCGCTCCAGCGGCTCGAGTTTGCATTCGGGAGGGAGGGAAGGGCTGGGATCGAGGAACGGGTGCGTCCAGTTCATTGTGTTGGGGTAGGCGTGTTTGAGATGCGAATGCGAATGTGAGTGTGAGTGGGGGTGTGTGGGGGAGGACATGGTGCATGGGGAAGAGGGAGAGGGAGAGGGTGTTTGCGAATAGAATGCTGCGAGCGAGTCGAGTTGAGACTCGGTGAGGAGGAACAGGGATAGAAGTGTGGAGGGGAAGTTGGGCGGTGGCTGGTGTGTTTCTGCGTGTAGGATGGGAGCGATGGGGAGCGCCATTTGGCTTAGTTTGAGCGCGAGCGTGGGGTTGCGCTTGTGCAGGGACGATGTGCGGGTGCGGTTTCGACGTCGGTCCGCGAGCCCGAGGCGCTGGGGCTGCGGTTTTTGGATGCCTGAGGTGGAGCTTGTGCGTTGGGGGGCCATGGTGTGCGGGGCTGTGCCTGTCGTGGAGGAGGAGGAGGAGGAGGAGTAGGGAGAAGGCGGTTTCCTTGTCTGGTTTTTCGCCAAGTATGCGTTTCTTGATAGCTGTATGATGAGCTGTTTCTGTGGAATCAAGGCCCAGAGTATGTGGGTGCTAGCTAGCTGGGTGCAGAGAACCCCCCATGGCCTGTGGAGGAGTATATAAAGCCGGGTACCAACGGACAAAGCGAGCATCAGAGAAGAATGGGTATTGTTACCGTGTGTGTTTTCTCGCTCTTTGTCGTTACACAGAGTGTTAAGACATTATTTTATCGCCCTCTCTCGCTCTCGCTCTCGCTCTCGATCTCTTCTGGATCACCATTTGTGGGATCTTTGTCTGTTCTCCGTCACGTGTCCATTGTCTTCGAGTCTGGTGGTGGCATGTTGTGTCTACACAGTGTTGAGCATTCCATGGTCATGGTGCCGGATAGAAGAGCTGCGGATTGATCGCCCTTGTTGGCCGTGTTGCGGGTGTGTTGGCTGGCATTGTGAGCCATTGGTATGCATTACACTGTGAAAGTTGGCAGTGCACGCCTGTTTCGAATATCCCGGACCAAGACTCGCTAGGAGGGTTCCAGGTAGTACTGATAATTCATGTCGTAGACCGCAAGTCTTAAGTTGTGGTGGAAGATCCCCCGTCAAATAGTAGTGAGAAGACAGTGTCTCAAGCCCCGAGGATGGCTTGCAGAGACACGTCGTTTTCCGCGCCACCAATGGGTTCGGTGCTCTTCCAGAACTTGCTCAAATGTCTTGCACCGCTGCGGATTTCTCAGTATGATCCCAACTTCGTAAAACACGACTGTCTCACCTGTCACACAGAATGGTGACTATGCGATGGCCGGGTCCAAGGGTCTTTGCAAGTTTGGTAGCAGCAACACCTTCACTGTGTCAGTATTGCCTGGTTTCCAACACTTTATGACGTACAATTCACGGCGCTGGAGCTTCCAACAAAGATTCCGTCGTGCTCGACCAACCATTGTGCCATGGAGATTGCTTGGTCATCTGTCACTCTGATTGCATCGTCAATCAGTTCTCGGCCGACGTCAAAGTTGTGTGTCACTCTGTTGATGCCGATACCCTCGACTATTGTGTCTACTTGGTGTCGTCGTCGCGTTCCTTCTCTCTCCTTGGGATCGAACATGACTCCATACTTGACGCGGTTGAACAGACCGCTGCCCGGAGGATCGGCGAGGACGACCTTGAGATTCGGCAGTTTAGGCTTCAGGTACATTGCAACGCCAGAAATTGTCCCTCCTGTACCGGCGCCGCTGACAAACGCATCCAGACGACGACCAGTTTGCTCGTAGATCTCAGGTCCAGTGCCAGTGAAATGTGCGCGCCAATTGGCTTCCGTCTCGAACTGATCAGCAAAAAGACCTCGTCCTGGCTTGTCAGGATTCGCGGTATGCTCTTCAGCGCGTGCTCGTGCGAGATTAACAAATTGCTTCTGGTCCACAATAGGCGCTGGCCGTACTCGTTCTACTTCAGCTCCGAGTTTCAGGAGCAGGTCGGACTTCTCGATTGCCATGTCGTTTGGCATGCAGCTACTAATTGTTGGCGAGTATTTTAGCGTGCCAGCCACTCAAACTCACATGTGTGCTTTGTAGCCTCGAGCTCTGCAGATGGCTGCCAATGAGATGCCGGTGCTTCCCACTGTGCCTTCATAGACGGTGTCACCCGAGTGTGGCACAAGAAGCCCTTTCTCTTCAGCCTGTGCAGAATTCAGCAAACCACGGGATAGTCTCCACTAAGTGCTTTCATGGCTTACCATTTCAATGATGCTAAGGGCCACTCGGTCTTTGGGACTGTTGCCGGCTCCATTGAGAAACTGAATTCACGCATCAGCGGGATATTTGATGAGGAGTGCACCTTTCAAACCTCTGCTTTTGCTAGTATCTCGCAGCCCGTGTATTCGGATAGTGACTTGATCTTGATGAGGGGAGTGTCGCCAATGCACCCCTCAATGCCCTCCTTGATACTTCCTGTGCCTCGTGCTAATGAGCGCTCTACTTCCAAGAGTCTTCTCTTCAGCAAATCTAGGTCATCAATCTCTGCCAATTGCAGGAGCAAATTTTGCTGTTGTGCAAGCAGCGAGTCGCCGCCTGCATCGTTTTTCTTTTGCGTAGAAAGACTCTTGTTGTATGCAGCTGCCACGGCTATTCCTGTCAGGAAAGCGCCTAGCATGTAGTATCTTGAGCGATCCGACATGGTTGGCACTGGGGACGATCAAATGGGGGAGCGTCACGAACATGGGCGGAAGCGGAGCTTTGGCGATGTGCCTGTCTTGGCATGGCCGCCCGCAAAGCTCACCCATGCGGGTTCGCGCGAAGACCACCAGCGCCGACGACGACGTCACGACTCGCATGTGACGATTGTTCAGGCGCCAATGGACTCGCCGCTCGTTGCCCAGCTGTTCCGCCAGCTATTCTCGCACCGGGCGTCGCAATGCCTGGCCCGCGGGGGTCGGCCGGCCCTCGCAGCTGCCCGCATCCCATACCACCAAAGACGAGGCAAGGCCACACGCCTGGGCGAGGGCGAGACAACCCGAGAAAGCAGATGGACGCCGAGGAGAAATGTTTTTCCCCACGAGAGGACCGAGGAGTTTGAGAGATATCCCATGGTTACGTCGGATATGCTGCGGAGTCGGAGAGAACGACCGCGCAGAGTCAAGATGCTGTTACGGGATTTTATAGAGGGTAGGGCGCTACTTTGTTAGATGATGAATTTACTAACACAGAATTAGACAGCCTGTACAACCCAAACTATGGCTACTTCTCCAAACAAGTCGTCATCTTCTCTCCAGGCGATCCCTTCGACTTCAACGCCATGGGCTCCGAGCACGATTTCTTCCAGCAATTGCGCCATCGCTACACTTCCTTTGAGGACGAGCTTGACTACCGAGAGCCAAACGATCTGCGACAGCTATGGCACACTCCCACGGAGCTCTTCTCTCCCTACTATGGAGAAGCAATCGCGCGCTATCTCGTAGAAGACTACAAGTACAACTTCTATCCCTACCACGACCTGAACATATACGAGATGGGAGCTGGAAACGGTACGATGATGCTGAACATACTTGACTTTATCAGAGACGTACATCCAGAAGTGTACGAGCGGACAAAGTACAGGATTATCGAAATTTCCAGCCAACTTGCCGATCTGCAACAGAAGGGCCTGGGCCATTCCGCATACGCAAGAGGCCATGCCGACAAAGTGGAGATTGTCAACCGCAGCATCTTCGACTGGAACACCTATGTCTCCTCGCCATGCTACTTTCTCGCTCTCGAGGTTTTTGACAACTTTGCTCACGACGCCTTGAAATACGACTTTGAGACTGGTCTGCCCTATCAGTCGCACGTCGTCATAGATCCTCGCGGCGAGCTTTTTGAGTACTACTCTCGCACCCTCGACCCCCTTGCAAGTCAGTTCCTCGAGCGCAGACATGCTGCATGTACGGGGTACCCGCACCCACTACAAGGCTCGCGCATCATGCAGAATCTGAAGAGCTTGGTCCCATGGCGGTCGAACATGAGCATTCCAGAGTACATACCCACGAGACTGATGCAGTTCTTCTACATGCTGTATGAGAAGTTCCCCAATCACAAGCTGGTTAGCAGTGATTTCCACAAGCTGGGTGATGCAGTCGAAGGCATCAACGCTCCCGTTGTCCAGACTAGGTATAAGAGGCAGATGATTCCTGTCTCTACACCTCTTGTAAGTGATGACTTGTTGTGCTTTGCCAAGTATACGTTCTAATGATGCCCAGGTCCACCAAGGCTATTTCGATATTCTCTTTCCTACAGACTTCGAGGTCATGGAGCCAATGTATACTGCCATTACAGGGCGCTTTGCACGCACATACCTCCACGAAGACTTCATGGCGGGCAGGGCAGACATTGGCGAGACGACTACAAAAAACGGCGATAACCCATTGTTGAGCTGGTACAAGAACGCAAGTGTCATGATTACGGTGTAAAGTCAATAAAAAGATATCAGCCCAAACGAGTATGTAGGATAAATTTTACGACGCCAATATGCATTGGCGGCTACTCAGGTTCTTGATCTTTCCATCGGTCCTTGACTGCAGCGACATCCATGTCGCACACCTCAGCGTGTTTCAACACTGCATGCGCCTTCTTGACGACAGGGACATCGATCATTTTGCCGTCGAGTGTCCATGCGCCACGCCCGGCTTGACTGGCTTTCTCATCGGCGATGGCTACCCTCGCAGCCCACTCAAGTTCTTTTTCGCCGGGACTGAAGGCTTTGTGGCACACGGCAACTTGGCTTGGATGTATGCATTGCTTGCCGTTGAAGCCCAAGCCCTTTCCACCCAGACACTCTTGTTCCAACGTCTTCAACCCCTCTTCACCCTTGTAGCTTGTGCAAACCAGATCAATCGTACTTGGGAGCTCTGCGGCGCGCGCTGCCGTGGCTATGGCGCTTCGCGCATACAGAAACTCGGTCAAGGACGGGGTGCGGGTAAGACTCATGTCCTTTGCAAAGTCCTCGGCTGCGAACACCAAACCGGAGAGGTACGGCGACGCGGCACATATGGAGCTCAAGTTTTGTATGGCCTTTGCACTCTCTATCAAGGCGATGATGCGCAGCGGCTCTCTCTCTCCTTTCTTGCCGGCGCTCGGGTGACGCTCGGGACTCAGATGTCGGATTACATCCGTCACAAAGTGCAGGTCGGCGGCACTCTCACACTTGGGCAGCATGATGGCGTCGAGATACTCGCCCTTGAGCACCTCTGTCAAGTCGTCGAGGGCAAGACCCGTATCTACGCTATTTATCCTCACACACATTTCTTTGATACCCGCGGGCCGCTGCTTGCTCAGGATGTCGCGCAGGTTGGAGCGCGCAGGCGCCTTCATGTGCGGCGCGACACTGTCTTCGAGGTCGTATGTAACATTGTCGGCGTGCATGGCAAAGGATTTTTCCAGCATCTTCTTGGAAGACGCAGGGACTGTGTTGCAGTATGTTGGCATAGAGCTATGGTGTTGACGGCATGTAGCCGGATTGGCATAGACGTACCGTACATGCAGGCCCTCCGGATATTTGGCGCTGCCATTGTGAACCGAAAGCCGTCTATCCCGTCAATCGCACGCAAGCAACAGGGAAGAAGTCTGGAAAAAAAAACACAGTAAAGTACTGTAATTCCAGGAAAGCTCTGTACGTAGATAGCCGATTTAGGACCTCGGGACCCTTACTTATCCTATGACGTGCGGGGGTGGCGCCGGCCGCTCTCCCGAACCCCAGGGCCAAATTAATCACAAACGCCGATGCGCCGACGACGCGTTCGTTCCCACCCCCCGGGAAAGCCACGTGAAGCTCATCTTCACCCTCGTCGCCAACGACACGACAACGACATTTCTTCTCCGCGCGCACCCTAGAAAAGTTGGTCCACATGGAGACGGCACAACAGGAGCCTGCGCCCGGCTCGCTCAGCTGGAGACTCAGCAGCCATCCCATCACGCTGCTTACCTTCCTCTTCTTCCGCACCTGTACGTATGAAGCCGCGAGCACATCCAGCTTTTTATATCCAGCCACTTCTCCCCCCCCCTCCCAAGCCCATAGATATGTATAAACTAACGCCATACTCTGCGCCCCAGCCTCTCTCGTCGTGTACCTCCTGGGCCTGCGCCTGCTAACCTCCAACTTCGTGCTCATCTTCATCATCACGATCCTGCTGCTAGCCATGGACTTCTACTACCTCAAGAACATAGCGGGGCGGCGCCTTGTGGGGCTGCGCTGGTGGAACGAAGTCGATGCCAGCACGGGCGACGGCCGCTGGGTGTTTGAGAGCCTCGACCAGGAAACGAGTTCCCGCCAGATCAATGCCACGGACAAGCGCTTCTTTTGGCTCGCCCTGTATGCGCAGCCGGTCCTCTGGGTGCTGCTGGCGATTGTCGCGCTCGTCAGCTTGGAGTTTATCTGGTTGACGCTTGTGGGTATGTTTTTTGGCGAACGGTGATTATGAATGCGTCAGGGAAATATGGCTAACTGGTGATTTTAGTGATTGCCCTCGTGCTTACCATTACCAATACCCTGGCTTTCTCGCGCTGCGACAAGTTCAGCCAGGCTACGGGCTTCGCGTCAAATGCCATGTACGGATCGAGTTTTGCGCGGAATCTGGCTGGCGGTATGATTTCTGGGCTGTTCAGACGGTGAATTGTCACCATGCATACATACAAACAAGAACGTTGAGTTTTTACTTGTCGTTCTCCGTTCAACCCCCAGAAAGAAAGAAAGAAAGAAAGAAAGAAAGAAAGAAAGAAAGAACAAACAAAAAAAAATCAGAAAGCAGTGCATTAGCTAGGCGCAGGAAATATGTATTTTTTTACTTAGAGAATCTAACTATACATACTATATTCATATCCCTCCCCCTTCCGTTCTATAGACTGGTTATGTAGGAATCTTTCAAGTCGAGCATATCTATCTATGAGTTTTGCAATTCACACACACCCCCTACCTACGTACCTACGTACCTAGTATCCTCTTTTCCGATCGACCTCGTTGATGAGCTTGGCTCCACTGCGCTGATGCTTGATATTTTCAACCAGCAGCTCGAACACACGGTCGATATACACATCCGTCATGCTGCTGCAATGCGGGGTGATGAGCACATTGGGAGCATCCCAGAGGACATCATCTTTGGGCAGGGGCTCCGGGTCCGTGACGTCCAATGCAGCACCGCGGATCTGGTTGCTATGCAGAGCCGTCACAAGCGCCTTCTGGTCGATGATCTGGCCCCGCGCTATATTGGCAATGTAGGTGCCGCGCGGGTTTGACTTGTGCAGCAGCTCGAATTCAGCCGTCGACAGGAGGTGCGTCGTTGCCTTGCTACTCTGTGTCAGTCATTTGCAAATTCATGCATTCCATGCAGTCCATTTGGGCGGGGAGGGGGGTTAGGCTAAGGAAGCAGAAGCACTACATACGTCAATGGCACGGCGATAACCAGTAAATCGAGTTCCTGCTTCAGGAACTCGTGCACATGCTCCTTGTCCGTGCCGCTGTACCATGCGCTGGGAAACGCGCCGTCGGGGTCGCCCGTGCCGGGCACAATATAGCCGGTGTCGCGCTTGGATTCGGGCGTGGTGCGCGGAGACGCCGTGTAGGCTAGGACATCCATGCCCAGTGCTTTTGCTACGCGACCGACTGGATTGGGGGCGTTAATAACATTGCTGTGATAATAATGATAATAATAAAAAAAAATACGAGCAAGTGGGGGGGGGGGGTTGTTTTGGCTTCTGCTTTCACGCATTGAGATATAAGAGAGAGAGATATTGCAGTACATACCTTGTCGACCAATACTGCCGTAGCCCAGAATGCCGACTCGCTTGCCCACGCGATCACTGACGCTCTTGGTCGGGCTAGAGTCCCAGATCTTCTGCTTCTGGTTGTCGTACAGCGCCGTGTAGTTGTGGCTGTGCACGAGATCCATCATGACGACCCATTCGGCGATTTGCGGGCCGTGGACGCCATTGGCCGAGCACAGCGGGATATCCGAGTCTGTGTAGATGGGGTGGTTGGCATGATTGTTCACGCCTGCGGATGCGAACTGGATCAGTTTAACCGAGGGAAGCGAGGCTGGCGATGGAGGCAGCCAGAAGAGTGTCGCCATGTACTTGGCTCGATGCAGCGACTCTGGAAAGCGGGGAGACAGAATGTGTTAGCCAAGGCTGGGAAATAACCAAAGAAAAACAAGGCGGATATGCAGATGTTGGAGGCTGGTCTTGGACATTACAGCAATAGTGATAGTGTCATGCAGGTATCTTTCATCCGCCCATCCAACGGGAGCCCATTGCTCTGGGTCCCCAACGGGTGCAAAAAAGCAAGCAATGCAGGCATATGAGCCACAATCACACACACGCCTATTTGGCATGCTGCATGGCTTTTTTCTTCTTCATGCTCTTACATACCTTCGGGCACATGAATCGGTTCCGCCTTGCCGTTCAGGTATTTAGTGAAGTGGTACTCGACGTCGACATCGTTAAAGGTTTCTTTGAGCACCTTGATAACACGTGATGCGTCTGCCTCAGGCCACGGCAATGTGCACAGCACGAGGTCCTTCTCTTTCGAAGCGACGTCACGGGACGGGACGTCTGGTCCGCCGCCCATTGCAACCATGTCAGAGTGTTATCCGAGCGGCGAGAGCGGGAGAAGGGTTGCTGATGTGAGGTGTATTGAGTGTCGATCGTTTATTCGCCGAGACCAGAGAAACTTAAGCTGAGCGAGGTCAGGTATGCAGGGGGCATCCAAAAGGTGTGTGTGTTGGCAGCTCTCGAAGGGGGGATTGGGGACGTGCAAATGCTTAAGTCGGGGCAATTCCCGTATCGTTTTGTTGCTGCAAGTGAGGCTTATCACAAAGGTGGGCGCGCGAGGGCCCGATGCTTAACGCCTAAATAGCGGGGTACTTGGTCTTTAGCCCGTTGACCCTGCGGCTTGCAACTCGGGATGTGGGCTCAGTCCAGAACGACGGAAGTGTCCTAGACGCTGTCACCTTTTGTCGACGATTTGCATGTTTTGGTCAGCATTTCCTGCATTTGTCCATGACGGTGAGTAAAAGCTGGGGTGAACAGAGGGCTTGATTGGCCATGTCTCAACAGACATGTACATCACCAACGAGATGATTGCAAATTGATCGTCTTTCTCACTGTCCCTCCATTGCGACATTACCGTGCGTTGTCGCGTATTGAGTTCTTTGTACGTGATTGGATAGGCACGAGAATCGGCCGCTCGTTGGACGTGATCGGTTTCGGCAGTTCAGATCATCAAGATTCAACGGCACTTGTTAACAGATAGGCGACTGAGATGTCAGGTTCCACTCGCAGCTTTTCCAAGATATGGCCGTTTCGATGCCACCGCACATCGAAACTTTGTACACTGCGAGAGGGTATGTAGTCAAGAGAGATGACATCCACACTTACATACGTGCATGGGTAGACGTGGCCGTATGCACTGCCCCATACCACATATGCATGTCTGTCATGAATCAGTAACAACACGAACCGGGCATAAACAAGCTGTCTTAGTGAAACAATGACAGAAAGAAGCTGATGTGGGGTAACATCTACCTGACGCAAGATGATGCATCTTTTCGGATACAAGCATCTTACCACTGCCATCTTGCAACCTCGGGTTGATGACGCGCTGCATGCACAGTTTCCAATGCCTCGCATCCGGACGTCTTTACCAAAACTCCGCAATGCCGTTTGTTATGCATGATGCGACGGTTTGGCCTGGGCTCGCAGTGTGTCCAAAGCCGCGCCCAAGAGACCAGGACGTAGCAAGTAGATGGAAAAAAACCGCAGAATCCAAAACTCGCCCAAGGCTCTCCGGCTGCCAATGCGTGTGCAGGGGGCTGCCTGCGGAGACTGAGACGCAAGTTTCGAAAGTTCACATAGTCGATTCCGCGTGACTGGTAGGCCGGTGTTGACGGTCCGACATGGCACCCAATAGCAGAGGCGAGTACATTGCATTTGGAGAAAAGACGGTTTCCTCACGTAAGCTTTGGTTAGCAGCAGTGCGGTGTTGGTTGGCGTTGGTGTTGTTCTGCTGATTGCTGGTGAGCCTCGTCCATGTGGCTCGAGGATGCTCTTCCGTCTCTTCATTTCGCTTGTGCCGCTGAAGGCGTAGACGAGCCATTCTCCCGAACCCACCACGCCAATGCCTCCACCCCCAACATGGTTGCCGCGTCGCACGCCTCAGGCCGCCTATCATCCGCGGCCCAGACACCTGTTCCTGCATCCTGTACCGAGCGCGCATCCTTGGGGCCCTTTCGCTTGGGCAGTCGCACCGTCGGTACACGGCGCTCTTCTTAGTAGCAGGCAAGAAGCCGCGTGGATTTGCGTCCCCACAGTATGGATGCAAAGGAGCTACCTTCTCTTTTCATGGCCTGTCTCCGCCATGGTCGCGTGTCGTTCCGGTGAACCATTTTCTGGAAACTGGGGCCCTTGCTATTTCTGTTGAGGAGCATGTGATTCCTATTATCAAGAGGAATCTCAGTTAATACTGCAAAGTTTTCTTCTCGCTCTTCAGCCAAGTGCTGGCAAAATGCAAGAAAAAGCAAATTGGTGGTATGATACTCTTGGCTCTCATGTCGCATGCTTGGAACCGCGGAACCGCATGCCATTGCTCAGCTCATCCTCGCCCACGGTACTTGCTGCTGGTGACTACTGTATGTGCATGGCCAAATGTGGCCTAGGTGTCCAGCGGCACGGTGAAAGGTGCGGCGTCAGCACGGCAAACGGCTGATTGGTTGGTTGTTGCAGCAAAATTGGCAATAAGGCATCGTCGTATACAAATTAGGCATCGAGAAGGAAAATCCCGGGCTTTCCGTTCGAATCAGCAAAGTCGTTGGTGGAGGAGAAGTAGGGGCCCCTGATGGCGAAGAGCAAACTTTGGGGTTAGCTCACTAATCGCCACGTTTTTTGCGCGGCTTGGCTCTGACCTCTCTGGCTTGCCAACGATTTTACGCGACGCTGCTGGACTCTTCCGACATTCCACAGCATTCGCAATTTAGCCAGATTGCCGGCCCCCAGGGTTCCCCAATAAACTTTTCTTGGGACAATCACTGCAGCTTCAGACGCTTGGTATGGAAAGAGATCGCTGGCTGAAAGCCATGACCACAGTGTTGCTCTTCATGAGTGCCGTGTATTTTCATATTATTTCCAGTACTAGTAAGAGAATGGCTAACCGAAGACGGGCTTACACGCTCTATCAGGAAAAGAAAAAGAGATCGTAACTCTAGAAGCTGACAGCTAAGCTCTGCCTGCATGTAGCGAACGAACGACTAAACAAAAGAAACATGTCCGAAATAAGGCCTAGGCCGTGATACTCATTGATCGTCAATTGCTGCTTGGTGACTTCGCACCATAGCATAGACGAATGAGGACAAGAAGAGAGTATGGCAAGCGTCTGCGGCGTCATTGTCGCCCATCCCATCCTGAACGACGAGCCATATAGCGATATACTGTAGTGAAGCAAATCCATTGCCTGTTGAGTACAATGGGTATCTGGGGGTATTGTACATTCAGTGCAACCGTGTATGAGAAAAGAATTCTGGTAAACTTTTGAACGCCGATTGGATGATGCTCTGTCCGAGTATTCGATTTTGTGTGCCGCGGAGCTAACGGCCGGCCGACATGGCGAAGAACACTTGGATGTAACCAGCAGCCAAGTGTGGTCCTCAACGGCTGGAGCCAAGCGGTCTTATGCCCGTGATAATGCAGTACGCGAAGTATCATGTTCTGTCTCCGTTCCCTAATCGGGTGCAGATGCATGATCATGGGTTTCATCGCCCCGACCGTGATAGTGCGGAATCGAGGTTTTGGTCGCGTGTGGTAGAATGGTACGCGGCTAAATCAGGCGGTTGAAACCACATCAGTGGCAGAGGAAACACTGGGCATTAAGGTGTACGCTGAAGATCATTTCGGAAATAGGAAAATCACTTTTTTTGGTTACTCTGGCTCAGACATTGGAGTCATAGTCAGGGGGGTGTAGTCCAAGTCCTCCTCTAGCCATGGACGACCTTGGGTCCCATTCAATCTGTGGGGCTGCTCGTGATTGTGGTCTTGGAGTTGAGAAGCTCAGTGTTGGGCTCTTGTAATCACGCTGGATCTCTTTCTGGAAATGCTCCGGAGTGTCAGATCGGGGGTTGTCCATGGGATAGCTGGCGAGCTCGGGGGCAACGTGTGCGTTCGGGGGCATTTGGTGCTCAAAGTTCTTGAGTTCAAACTGGCGCATGTCATCTGTGGGGTTCCTGGCATCCAAAGACACAAACTCGCGGTTCTTGCTGAATTTGTCGCGGAAGAAATCTCGCCATCCTGTGATCATGCTCCATCGCCCAAGTAACAGGAACACTTGAATCCCTGCAACTGAAAGCATGATCAAGACCGCAGTCACTGTGGACTGATCAATGGCAATCTCCTGGCCCAGTTCGAAACAGGGTGCCGGGTTCTCGCTGTTGTCCATCAAGCACAGGATATACGGGTAGAGTTCTGTGACCTTGTCGGTAGCGTTCTTGGTAACCGAGTTGAGCCAGATGAAAACAATCGAGAAGAAGACGACGTCGACGAGAATGAAGATTACAATGGTGATGCCGCGCCATTGGAGGTAAAGTACTTTGCGGACACGTCGGTAGACGGCTCGGGCTGAGTGGTTTCGTATGCTGGTCGTATAGGAAGGAAAGCCTGCGCTGCTTTGTGTGTCGGTTTTGTCGTCGCTAAACATGTTCTGAAGGTAGACCTTGATGCAATACACGAATCTAATTGTGCGTTAGCAAAATTGCTCCAGTGATACCTGCGGCCAACTTACGTTGCGACCTGGATGACCGTAGCCGCTCCAGAAATAGCTAGCAAGGGGCCCCAAAAGTCCTGCATCGAATGACTGGCGTTGACGTGGCACACATCCCCAAACCTGAACGATACGCCGGTAATGGTAATGGTGACGGTGAAGAAGGCGGCAGCAACGGACCATCCAAAAACCTGGGCACAGTAAAAAAACTTTTTTCCAGGAGTGACGTCCCAGCAGATTTGAAGGTGCATAGAAAGAGCGCGAATGAAGATCCAGACAGCCATTGACAAACCACCGGAAATGAGGAAGGCGCCGGAAAAGGCACATGTAAGGCTGGAGTACATGTCGTTGGGGGTAATCTCGTCGTAGCACTGCTCGGGCTGAGCGCCGAACGGTATCACAAAGCCAAGCTAGTGGATGTCAGTGGAAGAGAAATGGACAAAGAAGAAAGAAGACGTACTGCCATGAAAATCGCCGCTAGAATGAGGCAGTAGCTGAGGTAGTGTCGGCGTGTCTTTTCAGGCGGAAGGACAACGTAGGTAATCAACATGAACACAAGACATACGAGTCCCACAACATTGAGTGCTTCTGCCACTTGGTAGGTAGTGTTGAAACCTACACATGCTTAGCCAAGTGCACAAAACCCCCGTTTCAAGAGCACCTACTCTCTGGGTATAGAACGTCTGTCAGTGGACATGGAAGGCAGCAAACGATGCCATCTGTGTAAGGTACGCAGAATCTTCCATCGACGACTAGGCTTGTTAGAATACGGACGAACGCTGCGATGGAATTACCTACAGCCGTTGAATCCAAATCGTGCCTGGTCGTAGAAAGGCGCGGGACAGCCTCCCCGAAGCGCGTCGGTCGATGTAGCGTTGGTAGCCATGTTGAAATTCTTGAATCCTTCCTACAACGAATGGGCCCAGAGTGTAGTGAACATGTGGAATGCAAAACCACCGAGCGGTATCCCAAGTTTGGCTAGTGGTGATATAGGGTAGGAGGTGCTCGAGGCCCAGCCGGCATACAGCAGGTTCCGTGATCCGAATGAGAGGATGGGTGAAGTCTGCTATGTTTTATGCGGTTGCAAAGCAACGTCGTACAGTGTGAGAGACCTGTTGCCGCGATTTGCCAGGATAAATGCAGTGAAGGCGGCGGGTCAAGAAAGAAGCCAGGGTGGGGGAGCAATCGTGTCGCAGTTGACCTAGATGGGAGAGGCAAGGTAAAGAGTGAATAAGGGCCTAGGGGTCGATCCAGAGGCACACGAGGTCAAGCGAGCAGAACACGAGAGACGGGACGTCATGGAAGATGTAGGGAAAAGCCGCTGCGGCACGAGTAAAACTGCACGATGCAGGCAGACGCCCTGACCATTGATGTGGCTCCTGGTTGGGCCGCCTTAGTGGTACGGTAGGTGGATGCGGCGATCCTGGCATGAACAGACCACTCCCCCCTGTAGGCTCTCTTCATCCACCTCTTAGTGTAGGTAGCGCGGCCAGAACCCCAGAGGATGCGTGGCCAAGACAAGCAGGAGGTGTGCAAAGACAGGCCAGGATTTGCAACAGGGCCGGACATGCAGACAGGGATGGTGAAGTCGGGACCAGGCACCACACTGATATGCGCCTGGACACTGGCTCAAAGGAGAAAAAGTCAGCACGGCGAGCTATCACGTCTTTGGCCTGCTCACGCAGCGTGATTCGCGTGCATTCGAAAAGGGCTAACTGTCCCGGGGCGTGGCGACGTCTAAACGGCGTCGTGCGGGCGGCTATTAGCAGATGTGCATGAGCGTGCGGCGCGGTACCTGACACCTCCCCCCACCTCGTGAACAGGCGGCCGACCTATGGTCCCTCTGGATGCGGTTGCGGTAGGAAGTGTCAATAGACAGTCGGCGATGCTGGGCCCATGGTAGGTGGTGGTGCGACAGGCCTCTGTTGCCGCTGACTGGAACACGCTGCCGATGACCGATGGATGCGTGTGGCATGGCACCCCCGTCGCCCCAGTGCCAATGCCAGTGTCAGTGCCGCGTCGCTCTGGAGGAGTTCGCCGTCAGTGTCAGCGGAAGAAACAATGAGGGGGGCCCTGGGGACGGTTATGCGGAGCGAATGTCATTGGTGCATGCTGCTTTTACCCCCATCCGAACAGGACATGGCCGGCATCCAATGACGGGCTATCCGAGTCGTGCTGGATCCACAGGCTCAGGCAAAGCTGTGGGACCAGAGCCGGCCTGCTCAGCTTGCCTCGCTCCCCGGCGCGCAGGCATACGAACAGACACTCAGGTCGTGGGCAGGCTAACGTGTACCGTCCAGTCTCCGTCATGGCAGAAGGTCGGAGCCGTGATGGTCGGGGGGACGGAGCTGTCAGGCGGTGGTGGTGGTGGTGACAAGGCGGGTGAGCATCGCCGTTCTGCAACGCCGGGCGTTTTCCCAAGCCCCTTACGCCACGCTAGCGATGCATCTGGTGGGAGGGTGGGAATCATGCGGGTAGCCCCAACAAACGCGTAGCGACGCGAACCAGTGCATCCACACAGCATTGCTTTGATTAGGCGTGGAGGCCTCGCGTCGCTCATGGGGGATAGATAGACGCTGACTACATACAGGCCGGCCGGTCCGTTGCGAGGACATGGGCGTGGGTGTAGTGTAGGTGTGGGTGTAGGCATGGGGGCGTGACTGTGCTCAGGAATACACGTGGATACGCCTTGGCCGTGCTCAAAAGTGCACGTGGTGTGCCGTCCCTCCCCTCCCCTCCCCTCCATCCCATCCCATCCCATCCCATCCCATCCCCCTCCCCCCAGCTGCCGTCCCCCCAGCATCCCGACACCTACTTCGGGTAAATAGGCTCTTGTTTCAATAATGACGTCCTGTTTCGCATTTTCCAGATCTCCACGACTCAAAGCCGCGCATATGTGAACGTCTGCTAACACCCAGCGACCAGATTTTCTATATTAGAACACCATAAGTGGGGGCTCACCGAATTGAGTTTGCGACGTTTGATGCCGACATTACACGTGGCCGTGTGCTTGTTCGTCTCGAGCAAAGGTTGTGTGGCATGGACGTGGGGTTCCCAAAGACGTCGAAGCAGCAACCATTGGCCGGCCGAATTCATGGCCTGAGGGTTCGCGTCTTCGTCAGCACACATCCTCCCAGTTCCAGTCGCATCCAACCTGCCAATAGCCCATGCAAATTGTCATCACGTTGCACTTGGCCACTGAATGTCGCCACCTACTGGGTTCAGAACCAGTAAAGTCCGGCTGACCCGCCAACCTGGCTTCCAGCCTCGGGCCTACTACCATCTCATAAAAACCCATGGTATTACAGGCTCGCCCAGGTAGACTAGACCATATCACGGCTTCCCATGTCTTCGCCAGTTGCCTAAAAAGGAGACGGGAATTTCAGCCTACGGGATCTGTCCGCAGAAACCCAACAAGCCCATCGCAATGGGGAAGCACGCCCGGAATACGTCATTCACCTTACAGCATCCTTCCAGCATCCTTCCGGCGTTTTCAGGGTCCTCATCGGTGAGGCTCAGCGACTTGCCAATACTGGATGCTGGTTGTACGCAAGGTACAGCCGCCTCTACGCCCAGCCCGTCGCCGTACTGCTGTCCGGGGAAGAAGTATCCTCTCCATCCTCCGGTCTTCCTGCAGGCCACGATCCCCAGCTAGAACGCGCCCCGAACATTTCACTGAACGATTTGAGTATAGCTTGTACCGACTCGCGATGCCCATGAAGCCGATCAGTCTGAGTCGATCAGCAAAGTGCCGTGCCGCATTGTGAAACGCGTTATTACGGTATCGGGTAACCGCCCTCAAACAGTCGTCGGGTCGACTCAAGTAACTTCAGCCCAAGGTATCATAAGTATCAAAAAATAACTTGAGAAACGACATGATGGTGACGTCTTTGCACATGCGCACTCTAGCTGCAGGTACAGTGTCGTGCATATCCATCGCTTGATTCGATGTACCTCCCACTCCTGTCCTCTAACGCTTGGTTTCTCTGAGACGGAAAAGTAATGCCGGTCTAGACCTCAGCAGCGGGTATGGCGTTGACCAAGGGCGACTAACCTGCAAAGAGGAAAATAAGACGAAACAATGCAACCCCGCGATGCAAGTCGTGCTATTGTGTGGCGCTGTCGCGTCCATTGTATTCCCCTCAGCACTTTGCGAAGGCTTCCCAGCCATACAACCTCTTATCGGCTGCGCCCCCATCATCGATCGATAAAACCAAACAATCTGCAATTTCCCCTGTATTACCCAGTAGGTTGCCTGACTCATCAACATCGCATCCTTTTGCAAGAAAAAAACGAATATTGGTGGCGTTACGGCCTGCAACCCGCCCGTTGACACCCAGTTTCCCGAGGGCTTGGTACACCTAAGTAATGACACAAGAGCAAGACGACGACGACGGCTACAGCGCCAAGCCCTAGGGGTTCACGCCCAGCTTCCACCGCTCGTACCGAGCATACAGGGAAGAGAGAGAAAAAGCAAAACTAGATTGGTCAGTACGGCACGTAAGCCACCCGTTTATCTTTAGCCTGTACGGCTATGTCCCGCGAAAAAGCAAAAAAGTGGCTTGCTCAGTCGCCATCGAGGGCGGTGTGCTTTGACTGGGGGGTGGGGGGGGGGGGGGTTTGTTCTTTGTCTCTTTATCGATTATCAATTTCCGCCTAAGCAACACACGCATGTATTGGTTCTATAATGTGGGGGCTGCATTAAGAGAGGGGAGGGGGTGAAGTGTAAAGGAAGAAAGAAAAGCAGGAAACAAACAAAAAAAGAAAGGCAAAGTGGAATACCAATACATCGGTGTTTGGTACCCTGGGGAATAAGAAGCACAGTGTGCATACATATGTAGGTATCTGTAGCTTTTGTATCATCTGCGACATCTCGCCATGCAGCTCGCGCTCGTTGCGGTCGACCTGGCATACGACGGCGTGCTGTTCAGGTGGCTAAGTGGGTTTGTTGAGAAAGGGGGGGTGGTTAGAGAGGGTCCTCGAGTCTGCAGACACGACTACGTGGCCACTCGAAGGTGTAAATTAAGGACACGCAGCGGGTATCTGTATCTGCATCTCAAGATGCATATTCCCCATATGCAAGATACTGTGGAAAGCGATGTGATTGGGAGTCTTGCTGCAGCCTTGTGCTTGGTTTCGTGCAAGTACATGAGTAAGTGCTAACTGGACTTATCTTTCAATGTTTCTGCGTGGAGTTGGAAAAATGGTTTGTTCTTTTCCTCTATCTCTATCTTTCTCAAAAAATACAAGTCATGCGTTGCAGGTGGAAACAAAAAATATACGGCCCGGACTTCCGTAACGACTAGTTCCCCTCTTTGCCTGAGTAATGCGCATGGTTGTGTTGTAATAGGAGTCGAGAGCATCGAGATAAATTTCAACGAGCTGAATGGGACACATGAATTGCAAAAATATGAGATCAGGGCTATGTAATTTTTTCATGAAAAAAAAGCCGGCTTGAAGCATATTTATTGCTGTGACACTGTTGTTGTGCTCACTGATGAAAAAGAAGAACTTGGAGATTATGGCTGCATTGAGTGCTGCTCTTGTGGAATACCAACATACAATAACCGAGGTGGAGAACTCCTCTGGCGTAGTCTACTCATCTATCAGTTCAAAGAGAGAGTGAGAGAGTGCAGATATCCATCATGAAAACCCCAAATCGTAATGCCAGATGTCGCCCGAGCAGAACAGCGTGGAATAAGAGCGTTGAGAATTCTTCTCTTACTTAGTCCTCTTCTTCATTTTTTCTTTACCTGTTCTGTTCCTACTCGCTCAACCCCTCATATATCAGCTCCTCGACGCCCGCCACAAACTCTATCCACGCCGCATCATTCCACGGATAGTAACTCCCCCAAACCGCCACGACAATGCTCTTCTCGACATCAATCCACGCATCACAGTTGGGCGCACCATACCAATACACTGTTCCCTTGCTCCTCCCCCTCTTGCCACTCTTCAGCCGCCGCTGAGCACCCTGGACACCGCACCCAAACCCATAGCTCCCCTCAGGATCCAGATGCGGCACGGACAAGTCGACCGGCAGGAGAATCGGCGCGGCATCCGAGGCAGGCAGGCTCCTCGAGTCGTTCCTCAGACCATCTGAAAGCTGCGGCTTTGTGATTTCCGCGACGGATTCTGGCGACAGAAGCCGGTGGCTGCTCGCAGGATGCACGCCGTTATTCTGCGGCAAAAGCGCAGTAACTAGGCTTGCGTAGTCGCGTGGACTAGCTACCAGCCCCGTGCCTAAACACCCTGCGTGATGCTTTCCAGTTGGAAACGCTTCGCTCCGCCTTACCACGTCGGGTTCCGCAGCATCGATAGTGACAAAGGCATTGCCCTCGCTCCGCATCTGCCTCGGCCAGAACTTGCCCTTATTCTCAGCCCGCGCCGTCACCGTACCGCCAAAAGCAGGTTCCGTCCCGATTTCCCGGAGGCCGAGCGGCTGGAAAATGTTCTCTTCGAGGTAGCCGTCCAGCGAGGTCCCGCTGATGCGCTCGATCAGCACGGCTACCCAGTCGAGGCCCTGCCCGTAGTTTGTGTGCGTGCCCGGGTGCCAGAGTAGAGGGCTTGCGAGGAGAACTCCATATGGATCTGTAGCTTCGTTTGCTTTTTCCCATACGCCGTCGCCGAGATCGCGGACGTAGTCGTATAGCAATTGGTTAAAGTATGTGTGACCGCCGCCGTATGTGTGCGTTAGCAGCATGCGTGCGGTGATGTCGCCTTTCCTGTCTTCAAGCTGCCAGTGCTTTTTTCCCGTCTCGGGGTCGACAGTGTAGCCGGTTAGAACTTGCTTTGCCGCGAGCTCGGGGAGGTGCGTGGTGATGGTGCTAGGGTCGTCGAGACTGGCGAGCCCGCGCTCCACGAGCTGCATGTATGCTACTGCGCCGATGATTTTGGTCAAGGACTGGATGATAGCGATGGATTCTGATGTCGGGGGCTTCGAGGGACTGGCGCCATGGGAGAATATGACCTTGTTCTGTGCGTCGACTATATGGATCATGGCGGCTGGCAGTGCCGGATTGCTGGTTGCTGGGTCTGTAGCATTTTCAATGTATTTTTTCAGCGCGTCACTGTTCTCGAGGATAATCGGCGGGAGTTTCATTGTTGCTGTAGAATATGAAGGCTGAGTGGGAGCGTGTATGTGTTGCTATCTTTCTACATGAAATACTGTATCCATATAAATATTAGCAAATATAGGATTCTATCATTAGCATGCTGACTACGCAGCAGCTGTAATCCTGTATGCATCTCTGTAGCCCAACAAAGCAACTTCCTCAAACAATGAAGCTGCAATGGCAAGACTGGTTGGTGGGGTCAAGTATGCCAGATAGTGGTAAGCGGGGTAGATGCTTACACCCTTTGATACCCACGTAGACGATTTAGGAAAGTCTGTCTTACAGCATTGTGCATTAGTGCTGAGACAGTCAGCCATGGGTAATTCTCCATGTAGTAGATAATCTGCAACATCACAATAGAGCTGTGTTATCTTGTCATCCCTGTGCTTATAAGTCGGAGCTTTCGTCTCATTTGCAGTTACCTGAGCGACATCTTGGCACCAAGAAGCTGAGTGCGAATAGAGTGGGGTCCTTGTGAAATGAACATTCCTACTTACACCCCGTAATGCTGCTGAAACGGGGTGCAGCTTTAGCTGTTGTCCTGGCTGTCCTGGCTGTTACCACGCTGCTCTGACTATACTGGCCGTTCTAGCTTTCTGGCTTTCTGGCGTGCTAGCTCTCGTCGTGTAACGGGGCTTGACCTAAGGCAGAGATTCCTAGCATCCTACTACAGCCTTTTGCAGCTAATAAGGGTTGATTTTGCTAACAAAGTCTTGAAATTTAAGTCCTGATGCAAGGCACGTGACCATACTACAGATGTGACTATACAACAGACGTGACTGAATTCAATATGCAGCTAAAGGTACAATAATCCATTCGTTGTATACTGGTATCATTAAAAACAGTTCGTGCATCCCAAGTGAGCATGACAATAACTAAACTTTGGACGCCCTCGTACGCCATTGAACTCTACCGAAATTTAGCTCTTCTTCCCCATGACCATCATTGATAAAATTCTACTCCATGACCGTTATTAGTAGAAATCTTCCCATTTCCCCCACATGATGGTAGATTCGTATTTGTTCATTAGTTGGCCCGTGGGGTCGTCACCCTTCACATGTGCCCATGCGCCCGCAAAATGCAAGATGAATTTGCCCGACTTCCATTGGCCATCTCGGTTTTCGTAGCATGGGATTTCTTCGGGAAAGGCGTTCAGCTTGGACTGCGGCGCTACGATGAACCTGTGCGAGTATGGCTCCTCCTTCATGAGCTCCACCATAGCGTCTTGTTAGCTATAGTTGATGTTGTTGGCATTGTGGAGGTCGAGTGCACGGTGAGTAAATTCCAGGGATCGCTCGTGTGCGCGGGTTACAAAGGAACCCAGATTCAGGCCATTGCAGTCGTGCGTAAAGATGTAGTCAACCTCGTCGGCATTTTCGGCATTCTGCAGCTCATCGTAGATGATATCTTGGATGTTGATATCGGTGTTGGTGATGAGAGTGTCAAAGTCGAGCCACCAAATCCAATCGTATGTGTCTTTTTTTACCAGCCTTTCTAGCATGTCAAATTTCCAGAAGACAGGGTTGCCCGTCGCGCTGTGTTGCTCGTAGTCGGTGATGAAGTCATAGCCATGGCGGCGGGCATAGTCTGGTTGTGCTGCATGTCAGACGGGACCTGTCAAACTATCATTGGCTCATTCTTACGGTCTTTGTTCTTGAGCGAAAGATGGAGGTATGATCTCTGCTCGGTGACAAACGTCATGATGGCCACCCGCAGTGGCTTCCTCTCTTCAACATGGGGCTTTTGCTCGGGCTCGACTGGGGCGGACGGGGGAGGCGGAGACGATGGCAGCTGTTCCCGGTAGCTTGTTGCCTGACTGAGCCGCCATCCTAAGAAGACGAGGAAAGCAAGGAGAAACGCGATCGACAGCGGTATCTTTTTTGCCGACCGTATAAGCATGTTTGCAATATGTAGAGGCCGAGGACGTGCGTCGACGACACAATGGGGAGAGAGACGGGGGTAGGCACCGGTAAGCGAGAAGCGTGCTTTCCTGCGGGGCCGCATATATTTATAGGCAAATGCAGCTTTAGCTGCATAATAGAATAAGTCGCGACTAAGCGTTGGACTTGGTACTACAAACTGGGGTTGAGTTGACCTGCCTATCGGGTACAACTAGAAGTAATCACGAAAAGCTATTTCTTCGTATGGCCGTCTCCTCCAAGACCACAAATCAAGTTGGGATTACGAAGCAAGCTGCGAAGACCACGTGGCTGGACGGCGCCGGCACCGGCGCTTACTAGCCATCGACGCTTCGTTCGTCCGTAATCTGTTTCCAGCTTTGGCTGCAGATTATGGTCGAGTTTGACCATGTGTTCTCCATACGGTGCGAAGGTTTCAAAGGAATCAATAGTAATTGGCCGAATCAAGCTCTGATCCAATTACCTCTCAATGCGTATCATCACGTGATTTGCACACTAGTCTACTTTCGTAGCATCTACCATCGACGCTTACCAAAAGGCTTCTCCATCACCATAGAGGCTTCTCGCCACTATCACGGCAGCTGCCTACTACCATAGAAGCCGCCTGTTACCACCGCAGAAGCTGCCTTTTACTACCACGACGGAGGCCGCCTACCTATTACTACCACAGCCACGGAGTCTACCAGTAGAATTCACTCTTTCAGATATGAAAGGCTTTAATAGATATTCAAACTTCCTATTCCAAGCGAGATGTGCTAAGCTCTGTTAGATGATAAATACTAAAACGCTAGAACAGCTAGAAACGCCGACCCGACTAGTACAACCAGAGCAGCGTGGTAACAGCCAGTACAGCCAGGACAACAGCTAAAGCTGCACCCCTTTTCAGCACCGGCATGGGTTGTAGCAATGCTTTTTTACGCTACTACAACAGCATAGGTCCAAAGACGCAAGAGGGTTCGGGTGTTGTTTTGGTGACGGGCTCGACTTTCGTGGCTGGTGGGTAAATATCCAGGTGGAGATGAGTTCGGACCGATACCAGTTCGCACGTCTGCTTGAAACTGGCTCGTTCTTACCATACTCTCAGCCAATAGCTAACGATGTGTGTGCTTATTAACATGTAATCTTGGCTTATACATGTACTACGGATTTGATCGGGGCAGGGGTTACAAAGCGACCCCTGAGAATGGCTGCCGGGCCCAGAAGACGTCGGCACACGGACCCCTAGCGCCCGTGCCTGCATCTCCAGCTCTCCACACCATACATCATCATACATCACCACCATCACCATCACCACGCTACCAACATGTCTGGCTTTGGCGGCGGCCAACCTGACAAGGGACAGCTCCTCAGCGGCATCTGGCATTGTACGGCGACACGACCATAGTTGGCCACCACTGACACCCCATAGGCGACTGCAACCCTCGAATACCCGCAATACATCTGGAAACCAAGAAACCAGGTGTCAATCACGGCAGATGGTGTATGCTGCCCATGACTACGTATTTGGCGCATCAACCTTAACATGTCGCTCCAGTTCGCACCTGCGCTAAGCCCAGAGAAGGGAAGTGCAGATTCTTCCTTTGGGACAGCGATGCCGAAGCACGCGAGAACAGTGCGGCTCCTCCCACGCCGAATCGCAAGCGAAGACGGTCCGTCAGTGGTAGTATCAATGACGCATACCGCTCTACACAGGGCGACGATGATGATATGAATGAAACCGCGAGCACGACCGAGACACCAAGCAAACCCGCCCCAGCCAACAGCTTCATCACTCCGGCCACAAAAAGACGCAATCTCCCTTGGGGTGTGGATCACAGCAGTGTGACGGCTGCTCATGGGCTTCAAACGCCTCAAACAGAACGCAAAGCCCCAGGGGATCCCTTTCCCTCAAGCAATCCAACGCCAACGAGCAGCATCTTAACCGCATCGCAAGCCACTGAGGATGATGCCCACCGATTTGCAACCCCGTATACTTCCTTTGACAGGGCACCGGCTCTGAACCGCCACAGAAACGCAGTAAACGAAGATCTAGTCAATGATGTATTGGGACTACTCCGAGAATCCAGTGTCCGCCTGCCCGATCACACTGAGAAGGGGCTTCGGACCTTCTTGAAAAGACACGCAAAGACTACCGAAGGCTACAAAAGAGGTCGCGATGTGATGCGGGCTACAGTCAAGGCAAAGGATGCCAGGATCGCCGAGCTCACATATCGAATCGGCACACTGGAGGCTGAACTGGAGGCTGAGAAGGCCATGGTGAAACATTTAGAATGGGAAGCACAGAGCGATGCTTCAGGTTTTGATTGAATTGCACGAAGCACACTAATGAGGGTGCTGAAGTTCGCTCAGCGTTCCAAACACGGACTGCCTGGTGCATAAGCGATTTCCATCGGTCTGATTCTGTCCCATATCCACGGACTCGGTGTCTGATTGGAGTTTGCGGATCATGATTCCATCTTGGCTTGCCTCCACAAGACACTCGAGCAGCTCCACCGCCACTTGAGCCCGACAAGTGGGAGCTGCTTCAGGCTCATTTCTGATGCACGCCAGACTATTTGCTTCGCTCTGGTGCGCTAACCAGCGTGCATTGCGCAAAAATCAGAAGTGTCACGCAATCGCTTAGCTTTTGGTATAAGAGCCCGCGAGTGTGTACGCTGAGACCTGACGTATGCGGCAACCGGACAAGAATACCAGCGAGTCGTCAGTCTTCATGTGTGCGCCACCGCTCCTGAGCACGTAGGAGAGGTCTCTCGATCCCCGAGTGGAATTTGTCCAGTTCCGTTCCCCTATGACTGATGAGAATTCAAAGGAAGAGCAACGTGCCCAATGTAGCGGAACTAGATTTGCCCAGCGTTGGCAACTCGGATGACGGCAGGGAAGCGCCTCGTGATTTGTCGAAAACATATCAGCGACACATATCTGACGTACGCCGGGCCATAACCGACAGACTGTTATCCACTTTTTGCAGCGGAATCTTGGCAGTCAACCGTGACCTCCGCCAAACTGCTAAAGATGGGTGCTCCTGGTCCAAGAATTGCGTGACGCCTATGGTCATATGGGCCCTTCTTGCAGAAAGAGCTTGTTTTGCGTGATGAGCACGATCGGTGTTGCCGTCAGCCATGCCCCTGTGGCACGACCGGGCCACTCAACGGTCTGGGTCTACCTATAGGATGACGAGTGCCTCACCCATCCTTATCAATGTCAACTGAACCGGACAAGCAACCGAACGTGGGTTTGAAGAGTTTTGGTACGACTTCTTGGCGGACATGGTGGGGCTACGCGATGGGCAGGATACAAAACTGGTCCACTCCTTTGTAGTATTTCTTGTAATATACGTTTTTGAATGTCTGGAAAATCGTATGCCAAGTGCCACGCTATAGCTGGTATTATCAACTTATAGAGGTGCCGCACTTGGAGGCTCGACCTTTTTGTTCTTTGTTTTTACTACTTTGCAAACCATCTTCCAAAATGGCTATGCGGACCCTGCGGAAGATTGGCGACTACATAGCACCTCCTGCTGCGAAAAGTGACGACGGCCGTGACCAATGGCCCTCGCGAGCAGCTTTTTTACTTGCTGCTATGGGGGGTTGTGCTGGACAAGGAAACTTGCTCAGGTATCCAAGTGTGCTTTACAATAACTATGGGCTCCAGTGGTTCATCCCATATCTACTGGCCGTATTTCTCATCGCCATTCCAGCGCTTATCCTCGAAGTGTCGATTGGCCAAGCGTACCGGGGTGGAACCGTCATTGCGTGTAAGGTGCCCCCATGAAAATAGTGGACATGACGCCAGCTGACAGAAGCAACCTCTAGTCAACAATGTGCACCGTCGCCTGAAGGGTGTAGGCATGGGCCCAGTCATTGTCAGTTTCCTCGTCGTGCAATACTTCACCGTCAACCTGGCATGGATCATGCAGTACTTCCGGTACAGCTTCACCAGCCCGTTGCCATGGGAAAACCGGATCGACGAATTCTACTATCAAGACGTCCTTCAACGTGGAGATATCAACGAGGGAAGCCTTAGCGCAGACGGAAATTCAGTAGCCCAGTTTACAGGCTATCCCAACGGAGCGCTTCTCGGCGAAACTGTTGGCTGGAGCATCTTTGTCTGGTTCCTCATTTGGATCTCCATCTTCCGCGGCGTTGGAATGACAGGCCGAGTCGTCTACTTCACTATGGGCCTCCCGATTGTCACCACCATCATCTTTGTCGGCAGGGCATTGTCGCTTGAAAATGCAAGAGAAGGCGTCGATCTCGTGTGGAGAACTTGGAGGAGCGACCAACTTGCCTCTGGTGCTGTGTGGCAGACAGCTGTCGGTCAAGTATTCTTCTCGACTGGTATCGGGTTTGGATACTTTACCTCGTACGCCAGCTACAACACCAAGCACGCAAACGCCGTCATGGATGCATGTCTGATTTGCGGTAGCAATGTGCTTTTCGAGAACTTTGCGGCCTTTGCTGTCTTTGGCGTTGTTGGCTTCCTCCGCAGATGGCCACAGGACGGCGAACGACTCGGGGCTTTTGTCGTGGGATTCTTGACGCTACCCGAAGCCGTGCTGCAGATGCCAGGGGCCAATTTCTGGGCTATACTCTTGTTTTTTACACTCGTGGTCCTCGGATTCAGTTCGGCTTTTGTCATGCTTGACGTTGTTGTCACACTGGTCTGTGACTCTGGTATGGTCAAGGCATCGCGGCCCGTGGTTGTTACTGCACTTACCATACTTTCTTTTCTCATGTGAGTACAGTACTCTCTTTATCTCCTCAACCTGAACATACGCGCCTTTTCATCCGTATTTTTGCAAGCATCTACTCACACCAGTTTCCAACGTCTAGGTGTCTGCCATACTGCACAGAGTTTGGCTATTACTTGCTCGATGGCATCGACCGATGGGTCAACAACGTCGCACTCATCTTCGTTGTGTGGAGCGAAGTCTCCAGCGCCACCACTTTATACCGCTGGAAAGACATTGCCGAAAAGACGGGTCTTCCAGCTTTTGTGGTCTACAACGTAGGTTTCTTTGGTGCCCAGGTACTGGGTATCAGCCTGGCTCATGGGATCGGTAACCCTGGAGCTGGTGCCGGGGCTGGCATTGGTCTGTACTTTCTCATGGCTATCGTAGCCGTCGTAATAGCGCGAACGCCCGATGTTCCTGCACCTTCCTTCTGGAACCGCACTGCTTTTACCAGAAAGTTCTGGTATCTTGCCTTCTATTCAGTAAGTGCTGCTTGGAAAATTAGCGCGCCTCTTCAAAGGGAACTAATCTAGCCATCAGGGTAACCAACTCCGCCGCGACCTAAACGTTATCGTTGGCCAGGGCAAAAACTGGAAAATTCCTGCCTTTATGCCTTTCCTGTTACGTTACCTCAGTGGTCCAGTGCTTGCCATCATCTTTTCCTTTGCATTTCCAGAGTTCCACACTCTACGCTACGACCCCATGATGATTGCTGGGTTCATCTTGTCCATTCTGACCGTCATTGTCATCCTGATTGGCTTGGTGATGCCTCGATACTACGATGCATTTGTTCCCGTCCATCGGCGATCCGAGGGTGCTGAGCCAACGGTACCAATGCAAATCAAGGGCGAATTGGCCGGCAGACCAACTGCGGATACTGTCACTGCAGAGCAGGGAGATTTCAGTATTATGCGGGACTCATCTTCAGGACAAGAGCTGGGAGATGAAAAGCATGTCAAGAAGACAGGCTTGGAATGAGTGAGCGCAGAAACTCAAGGCCATGTTTCTTCTTTTATTTCCAAACAAGCTCCGGTAATATGGAGACGTGTGATATGGGAGCCTGATGGTATTGGTCAGGATTAATTTTCTTTCCCTTCTTCCCTATCAGGCGGTAAGTTATTCGGTGTGCAGCGTTTGACAACATTGCCGAGAGCCGTTTCTTTCTATGCCCAGCTCCGAGCCCAGACGATACTAGTATCAGAGCAACGAAACCTGGCTGTCCTGATGCAGCATGCCACATGCGACTTTGCCGTCTTGGCCTTCTCATTTCTCAAGCCCAGTTTGCGTACTTGAGATCAACGTTTCTTGGAACTATTGCTCGTCTGCATGGGCGTGTGTACTATGGGCTGCAATAACCCCGTGTTCGTATTGCCATTGCCGTCACAGCCGGGGATAATACCATATGGAACCATGTAAGATTTGATGTAAAAAGAACATTGTTTCATGTACATCGCATATCTCTAGTCCTCTACCAATGGACTCTTCCGAAGCGGTCTTTTGACTCAGCAAGTTCAGAGGTTTCACCCTTGAATCGTCGGTGGCGACTAGCCAATCTCCCTACTGTAAAATGAAGCAATTCCCGTATTCTCTGTCAAGGCATCAACGTCTCGTGTGACACACCACGCAGGGAGATAAGGCTATTTCCAAATTGCCATTGATATGTATAGATGAAGGCGCATGCATGTGGTGGTATATAAGGCCGAAACGGGCAGATCCCCGGGTAGGCGAGAAGCTTGATTTCAGCGGGCCGCATTGGTGATACGTCAATGTGGCGCAGGCCCAATGTCGCGAGAGGATTCAGGTGTTGTCTTACTGTTACTGACAGTGACAGTTCCGAGTCAACGTTTCACTGCATATTTGGATTCGATGATGATTCTGCGCCACACAGCTCGAGTCAAGAAAGTGGACTGCAGTGGGGTGCGTCGTTTGTGCGACAGGGCGCTAAGCCTGATCCAGAAATAGTCCAGTTGCGCGACTTGTGCGAACGACGCCCCAGCCAGTACTTTGCCAACAGCAAAGCAGAAACCATTGTTAATCATGACATATCGCAGAAACTACGCGAAATGCATCAGCCGATATATATGGAGGCCTCCGAGTGTCAAGTTACGGGATTTTCCTGGGAATCTCTGCCTCCGACTCTGCACCTACCTGGTCGCTTCTTTGATTGCTTACATTGCCAGACGCCATCCGTTGGCCACTACCCCAGACCAAGTGTCCACCACTACTTTCGTCCATCGTCCACGCACTAGCCTCGTTACCTCGTCTATCAAGAAAAAGCCGAGCTGATCATATTGCACAACCAACCTGCCTCAGACCCAATCCCGTCGCCATGTTACCTCCGGCACCGTTACCCAGATTGCGCGACATGCAGCCTGACACCATGACCACGACCTGCTTCATCTCCAATCTGCACTGCCCGTCATGTGTCGAGGGCATCCAAGCCTCTCTCAGCGCGCTCGACCCTCCACCACAAGACGTATTTGTTTCCATCGTTTCCCACTCAGTGGTTGTACGCCACGATACATCACTCAACATTGAGGACATCACTGGCTCCCTCGAGGCTGCTGGATTCGAAATTCACAGTGTCTTTCAAAACAACGAGGCAGTCCGCTATCCGACCGAAGTTAGAATCTCGAATGCCCAAGACAAAACGAAGGAGTGGCACACCAGCTTGGAGCGCGCTGTGAGTAACTGGCTGCACCCCCAAGAGCCCAGCGGCTCGAGCGACGAAATGAGAAAGAAAGAGACCCACCTAGCGCAATGCGAGCAGTGCAAGAGAGAGCAGGGGGGAGTCAGTCTGGATAGCGCAGACGCACTGTCATGCAAACCTCATGCAGCCATCACAATCTCGTCTAGGGCGAGCGTCGATGACACTGCATTGCCCGAACCCAAATCGTCCGCGTCCGACCAATTCATCACCGTCGAATCCACCAATGCTACCGGGACCTACAAGGCAACTCTTGCCATTACTGGAATGACCTGCAGTTCCTGTGTGTCTGCCATCACTCACGCCGTCCAAGAACACCCGTGGGTTCAGTCGGTCAATGTCAACCTGCTCACAAATAGCAGTGTGGTTGTTTTCAGCGGAAAGGACAAGTGCAATGAGCTTGTCGAGACGATTGAAGACTGTGGATTCGATGTTGCAGTAGAGACGCTGGAGCAAGTTCGCAACCCAGCATCATATGCAACACCGCCACCAAAACCGAAGACCGACAGATGGCGCGCGACCTACTCGCTCGGAGGACTGACATGCTCTTCTTGCGTCGGCAACGTGACTCAGGCCCTGAAGCCACACACATGGATCGAAAAGGTAGACGTCAACCTCATCTCAAACAGTGCGACTATTGTCTTCGTAGGCAAAGAGCATCTGCCAGAGATCAAGGATACCATTCAGGATGTCGGATACACGGCGTCGCTAGACCAAGTCGTCCAGGAAGGCACTACGACGACTGAAGCTACCGAGCGATCCATTGCCATTCGCATTGATGGCATGTTCTGCCACCACTGTCCACAAAACATCACAAGGAGGCTGCAGGAAGCATTTGGCAACAAGGATACCTTTGCACTTGAAGACCCTCCTATATCTCTCGCACAGCCCATACTCCATGTGAGATATGTACCCGAGCCACCTGGATTCACCATTCGACACATCTTCTCGACGATTTCGGAACTCAACCCAGTGTTCAAGCCTTCGGTGTTCCGCCCGCCGACAATTGAGGAACGCGCACGAGAGATGCACGCACAGGAGCGTATGCGTATTCTCTTCCGTCTTGTTCTCTCCGTCGTCATCGCTATACCTACCTTCATCCTCGGCATCGTCTTCATGAGTCTGGTCGGTTCCAAGAACCCTATACGCAAGTACCTCATGGGCAGCATGTGGGCTGGCAATGTCACACGGCTCAGCTGGGCACTCTTCATCCTTGCGACTCCCGTCTACTTCTTTGCTGCCGACACCTTTCATCGGCGCGCCATCAAAGAGATCAAATCCATGTGGCGGCCCGGAAGCCGAACCCCGTATTTGCATCGCTTCACGCGGTTCGGAAGCATGAACATGCTGATTTCTCTCGGTACTTCAATAGCGTACTTTGCGTCGATCGCTGAGCTTGTCCTGGCGGCCACCAAGTCGTCTTCCGGCTCAATGCACGATTCCTACTTTGACGCAGTCGTCTTCCTGACAATGTTCCTTCTCATTGGCCGATTCCTCGAAGCATACAGCAAGGCAAAGACTGGCGACGCCATCACCTCGCTTGGAAAGCTTCGTCCTAACGAGGCCGTTCTTGTCGACGCAGCAAAGGGCGACACCAAGATTGCCACTGATCTCCTGGAAATCGGAGATATCGTTCATGTCCACCATGGCACCTCGCCGCCATTCGACGGCCAAGTCATTGAGGGAAGTTCAAACTTTGACGAGTCCAGCTTGACGGGAGAGTCACGTCCGGTTAAGAAATCAGAAGGCGATACTGTGTTTTCTGGTACGATGAACAAGGGCGCGCCGGTTAAGATTACAATCACAACCATCTCTGGTACTTCGATGCTCGATCAGATTATTAATGCCGTGCGCGAAGGCCAGTCGCGTCGTGCTCCTGTCGAGAGAGCCGCGGATGTCATTACTTCTCACTTTGTCCCATTTGTCATCGCCGTCGCCATTACTACTTGGCTGGTCTGGCTGATTCTCGGTACAACCGGCAGCATTCCAAGTGACTGGAAGAACGAAGCCGCTGGTGGCTGGGAGCTGTGGTCTCTTCGTTTCGCCATTGCCGTCTTTGTCATTGCCTGTCCTTGCGGCATTGGTCTCGCAGCGCCAACTGCCCTATTTGTTGGCGGCGGTCTAGCTGCAAAACACGGCATACTGGTCCGCGGCGGAGGTGAAGCTTTTCAGGAAGCCAGTTCTCTCGACTGCATCGTTTTCGACAAGACTGGGACTCTGACTGAAGGCGGCGATCCCTCAGTGACGAACCACAAGTTCTCTGGAACCCAGGACAGCGCCACAGTGCTGGGCATTGTGAAAGCTCTGGAGGAGAACAGCAATCACCCCATCGCACATGCTCTCGTCTCTTTTTGCAACAAGCAAGGACACGCCACTCCGACTGCCGTCAATGTCGACGAAATACCCGGCAAGGGCCTAAAAGGCATCTTTAAGATTGACGGCCAGGAGATCACAGCCATTATCGGGAACGAAAGCTTTATGGACGACCACCATGTTCCCATCCTCGATGAAGATGCCGCCGTGCTCCAACAGTGGAAGTCTCAGGGTGACTCCGTCGCCCTCGTAGCACTCTTCACGCCGCAGCCCAACCAGCCATCACCAGCCTGGCATCTCGCCTGCAGCTTCTCCATTGCCGACGCGCTCCGCCCAGAGGCACCCAGCGTGATCCGCGCCCTGCAAGCCCGCGGCATAGACGTATGGATGCTTTCCGGCGACAACCCCACGACGGCCAACGCTGTCGGCGCCCAAGTCGGGATCCCAGCTTCCAACATCATCGCCGGCGTGCTTCCAGACCAAAAAGCGCTTAAGATAAAGTACCTCCAGCAGACGCTGACCAAGCCGCGGTCCCCCTTATTCCGGATCCCCCTGCTGGGCCGCCTGTTTACGGCGAAGAAGCAGGCCAAGCGCGCCACCGTGGCCATGGTCGGCGACGGAATCAACGATGCGCCAGCGCTGTCCACAGCAGACCTCTCCATCGCCATTGGATCCGGGTCCGACATTGCGCTCAGCTCGTCGTCCTTCATCCTCATCAACAGCCGTCTAACAACCATCCTCACGCTGCTCGATCTCTCGCGCGTCGTTTTCCGCCGCGTCTATTTTAACTTTGGCTGGGCCCTCGTATATAACCTCGTCGCTATGCCCGTGGCCGCCGGTGTCTTGTTCCCGATTACGACTGGCGGCGGGGGAACAAAGAACATGGATATGCATCATAATGGCGTGGGAATGGAGGGTGGCATGGCTATGGGCGAGACGGGCAAGAAACATGTTAGGCTGGATCCCGTGTGGGCTAGTCTGGCTATGGCGCTGAGTAGTGTGAGTGTGGTGTGTAGCTCGCTGTCACTGAGGAGCAATTTACCCGGCGTGGGGTTTAGAGCTAGGCGTGAGCGCGAGTTTGAGTAATGCGTGGGAGGGGAACGTGGTGCTGGTGGGGATCGAGGTGGCAAGGTGGTTAACAGTTCGTATTCATAACGGGGATCGTAAGAGTCCAAGAGAAGAAGAAAAGTGGCGGCAGATATTCTTTATTCGTTTTCGCGCTGGAATCAGTAGCCATAATTACACTCGTTGATTTTCATATTCGCGTGTAAAAGCCCAAAGAAAAACCATGGAATGAAAAAGATACTTTGTCGTACAGTACATGAATAAATCCCGATGTTTTGAAATATAGTCCCAAACCCAGTTCCTAATTAATAATTGTATTGAGACAGGTAGAAAGAAGAAGGAATAAGACTCCACCAACATCAGGTAGGTGACTTTGAAAAGACTACTCTTCCGACCACCGAAGCGGATTCGCCACAACCAATTTCGCAACGGGCACTCCGTCCAAGGTCCCCGAAGTGCCTGGCCGCATGGCAGCATCACGCAGACTGGCGCCGCTGCGCCTCCTGTTGGTCCGTTGAAGCTGCTGCATCAGCTCCGGCGTAATCATGGTGGCGCTGCGTGAACTCTGCACGCTCCGTCGCGAGGCAGCATACCGCCGGACACTATTCTGATACTCTGAGACTGCACGCCTTGCCTCGGGGCCTTCGTCGGGCTCGGTGACCTCGGAAACCGTCGGCAGCTTTGGAGGGCGGGCGTCGCATGCGGTGGCCGGCCGCTCGAGTGCAATGTGCTTGTTGACGTCTTGCGCTTGGACATACGCAGTGCGCAGATCGCCTTCGGAAATGCTAGGTTTGGAGAAGTTGGGGACGGAAACAGCCACTTGGACAGGGGCGGGGACGGTTGGTGGTTCAGGCACATGTGTTGTTGTTGTTTCTACAGGGAGTTCTGGATCCATTTTGATGTCCGACGACGAATCTGCATGGTTTCGCCGTGCCTTGAAGGGTGTGGCTTGCTTTAGGGCATGCATAATACGCCGGAAAGCCGAACGGCTTTTGGGCTTCTTCAAGTCGGAGACTATGGAGTCGCGCTTGTTGCTGGTGCTGGCCATAACGTCTGTTGCAGAAGTATGAGGCTGCGCCATTTCAAGTCTGAGACAGCCTGTGTGTGCTGTTATCAAAGTTAGCTTTTTTTCGAGTTCTGCGGATCTTTTCCCATTATTCACGTACTGGCTTGAATTTTTCAGTGCGACTGTTTGGAAAGCTTTGTTCTGTTACGGGAAACGAGGGGGGTGGATTGTGACTTGAAAAAGACGGAGGAAAATGGGAGAAGGGAGTGCAAGGGGTTTTGGGAACATAATAAATCCAATTTTCCGGGCTTCCACAGTCGCAGTGCTCACGCAGAAGAGAAAAATAGCGAGAACCGTAGAAAATCGACCATTCGTTGAACGACCGTGACTAATCCAACGATATGATAGGGCCTGCGTTCTATCCAAGCTGGGAGACGAATGCGGATAGCGAATGCGCAGATCTGCGAAGACGCATGATGCAGTGTTTCTTATTGGTATACCGAAATAAAGTAGCGAAGAGTGTGACAGGGCTGTAAGATATTCCGTGGTTGCAGTGGATGCGTTGAAGCAGAACGTAAAAGATTGGACGGCGGTGCATGGTAAAGACGGTGCGTGGTTGCCCAACATGACTGCTCTCGGTAAAGTGGACTCGAAACCTACGATATTGTATGGAACAGAGGTTTCGACACACGGTCATGGTTGGTAGCGCGACGTGTTAGAGTCAAGGCGATTGCAAATGGCGAAAAAAGTGGTATTTCCCGAATCATTCCCGAAGCGCCAACCCAATGCATACATGTCTTATACACTAATATACAAGCAGCTTTTGTCTTTACTTGCGCGCATCCATGGCCTGCTGAAGGGCCTGGGTGGTGGGCTGAGCGGACCGGTCGAGCGGCTTGTCTGGTACAATGACGTCCTCGAACTCGTCCTGGGAGATGGCATTGATGGTGTATGTGTCTGGGAAGGAGTAAGCCCGTGTGCCAGCAAGAGGGGCGGCGCAGGATACATATGCCAATCACCAGTGAGCAGATGGCGAAGCCCGTGATGGTGTTCTTGACCAGATACGGCGCTCGGGCTCGCAGCAGGGCCGGCGAAGCCCGCATGCGGTCGTCGTAGTATGTCGAGCGGAATGGTTTGCTGTGCGTGCATGTCAGCGTGGGAATTGGGGAGGCATTGGGGCGGCAGACATACTATCCCATTGCGGCGGAGCGTCGTCACAGATGTTGCGGGGAAGAAAGCGCCGTCGAAGGCGTTGGCGTAGTGGTGGTGGTGGTGTTGGTGGTGAGATTCCATCACGCTAAGGCGGGCTTGGCGGACAGGGCGCACATCATCATGGCAAGTGCAGCCACGGCGCTCTCACTCCCTCTCCTGTTGCTCGACTGCACACAGCTGTAGTCACCCACCATCCGTCGCGCAACTCGCCGCTGCCCCTCCCGCTTTCCTTTCCTTTCCTCTCCTCCTCCATGCTCCCCACGCCTCTTTAAATTCTTGTTACTGCGGGGAATGGAAAGCCCTTTGACCGCACTCGCCTGGCTTTGTCGCGCTCCTAGTTTGCCTACTGCGTCGCGCGCGTGAACTAGCCTCACGGCCTGCTGCCCTTCACACCACACACACAAGGCGCGCCCCCCGCGTGCCGTCCACCGCCATCGCCATGACTTCACAGACGATACAGCAGATGGAGTCGGCCCGGTCGCTCGCGTTAGGCGACGGTAGATACTATCCTACCATCATTCCGGGCGTGCTTCCCATCATCGGTTACAGTGAAGACCAGAGCATCGAGATCCAGCGCTGGGGCGCCGACTTTCTCGCGGAAGCGTTTGCGTCGCCCGCATGGCCCCAGGAGGTCAAGCAGAGCAGCGCGCCCTCAGTGCTGGCTACGCTGAAGGCCTATCTTGACAATGTCGACGACAAGAGTGTCATCAAGAGCGCCATCCAGGCGGCCGCGAGCGTGTACCCGCTGGTGTACAGACATACGTAAGTAATCCCCCAAGCATCAGATAGAGCCCTCCCATGTCAAATCATGGACTGCGCATTCTTGAAGTCTTTTATGCCCGCATGCCCTTTGACTGCCTTTACGCGAACACGCTCTTATTCCTGCATGTGCCCAGTGTCTCGGATCCCAGCGATACGCAAAATTGGCAGCTCATGGCTGCCATCAAATCCAACATCTTGCGACGAATGGACTCGGCCGCCCCTGGCGTGCGCATATGCTGCATCAAATTCCTCCAGCAAGTCGTCCTGGTGCAGACACCAGGAGCAGCAGACCCCAGGGTAAACACCCCTCACAGAGCCCCCCAACACATGTACGGAAAATCTCATGTCTCGCAGCGCGTCGACCACAACGATATCTCCCTCTCGCTCGTACCCCGCGATCATCCGCTCATACCGTATGCAAGCCTAGAGGCCGAGGGACATGGACTGCTGGACAGATTGCTGGATATCATACATGGCGACCACAGGTTAGATAGACAGTCGCAGGCTGCTGAGACACATCTAACAGGAACCAGTGACGGGCTGCTTGTGACTGCCACATTGAACAGCTTGGGCATGTTGATCCACCGCCGGCCAAATGCTGCAAATAAAATCTTGAACAGTGTCTTCAACTTCAACCCCTTGAAGCTTGCCAATTCGCCCATGACGCCCAAGAACAAGGTCATCATAAAGTCGATTGAGCGCACGACGAGGGCACTGCTCGTGAACATCATGAAGAGGTATGATGGTATATCCTATATGTCGCTATTTCGAGTGCTTACTGTTGCAGGAACCCCGAGAACCCAGTCAATGGGCGCATACAGCAATTCCTCGAGCGCATGCACCGTACGCGCGTTGAAGTCTTTGATGAATCTAATCGTAAAAGACCAGCACCCAGTGAACCGACTGATGGCCTTGATCAAGCCAAGAGGCAGCGCCTCGTTGCTGAGCCTCCAAGTCGCACACCCTCTGTTCAACCCTTGCCGCCTGGTGAAGTAAGCTGGCGACAACTGTATACGTTGAACTCTGAAGGCAGCACAGCAAACTTTGACGTGCAAAATTTCAAGGATCCTGAGCAATTGGTTAGGATTGTGGTGCCTGTCCTTCAGTCAGTCAATCCAGTAAAACTGGAGCAAGCCATCAACGTATGTGATCTTCTCATGCCAAGCCACCCATGTTTTGTGGTCGTGCTTTGAACGAATACTTGGTCAAGAATAATGTACTAACCAATATTCAGGCCGTGCGTGCTCGATACCAAACGCTGCGCCAGAACGCTGCAAATCAACCGCCACCGCCACCGCCGAGTGCCCCTGCCGCAGAAGACGAAGAGGAATACGAACCCGATTTCGAACCTGAAGATGCAGAACAGATCAGCAACAGACTAGACGGCATTCCTTCAAATCCTTTCTCATCTCAAGCAGGCCCATCCACTGCTCTAGCACCTTTCAAGCTCCCCGAAGCACCTCCGTTATCCGACCAGGATGTTCAGAAGTACGGCGATATGACCGTACACCGAGCATTTGGCATGCTGAGTAGTGTAGATGAGACGCAGAAGAGCAAGACCACCAAAGGTGGCTTCAACCGCTTAGCAGCAACCGACTATTCCAGAGATGCCTGGGTCACGATACTATCAAGATTGGCAACACGAGCAAGCGCAGGCCTGGACGATCCTGACGATGGCATCAAAGACGAGTATGCAGTTAAGAGCGCAAGGGGCAGTACAAAGATCAGCGACTCCATACGTGACGGTTTATACCAGTATATCCTGTACGACTGGAAGAGGCGCATTGATGTCGCCATTTCCTGGCTAAACGAGGAATGGTACAATGATATGATACTCACCCAGGTCGAGGAAGACCCCATTACAAACGGTACCGTCAACGGCGTTTCCCCCTCGAAACTACCAAAGGGAAACTACCATCGCTGCGCGCTCCGCCTCATCGACGGTATCCTCCCGTACATTGAACACACAGACAAGATTCTGCTCCGCTTCCTCTCTGAAATCCCGTCCATCGACTATACCATCCTCGTGCGTCTTAAGAAGATGGCCGAAGACCCCGAACGCATCGATCTCGCCTGCAACGCCCTGCACTACCTGTACATGTTCCGTCCCCCCGTGCGCAAAATCGTTGTCGACATCCTCGCCGAAATGTGGCACGAGAACGACAGGGCCAAGCCCAGTGCCCGCAAGCTGCTCGTTAGGTGGCGCCCGGAAATCCTAGGCGAGGACAAGGTCGGTACCCCGCTCGTGGTCAAGATGGAGAACAGCATGACGGCCGACGGTCAGGTGGTCAAGGAGAGCGCTAATGGCGCGTTGGAAGTCAAGGCTGCTTCGTAATGAGATGAAGATACCTAGGATCGCAAAAGGAAAAGAGACAGAAAAGAAGGACCCTCAACACAGCATTTCAGAAAAGAAAAAGACGCTCTTGCTACCAAGCAAAATCTGCTCTCACTCACACACAAACTCGATTTGCCTTGTTTTTTCTTCTTCTTGTTCTTTTTCCTCTTTGCTTTTCTCTTCCCTTTCTTTCAAGACCAGATGATTGTGTTTTCATGTTTTGAGATTCCGGTTTTTGATGTCATTCTTCTTTTTCTTTTTCACTAGCTGTATATCTATGCGTTTGCAATGTCTGTGTGTGTGTTCGTACTGTAAAGTACGTTTTTTTTAGAGAGACTGTGTGTATGTTTGTATGCTTCCTCGAGAGATTCTAAAAGGACAGCAAAGGGAGGCAAGGAAAGGATGGTAAAGGATAGGATAGGAAAGGAAGGGGAGAGAGAGAGAGAGAGAGAGAAACAGTGTGTGATACCCCCTCCCTCGCCGCCCCCCCTGAATTCCATGGGCTATATAGTATATAGCTTTCTACTGTACAACAGCAAACAATAACAAGATATCATGGCAAATTTCCAAATCAAATGAGGTTAAACTTTTTTGATTCATCTCTTTGTCAAGTGTTACTCTTCCTTCACGCACGCACGTTCAACACAAAATGTAAATGTGAATTGAATTTCCCATTCAATGATGCTACGTAAAAGGCCATGTATCCCTTCATTTTTCCTTGTTCCTTCACATTCATATCGAAACTCCCCCATAGCATAGCATAGCATACCATACCATACCACACATGCACTTAAATCTTCATCTTCTCAAACTGCGCAATACTCGCCTCCCAATTCTTAGCCTCCAGCTCCGCAGTTCTGAGCTTCTCGCGCTCCTGCTCCTTGACGGCATCACTGACTTTTTGCTCCCACTCAGCATCCATGATTTTCTTCTGGCGCGTGATGGTCTCGTTGGCCTTTGTGAGGCGATCTTGCGCCTTTGTGATTTCCTTGTCGGGCTCGATGCGGCCCTTGACGTCGAGGTAGGCAGTCGCAGAGGTGCCGATTGTGTATACGGCGCAGTCGGAGGGTGCTGTCTCGGTGGGCGAGAGGATCTTGATGTCGGCGACCGTCTTTCCGGCCAGCGCGCGGATCGAGGGGAGGGAGGTGGGAGAGGAAAGGGTTGAGTGTGTCGAGTCGTTGAGCGACTGAATGTATGTCGACGCGCCTTCCTTGATGCTGTACTCGGCAGTGAGGGAGCGGAGAGCCTTTGCGCTGTCGACGAGAAGCTCGTACTCGGCGTTTGCCGTCTCGTCTTCGAGCTCTGATGAGAACTCTGGGAAAGGCGCGATGGTGATGGAAGGCGTCTTGTCGCCTTGCCTTCGGGGCAGTCGCTGCCAGAGCTCTTCGGTGATGAATGGCATGAATGGATGAATCATGTTCAAACCACCCTCGATAGCTGTGTAAAGGGTCTGCTTGGCGCTCTCCTTCTGCTCTTCGCTTCCTTCATCAAAGATGGCTTTGCTGTTCTCAATATATGTGTCGCAGAGGTAGACGTAGAAGTATTTGTACGCAACCTGTGTTGCAAGACTGAACTCGCGGGCATTCAAGTGGTCGTTGATCTTCTTGGCTGCGGCGTTGAGCTGGTGGAGGATGTAGCGCTCAGGCAGAGACTCTTTTCCACTCTTGGCAGCCTTCGCCTGGGGGGTGAAGGAGTCTCCCAATCGTCCGATGACATACTTGGTAGCCTGGTAGATCTTGTTACAGAACCTTCTGTATCCGTGAATGACGTTGACATCGAAAGAAATATCCTAGACAAGTGTCAGTATTGCATATGATTAAAAAAACGAGGCAAACTTACTCCGCCACCTGTCGTGTATCCGACAAGGGCCATGCGCAATGCATCGGCACCGCACTCGGGGATACCCTGAGGGAAGGCGGTCTTCTGGTACTTCTCTGCCTTGGTCAACTCCTTAGGATCCAGGTTGCCTGCACGAAGTTGATCGTGGAGCTTCTGCAGACTAATGCCGTCCATGATATCCACAGGGTCTACAACGTTGCCCAGAGATTTGGACATCTTCCTGCCTTCGGAGTCGCGAATAAGAGAGTGGCAGTAGACCTCCTTGAACGGAACCTTTCCAGTCAGGTACAAGGATAGGAAAATCATCCTAGCAACCCAGAAGAAGAGAATATCCCAACCCGTCTCCAGCACAGAGGTGGGGAAGAGTTTTTCCAAGTCGACAGTCTGGTTTGGCCAGCCCAGGGTAGAGAAGGGCCACAGACCAGAGGAGAACCATGTGTCGAGCACGTCCTCATCTCGAGACAACGTGAACTTCTTGCCAGGGAACTTCTTCCCGGCCTTTGCTCTAGCCTCTTCCTCTGTGCGACCGGTAATCCAGAGCTCGTCTTCGCTTTGGTCACCCTGGCCGCCTTCGATTTCCACAAAGTAGGCGGGTATTTGGTGACCCCACCAGAGTTGACGAGACAAGCACCAGTCCTGAACATTGTTCATCCAGTGCATGTAGATCTTCTCAGAAGTGGCGGGCCGGATCTTGATGTCTCCTTTCTCAACAGCCTCAATGGCAGGCTTAGCCAGGCTTTCCATCTTCATCCACCATTGTGGCTTCATGATAGGCTCGATGACGTCACCAGACCTCGAGCAGATGGGCACCTTCATGGGGTTTGGCTCAGTCTTGACGAAGAGACCCTCCTTCTTCAGTGCGTCTACCACGGTGTAACGAACATCAAAGCGCTTCGCGCCTTCGAACTGGCCGGCGTTCTTGTTCATGGTTCCATTGTCATTCTGTAGGTGTTAGTACTCTATCAGAGCAGCCAAAGGAGACAACGTACAAGAATGTTGATAAACTCAAGCTTGTGCTTCTTGCCAAGGTTGAAATCGTTGGGGTCGTGTGCGGGTGTCAGTTTGACGGCTCCAGTACCGAACTCGGGGTCGACGTATTCGTCTGCAACAATGGGCATGAGACGATCGACAAATGGGTGTTTCGCCTTCTTGCCAACAAGGTGCTTGTAGCGCTCGTCGTTGGGGTGGACAGCGATACCAGAGTCACCCAGCATGGTTTCGGGACGCGTAGTAGCAATCTCGATGAACTGGTCTGTACCGTCGATAGCGTACTGAAAAAAGTTAGCACAGTTCTTTGGATTGATTAACCCTGCCCTTCATACCTTGAAGTGGGTAAGCACACCAAACTCGACCATCCTCTCGTATCCCGGAACAGACAGCTTAGTTGGGCCAGCCAAATCCTTGTTGTCGACTTCGAGGGTACTCAAGGCCGTGTTCAAGGCTGTGCACCAGTTGACCAGCCGGTTACTGCGGTAGATGAGGCTGTCTTCGTGGAGCCGTACAAAAGTCTCTGTGACGGCTTTTGACAGATTCTCATCCATGGTAAAGGCCTCACGGGTCCAATCAAAGGAACCTCCCATTCGGCGCAGGGTGTTGGTGAGGTGCTGGTGGTACTCTTGCTTCCACTCCATAGTCCTCTCCAAGAACTTTTGGCGACCCAGATCATATCTTGTCTTGTTCTCTCTTCGCTTCAACATCTTCTCGACGACGGACTGCGTGGCAATACCGGCGTGGTCGCAGCCAGGCAGATACAGCGTGGTGTACCCCCTCATCCTGTGCCACCTTATGAGAACATCTTGAAGACTCGTCGCAAGCGCATGTCCGCAATGCAGCTTGCCCGTGACGTTGGGCGGGGGAATGGGAATAACGAAATGGCCGGGTGACTTGACGTTGCCATCCTCTGCAAACTGAGGCTTGAAGAAGCCCTGGGCGTCCCACCAAGCGTCCCATGCGGATTCGACAACCTTGGGGATGTATGCTTTGGTGTATGGACCATCCATGCTCTGCAAGCGCTTCTTCTCGCCCTTGGGTGTCTCCTCGACGTACTCGGGCAATTGCTCCTCCTCTTTGCCCTTCTTCTTCTTCTCCTTGGCTGGGGCAGCAGCATCCTTTGCGGCGCCGGCAGCAGCAGCGGCTTTCTTGGCCTTGAACTTTGCGTCCTTTTCGGCCTTCTTCCTCTCCTTCTCAAGCTCCTTTGCCGTCTTTTCCTTCTTCTCTACGCCCTTGTCGTTCTCACGGCCGGGCGCATGCTGGCCAGTGGCTTCCTTTTCGGCGGCGCCGAGGATGTCCTTCTTGGAGTCCTCGCTCAGCTCGGGCGGCGGCGCAGTATTTGGCGTCGTCTTCTCGCCGGTAGTGTTGTGGGAAGACGCGTTGAGCGCCATGGTTGCGGTCGTGTAGTGGTGTGGGTGTGGGTGTGTGAGCACGCGCTCAGCGTGAGCCGAAGTGTGAGGGTGGAGGGCCGTGTAGATCCGCGACGGCGATTGCAGTCTGTTTCGCGAGGGATTGATATACGCGAGGTTTCGTCTGCAGGCAGCGCGCAGTGTAGAGGGCGCGGTGCGGGGCAACATTAACAAAAAAGTGCCTGGGTGTGAGTCTTCCCAAGTCCGGCGTGCGTCAACCCCACATTGAGTCCGAGCGTCTAATCCGACCCCGCCTGCTCGTCCACATCAGAGGGAAACGGCCAAGGCACTGGGATGTGCAGCTCCATGTCACAGCAGCAAGATGGTATTCGACAAAAAAAGAACTTGGATGTATATTTGATCAGCCCACTAACACCTTGGCTATGCATTGGTTTGACAAGGGGCCTTGGAGCTTTCGTCGCGACCATACGCCTGCGCTGCACCATTTTGTGCCTATATCGTTCGTTATCCAAGAGCAGTACCCCGTGCTTTGCCTTGCGCGTCCATCACTCCGCTGCTCACGCACCATGTGCGCGTCGGCACATTAGCCATCGCCCACATGCTCAAAGGGGACTGGAAGTAAAATGGACGGATCAGAGTGCAGGTTTCGTGGCTCGTGCCATTACATAAGGTCTAATCGTGTGAATTGGGTATCTCAATCATGCCGCGGTGCTGTTCTGCTGCGCAGCCTGTCGGACGGGAGCAAAGTAAGGGTGCGCCATGGCCTCTTGGGCAGTAAGTCGGTCCTGGGATGTGTTAGCGGAGAAGAGCAAGCGCAGTAAATCGTGTCATCACACTTACCTGGTGGTCATATCGTAGCAGCTTATCGAGAAAGTCAATAGCATCGTTGCTAACAAAGCGCTGGTTCTCGGCATTGATGAACGAATGCCAAGGCTTCTTGGGGTACCGACTGAGTATGTCGTCGTACTGGGCGTCCAGTTCAATGTCGTACTTGTCAAGGTAGTCAAAGAGATCCTCGGTACCAAGGACCTTTGCAATCTTGACAAGCTGGTCCGAGTTGCTGTTACCGTGGAAGAAGGGTTCTCGCCTAAAGATCATCGAGGCAAACATGGCGCCCAGCGACCACATGTCGAGCGAGTAGTCGTACTCTTGGAAGTCGACTAGCAGCTCAGGGCCCTTGAAGTACCGGGACGCAACACGGACGTTGTATTCGGTTCCGGCATGGTAGAACTCTGCTAGACCCCAATCAATGAGGCGCAACTAGCACATGTTAGCAGCAGTTCCGCAGAGGCCGTACGCGGTGCCCACCTTTCGCTTTTCATGGTCGATCATGACGTTGTGGGGCTTGACATCGCGATGCATGATGCCCTTGCTGTGGCAGAAGTCGAGAGCCTTGAGCAGCTCGAAGATGTAGAAGCGCACGTCAAAGTCCTGGAACTTGGGGTACAGACTGCGGAAGTCGGTGTTGTTGACATACTCGAATATCAGTGACGGCGTCTTGCTCTAAGCAGACCGTGTTAGCACATCTCAGCCAGCACGCAGCAGTGCGCGAGACGCAGTACCCAATCACCAAGCCAACCGGAGCCATCACTAACCTGGTTATCGCGCACCACGTCCAGCAGCGAGACGATGTTGGGGCCGCCAGACAGGTTCTGCAGGATCTTGATCTCACGCTTTATCTTCTTCTTCTTGACAGGCTTGAGCACCTTGATTACGCATTTCTGGTAGTTGACGACGTTGATGCCCTCGAACACCTCCGAGTACTTTCCGCGGCCGATCTTGCGGACCACCTCGTAGTTCTCCAGCACGCCCCACGAGATGTTGACCGAGTCGTAGTCCCAGTAGGAGCGGGGCATGTTTGCATTGACGTCGGCATAGACGCGGGCGACGCTCGTGGCGCCGCTCGAGTTGTTCAGCGCCATGGCGGCAGCAGAGGCAGTTTGGGCGGGGAGCGCGGGGCCAGGCGTGCTCTTGGGCGCGGTTTGGGCGGCGGGCGAGACACAGGAGTCGCGTCGTGGTGGGGGGGAGAGGCGGAGGCTGGCGGCACCACCACACGCAAAGTGGACGAGGAGAGCAAGACCAGCAGCAAGCACGGCAGCAAGCGCTCCCGTCTTGGGCCGGACGGAAGGCCCAAAGAAGCGGTGACGATGGGCGCGGCGGGCCGAGGCTGACGGCGATGAAGGTGGCGGAGGTGCTGGCGGGGGGCAGGCCGCGGTAGGGGCGGAGTCGGCCTGGTGCAGCTGGTGGTGGTCGAGGTGGTGGTGGTGGTGGTAGTGGTGGCTGGCTTGTGTGCGTTAGACCAGTTCAGCAAAGCAGCGAGAGCCAAGCCCTAGTAGGTTAAGGTTTTCGACGCGAGCCCGCAGACGGCCAGCGCCCTTCTCGCCTTATGGAGTGACGATCGCTTCTCCGACTCTGCTGGACTTACCCCAGTGCCCGTTGCGCCCGCCCATCTCTCGCTCGGCCACGCCCTCGTCGCCCGGCGAAGCCATTGTGTGCGCGCGCACCAAAATGTTTCACGACCTGCACGTGCCGTGGACGGACGCGACCCGCGAACTGCAGCGCGCGCTTGCTTTTCTCGATGAATGTGAGCGCACGCCTGGCGACCTGGCGAGTGTGCAAATGGCGAGCTGATGCAATGCAGTAGGATACGATGTCGTCGCCCTCACCCACACGTATACCGGGAAGCTGCCAGCCGACATTGTACGTAGCGGGGCGCCTGCCTCGACGGAACCGCTGAACCCGTTGCCTTGACGTGCGCCTTCACCTGCACCTGCGACGCCTCGCTAACCACCATTCACTCACCACCAGACGCCGCCAATCCCCACCCAGCTCCCCTTCCCCGTCCCGGCTCGCATGCGCATCTTGCGCCGCTGCAACATCTTCCTGACCGACTCGGCCTCCAACTTCCGCATCCCCCAGCTGCAGCAGCACTACGACCTCGTGGCCGCGCGCCCCACCGACGAGCGCACCCTGCAGCAGGCCTGCCAGAGCCTCGACGTGGACATCATCTCGCTCGACCTGACCCGCCGCTTCGAGACCCACTTCAAGTTTCCTATGCTAGGCACGGCCATCTCGCGAGGAATCAAGATAGAAATATGCTACAGCCAGGGTATCATGTCAAATGATCCTGCGGCCAAGCGCAACCTGATCGGCAATGCGGTCCAACTGATACGTGTGACCAGAGGACGGGGTCTGATATTCAGCTCCGAGGCAAAGACGGTCCTCGGCATACGGGCGCCCAGCGATGTCATCAACCTGGCTTCCGTCTGGGGCCTCGGCACAGAAAAGGGCAAGGACGGCCTCACCAAGGAGCCAAGGAGCGTCGTCGAGTACGCCCGACTCAAGCGCCGGAGCTTCAAGGGCATCGTCGACATTGTCCACGCAGGCGACAAGCCGCCCGAGAAGCCAGTCGCAGAAGCCAAGCACAAGCACGCGCAAAAGGCAAAAGCAAATACAAACCAGAATGGCAAGCGCCCTGGAGACAGCCTCGACTCGACGCCCACACACGAGTCAAAAGCTGAGAAGCCCATCTCCAAGCGCCAGCAGGCAAAGAACAAAAAAGCCAAAGTGCACGAAGCCACCACGCAGGAAGCGTCCGCGTAGAAGAGCTAGTAGTTTGAGGCAGAAGATACCCCCCCAATAGACACATGAGCAGCAAAAATCACCTCGCACAGGAGAACAAATTTCTTCTATGTACCATTATGTTTCAGCTTCAAAATTATCGGCTCCACAGGAGCACTCGAATCCCCCGACTTAATGCCAACCGTTATGTACTAAAAAGGAAATCCAATGGGTTGCGAGAGCAAGTATATATGTATATAAAACACAGCAAAACGAGCATTAAGTTGCTCGACTAATCATGCCATCCATCCAAATACTTTTCTTCACGCTTGCGTCGGCTTGGCCAGCCTCCGTCCCAAGTTGACTGTAACCCGACTCTGCAGCATGATGGTGTTGATGTTGAACGGCAAGCCCGTTGCCTGAGACTCCGTCGAGCCACCGGTGCCACCGACGGGCGTAGGCACAGGCGCATTGCCGGCGACTTGGCTTTCGGCGGCGACCGACGTGGCCTTGGACGACGTGGTAGATGTCGCTGTCGCTGCTGAGCTCGAACTCGCGGCTGCGGCGGGAGGTGACGATGACACTGCGGCCGACGACGAAGATACGGCGGTAGAAGAGGCGGAAGCAGGTGATGAGGAAGAGGAAGAGGAAGATGATGAAGAGGCCTTGCTCGTCACCACCGCTGCACTGCTCGAGCTCGAGCTCGAACTTGACGCCACAGAACCCGTTCCCGCAACGACCGTCAAGGCGCTCCTTGCAACCGTTTGCATGGTACTTGCACCTCCCATGGACACATTGCCCATGCCACCCGAACCCGCCTGTGCAGATTGTCCTCCCGCCGACATGGGCATCGAGCCCGCGGGACACGCGCACGCGCAATTGCAGCCGCCGTTTGCCGCCGCCTGCGCTGCGTTTTCCGTGGATCCGCCGCCTGAACCTGCAATGACGGTGAAAGTGGGAGGAGCTCCATTTGCTGCCGAAGAGGTGTTTGCTACAGCTTGAGCTGGGCTTCCACTGCCCGCCATCATAGTGATAGCTGCTGCCGCTGGAGCATTTGCCGCCGCTGTCGCTTGGGTCCCAGACGTGCCGTTGCCCCCAGAGCCTGCGATGATAGTGACAGGTCCTGCTTGTGCAGCAGCATTGTTAGCTGTCATTGCTTGGACCTGAGACGTGTCGTTGCCCCCAGAGCCTGCGATAATAGTGATGGGCCCCGCTGGTGCCGCCGCATTCGCCGCAGCTGTTGGTTGCGTCTGAGATGTGGTATTGGAGCCTGCTATCATGGTGATGCCTCCCGCCGGTGCCGCGGCATTTGCTGCTGCTGCTGCTTGCGTCTGAGCTGTGTTGTTGCCTGAAGAACCTGCGATAACTGTCACCGCTGGCGCTGCCGCGCCCGCCTCACTGCCGCCAGACGAGTTGCCCATGTTCGACGCTGCGGCAGGGCTAGCCGCTGCCTTTGCACCGGCTGCTGGGTCTCCCCCAGCGATGACAGTCACAGCTGCAGCGGTTCCATTGCCTGCTGCTCCTGCAGGTGTCGCATTTGCCATGGCGCCTCCTGCAGCTGTCACCTTCGAAGACGAACTGGACGCAGGAATAGGGGTTACTGCAGGCAAAGCCGACTTTGTTGGAGGGAACACAGTTTTGATTGGCAGTGATCCTGAAGATGCTGGTGATGATGATGCTGACGCTGCTGCTTCTACTTGTCCGGCCGGGTTGGCTGCCGCCGCTGCTGCTGCTGCTGCTGCTGCTGTTGTTGTTGTTTTGGGGGATGGATTTTGCCCAGTCGCGCTGGCTTGAAGTGTGGATTGAGGTGCTGCTTGAAGTGCCATGCTTGATGATACAGGTGCTTGCTGTAGCGCGGCCGCAGCAGGTGCCGGCGCCATCATTTGTGCATTGGCTTCTGGATTCATGGGCGGAGGAGTTGGTGCGGGCTGAGCATTGCTGCTGCTTTGAATTGGGCTCGATTGAACTTGCGGCGGTACCTGGCCTTGTGGGGGCTGTTGAGCGGGTGGTGGTGCTTGTTGAGCTGCTGCTGGTGCCTGTGGAGCTGGCGGTGCCTGTGGAGCTGGCGGTGCCTGTGGAGCTGGCGGTGATGGTTGTGGAGCTGGCAGTGGTTGGCCTTGGCCAGATGCAAGTTGATTTGCTAAATCTCCGGCAGGGTCTCGGAGAATAGAGTCAGTTGAGGCTCTACCAGGTGAAATTTGGTTCGCAATCGCAGCTCCAATATCGTTCGAGTTGGCACTGCTTCCTTGGCTTTGTGGTAGTTGACCCTGTGGTGCTGTTTGGCCTTGCGGTAATTGCTGAACTTGAGCTGGTTGTTGCGCTGGAGGTGGGTTTTGCACTGGTGGTACTTGGCCTTGGCCAGATGCAAGTTGATTTGCTAAATCTCCAGCAGGGTCTCGGAGAATAGAGTCGGTTGAGGCTCTACCAGGTGAAATTTGGTTCGCAATGGCACCTGCAATGTCATTCGAGCTCAGAGTCGCGTTGGTCTGACCCTGCGGTAGTTGCTGTGCTTGAGGTGACGGCTGGGCTGGTGCCTGTGCTTGTAGCGGCTGGGCTGGTGACGGCGGTGCTTGTGACTGGGCTTGTATTGACTGGGCTTGTGGCTGCGCTGGAGGTGATTGTTGTCCCTGAGGCGGTTTCTGACCTTGTGGCAGTTGGCCTTGCCCAGATGCAAGCTGGTTTGCTAAATCTCCGGCAGGGTCGCGGAGAATAGAGTCAGTTGAGCCTTTACTGGGTGAGATTTGGTTCGCGATTGCAGCTCCAATGTCATTCGGGTTGATGTTGCTTGCTGGAACTGGATTACCGGCTGGTTTAGTGCCTTGTGCAGCACTTTGGGCTTGTTGCTGGGCTGTGGCTTGACTTGCTGGTGCGCCTTGCTTCTGTCCATCGAGTCCCAGGATAATATCGCCCAGGCTAGCCGTCCCTCCACCGGCGACTTGGTTAGCAAGACTTCCGCCGACATCGCTGGTGATTTGTCCACTCCCACCACTTTGACCTTGACCCTGTCCTTGGGCAATATTGTCCAGCAAGGCACCTGCGTTTATGCCATTTTCCGCAAATCTGGCAGCGATGTTCCTAGGCGACCGATCGGCTCCAGAGACCAAGTTCTCAATCCGCTTGCCAGCGACTTCAGGTCGTATGTTAGTGTTGTGGAGGTCGAGTGCTGCGTGAGTGAGGCCTGCGTGAGCGAGCGACTTCAAGTACTTAGTATTGGTTGATGGTGTGTTCGTAAGTTGCAATACATACTGCGCTGATTAGCAGCAAGGCGGATGCCAAGCACGACCCGTTCTTTTTCATGGTGACAGTTTGGTGTATGCCGGGTGGCAAGGTATCCAGAGGGCGCTGAGAATGTACAATTACAAATTAAAACATCAACAGACCAGCTGGAAGAAAATCGAAAGCAATGTCCCAGACATGCAGACTCGCTCAGGACCTGCACAGCAGACGGACCGAGGACTTAAGTTGAGAACAGAAACCGAGTAAACGGAAACGTGGAAACAGCGTATTCGGATCTTAACAGGTTTAGGCTTCCGAACAGTTGAGAGCGCGCCCAAACCCTTCGAAAGGTGGTAACTGAGGTCCAGATCATGCTACTTAACGTCCCGACAAATTGCCCCCACCTATCATGTTTCCAGGATGTAGTAGGTGTTTCAAGCGTTTGCGGCTGCTCTGACAGTTAGCATCCATGTCTCATCGCTCGGGACGGACAGCTTTGTACGGAGAGAGCGGACGGCCTCGTATGGGAGGATTGCCGCCCGACAGTGCTAGCGACGATGACATTGCTGGGTCAACCTTGCCGAAAAAGCTTGTTGCAGGAATGCAGCTTTGCAATCAATGATCGACAGGGCCATGAGCAGCGGTTTTGATGGTGCGTGAGCTTCACGACGGTCTGAACAGCCGCCGTAGTAATGAGGTCTGACGCACAACGTGCCTGAGATGGCCTGCCTCACACCTGCCGGGTTTCAGGAAAGCGTGTATGCCCGCGTCATCTTCCTCATGCCGTCGTGGCGCCAACCCTCCGGTGCTGAGTAATTTTCCAGATGAATTACGACGGCGGAGAGGCTGGTTCTGCCGGTGCGAGGCGCACAACGGTGGCGATGGTGTTTGTGGAGGATGTGCACGGGGCCGGTGATCGCGGGAGAGAGTCGTGCCTAGACATCGTGGCTTGGCTCCCAATGACGTGCGTCATTAACTGCCCTGGCGCAAATACTACCTGAACCGGCCAATTTCTGCCAGCACAACTCGGGTTCCATACTTGGCGGATGCGAAACTATATGGGCACGTATATGTAGACGCGTGCGCTTCTTCCTGTTGCATTCAAAACCGCCGCGCCACCGCACCAGAGCCATGGCAGCCGTGCACGTCCTCGACAACTACTACCTCGCCATCACCTTCCTCATCACGGTGGCATACCAGCTGCTCTTCTTCGCCGTCGCCTTCTACTTCAAGTTTGACAAGCTGACCGATTTTGCCGGAGGCACCAACTTCGTTGTCTTGGCCATCCTCACCCTCTCCTTTAGCGAGAACCGGGGTGAGGCGCGCAACATTGTCGTCTCGCTATTCATCATACTATGGGCTGCCCGGCTTAGCGGCTTTCTGTTCTTCCGGATCCTGAAAACTGGAAAGGATGACCGGTTTGACGACAAGCGCGACAAATTCTGGTCCTTCCTTGGCTTTTGGGTCTTGTGAGTAGAGCGACCTGCGACCGAGACGGTATCCCTAACAGAAGATATTAGTCAAATGTTCTGGGTCTGGACAGTCTCCTTGCCGGTGACCCTGTTAAACTCGCCTAATGTGACCAAATTCAACCAGCCTAGTTTCGGGACAGCCTGTGATATTGCAGGTGTCATTCTCTGGTCCATTGGTTTCATCATGGAGAGCGTATCCGACATGCAAAAGTATCGGTTCCGCACCGCTCATGGTAGTGACGGCGCAGTGTGCAACATCGGCTTCTTTGCGTGGACTAGACACCCCAATTATTTTGGCGAGATCATCATTCAATTCGGTAGGTTTCTGCTGTGGATATGCTCTTTGTGGATGCTAACTATTGTAGGAATCTTCACCATCGCTGTATCGCCAGCTGCCTACCACTATGTTTCGGGCGGTGCATACGCCGCTCTCTATGCATCAATGCTTGGGCCTTGGTTCTTGACTCTGCTTCTCATGTTCGTGTCCGGCTTGACGTTGCAAGAGCGCCCAGCCGCGAAGAAGAGATACGAGAAAGGCAGCCATTGGCCTGAGTACGAGAGATACCTCCAGCGGACTAGCATACTCATCCCCTTTCCACCGCCGCTGTACGCAAGGATGCCCGTGTTCTTGAAGCGGACCCTCTTCTTGGAGTTTCCAATGTATGTTTTTGATCCTGCAAAGCACGCGGATCAAGACAAAATGCAAGCTAGGTCTGCAGAGGAAGGGCAGAGCAGGCGGAGCGACGAGCAAAGTCTTACATCCTAGGGCATGAAGCATCCTGCCTAATTGCAATTCCGGATAACACGATACCCAAGTTTCTTAGGAGTTTTAATTGAATAGATCACTCTTGTACTACACTCTAAACAGCTAATTGTAATCGGATAACTAGTTCTAAACAATCTCTGTACCAAGTCGAGACATGCAAGTAGTTGGGAGCAGTACGTTTCAAACAAGTCCGGAAGTAGCACTAGCCTGGCGAGCATGTGACGAGTAACGTGTGGTTGATCTCGTTCTGTGGCGCTCGGGGTAACGACATCGTGACCAGACATTATGCAAAACCTGCTTTCTGTAAGAGCCTTTGAGATGAAATCTAGCTGCAATCTAGCTCAACTTTTTGCATCTGAACCAATACTAGCTTCTCATTACTGCATGCTTGACTTATCCCTAATGCTTGCGTTGGGATTGACAAATCACCCCAGGCAGGACCGCAAATCTTTCGGTCGTTTTTATACGCTGCATATTTTGCCAAAGCAAAAATCCCCAGCTGAGCCTGCACTCTGGCACACCCTTTTGTTGGAGGCGTCGTGTAAGATTACAACCACCAACTCGAACAGTGGGATGTCGCCCGCTTAGTCAATTGGTGAGCGAATCAATTCACTCCGCCTTATCGCGCGGGTAGGGCACATCACCTCACACCATCGCATAAAAGACATGGCCGGTACAATGAGAGCACTGCATCCAAACTCATGCCGTACCTCGTTCTCGCGACTCTTCTTGGCGCAGTAGCTTCATTGAACGGCGAGCAGCCGTAGACACGCCGATGCCTGTTTTCAATACGGAAGTTTATTTTCATCCCGCGCGCCAATGACTTGGGGTGCCTTGGAACAAAATTGCGTCATTGCGTCACTTGAACGGTGGCTCGTTTGCAGGACCGAAGGAATGACTATAAGGACTTTTTTTGCTCACGCTTTGCCATGTCGTTTACATAGCTCAGCTCACCTCGCAACCTCGAAGCCAAAGCCCTGTGATTTTTACCCTCTAAATCTCATAATCCAGACGATATTCAAATCAGTAATACAACAACATGTCAAGGTCAAGCACGCCAGTTCATTCCACTGGGCGTGGAGGTTAGTCGTGCCCTTCCAATGATAGCCTTGCGTCTTTCGCAAGAGCGCCAGTTGACTGTCGATGCAGGCGCCGGCAACATTGGCACTGACGACACGATTTACACGGACGGAGGTCTCTTCCGTGAAGGTATCCAAGGCGAATCTCTTGACGGCGAGTTTTCCACTGGTCGCGGTGGAGTTGGCAACATTGGTAAGTCGCCTCGCGTCGGGCCGCAGTCTGACGAGGGTCGGCCTGTCGACATGGTCCCCGAGATCAACCAGCGCAACCCGCAAGATGAGTTCCATACCGGGGTAAGTATAACCATGGAATATGTGTCGGGAACCAGGCTGAACCAATGACAGCGAGGCGGCGCTGGCAACGTCCACAAAGAGAAGCATGGCGGCCATTCCCACTCTCCCGATCGCCAGGGCTTTGGCGACAAGATCAAGCATGTGCTTCATCTCGACAAGAAGAAAGAGCACGAGAGCTCTCCTCTGGCGCATAATGAGCCGGCCAACTAGTCATGATACCCCGGTTCGCGCGAGCCTTGTGGAGGATATGGTAGTAATATGAGCGTTTCGGACATCGATGATACCTCAGGCCGTAGTCTCTGTCCATAAGCCGGTCTTCTTTTTTGTTTCGTTGAATTCTTTAGAGCCGATAAATACCTACACTCATTCAAACATCTTGCAAGGCGCATGTTGGCTTGATTTGCGATGAAGTTTGCAGCGGGTCTGACTAGAATAGTGGGGGTGAAGACTAGCAGCCCGGACCACGTGGGGTAACTTCGCGGTCGCCCAACGCCAAACGCGTCATTGGGCTTAGGAAAATCTACCACTTTTTGCGACTCCAAGAAACTTCATAAACAACACGCCAGGATGGGTTCCAACGCACAAGATGCCGAGGCGCTCGTGCACTCTGACGACCCAAACCACCCAGCGAACCATATTTGCACACTCTGTGCAAAGTTCTACAATTTGGGATGGGTAAAGATCCCCGCCGTCGGGGACGCAAGTGAAGAGGTGCTTTGACTAACGGCTAACATGGGGATTGCGCCAGGTGACAGGCACAGGTGGAGGAACGAGCATACGCCATGAAGACAAGATATACATTGCGCCCAGTGGTGTGCAAAAGGAACTCATGAAGCCTACCGACATGTTCGTCATGGACTTCAACACCAAGGAATACCTGAGAAGACCACAGGTACGAATCACGCATCGTCACGATAAACACGGAGGCTGATTTCATTCGAGGTGCTCAAACCCTCGGCTTGCACGCCCCTCTTCATGGCAGCCTTCGAACGCGGAGCCGGCTGCTGCATCCACACCCACTCGCAATGGGCCGTCCTCGTTACTCTCCTCGTCGAGCGCCAATCCGGCAAGGACGCCTGTTTCGAGATTGAAGAAATTGAGCAGATCAAGGGAATACCAAAGGGCCGGGGGAAGCAGGGCAACCTAGGTTACTACGACCGTCTGCGCATTCCCATTATCGAGAATACCGCACACGAGGAGGATCTGAGGGAGAGCCTGGAAGAGGCCATGGAAAAGTACCCGGATTCTTACGCGATTCTGGTGAGGAGACATGGTATCTATGTTTGGGGTGATAACGTGCACAAGGCCAAGACGCAGTGCGAAAGTATCGATTACATCTTGCAGTTGGCGGTCGAGATGCATAAGTTAGGTTTGCCATGGACAAAGTAAAGTGGTTTATCTGGGCATCTTTACGGCTTGAAAAGAGTAAGAGTATATATCTACCATGCCATCGCTCACTGCCAAGATGCAACCTCGTTCACTACTGTTGATGTTTTTTTACTCTCTCCTCTCCATCCTACTGTGGCGCAGGTTGTAGCACGTGCCGACTGAAGGTGGTCTATTCTGGAAGAACGCAAGGTTCGTCTGGAAACTTTCATGTTACCCGAGATGACGAATGCTAATTAGTAAGTAAGCGCTAACACGAGGATGTTTGAACTACTACGAAGGAGCTCGTGTCCTACCTACAATTCAAGTGCTGGAATTGCTATTTGTATCAAACATAATAATAAGATATAACCATCTTTAACATACCCTTGAAGACTGCTTTGGGAGACAAGTAAGTCTATTTCAAATCTACCGTTGTTATGCTATGGTGCAATTGCTTAGCCAAGCAGCGCAGCTAGGCTAGCAATCTAAAAAATACGGGCTCAGTCATACGGGTTGGTTCCACATGGAGACCGCCTTTTAACGATACTTGTGACATTATCGCTCTTCATTCTATTGTTGATGTATAATTAGAGGTTACATATTACAAATCTCTTCAAAATTTCTAGAGCAATCTAGCAAATCAGGTGCCGTAGGTACGCCTTACCTGCCTAGAGATGTGGGTAGATTTTCTATTATATTCACAAAATCTTACATACGCTACATCGCCTATACGGTATTATAGGCCCGAAGTACATAAGCCTTAGTTGTGCCATGACCTCAAGTTGTTGTGCTAACATCCATGGGCACCCATGTATTTGTGATTTCGATGTGCTGACGCGGCGGCTTTTACCACTTAATAGAGTACACTGTATCGAATGATCGTCCCTGTATATAAATAGGAATATACTTCTTTGTGTCTCCCGTATTTCGACATTGTCTTTTTTCTTGCTCTCTTAAATCAACACTGCCGCCATTAACACCAATGAAGGCTTTCTCCACAATCCTCATCAGTGTGTTTGCACTCATTACAGAACCTATGTTGGTCCTAGCAAAAGATGAACGAGTGAAAGAGTGTCTAGCCTGCCCGTACGTGTACACCGCGACTTTTGCAGTAGAATGTCCCAATGGCAAGAGACCTAGCTGCGAAGTGGTATGCTCAGTTGCCCGGGTCAAGTCAGAAGTGGATGCGTGCTGCGTATGTGTTATCTTAAAACTCATGTTGATGTTGAGGTAGAACTAACATAATTATACAGTATCGGGATCCTTGTTAATTGTCGAGGGAGCTGTAGCTTGTGCTGGTTGCACAAGGAAGATAAAACCCTCGGATCATGGACAGATGAGCGGGAAATGAAGTTCAAAATCCTCAGCCTTGTACATCTAACAGCAAGTGCCATTATTCACTACTTAATCCCCATATTCCGATAGAAGTATACTCTCGGGGAACTTTACTGCGTTGTGGAAGCCGTTGTGTCAGCACGTCGAAATCACTCATAAGAATGAGTAAAAATATTATCAGCGCTTACTGATGTCCTATGTACATAATACCGTATTTTCCTACTTAGTCTAATCTAATGAACATCACTATGTATCCCCTGAGAGCTTTGGCACCGATGTGCGCCCACGTATATAAAGAAGACTATTCCCCTCTGCATTATTACCCGCATCGCTATATTGCCCATTTTTTCCCTCTAAATTCTCTTAAACTAACACAGCCACCATCACAATTATGAAGGCCTTGTCCACCATCCTCATCACTGCCTTGGCCATTTTCATGGGACCCACGCCCGTTCTGGCAGACAGTCCTGATTTTTGCAAAATCTGCCTCACTGTGGAATCTCCGTATTATGCTCAGGCATGTGCCAATGGTTCGATCAGAAAGTGCCCTTTGAATTGCACCCGGGACTTGGTCAAAACTAAGTCTAAGGTGTGCTGCGTATGTATTCTCTCAGAATCGTGTACATGTTAAGGTATGACTAACATGCTTGTACAGCCCACAACACCATGTTAATAGTGGCAAAGAAGATCGGATTGGTGCTTGTTGCATATAGAAGATACAACCCCGAGATGATAGATAGATAAGCTGGAAATGGACTGTGTGGCGTACTGTTATGTCTTTATACTTGGTTCAAAAAGCTATTGGATTTAGCATACTACATGATCTCGCGAAAGAGAGCAGATGTCAGCTGTCGATGACATTGATTTTCTACGTAATTCTTGTTAGTAGCTAAGCTAGTAAGCAAAGTTATGGAACGTGTCAGTCTCAAGCCTGGGCCATATGTCCCTGGTTAGGATTCAGAGATGCTGGGCCGGCTGTCTTCTTCTGTCCTCGCTTTTAGACGCCCTATCGTTGCTTAAGAAATCAGCAAAAGCATCCACCTCCGTACCATGTACTCGGTTTTTGAAAACCTGACAGTTTCATAATCGGCATACTTTCAACGTCTTTCATGACGTCTTAGTAAGTGCCTGACTTGGCTATAAACGTAGCTTGAGATTTCCTCAGAGTAAAACTGGAATCCTTGCTGTAAGAACACCAACGATAATATTTCTAGCAGGATGGCACTCGAAAACGAGAATGTTCAGACCTTCAAAAGAGACACTGTGTTGCGCGGCCATACTTTTCGAGTATTACTGCGCCGAAGCATATGCCGTTTTCACCACTGCTTACGCAGGGGCATATTCTGCAAGATTCTCTTCGCCGTGTTTTCCTTGTGTCACAGACACCGACGGCTTCGGTCAAAATGCATAGAGGCGGAAGAGGGAAGAAGCAGCCGTCTGAAACAGGCGTGCTCAGGTCCAAGTGGTTGGAGAGAGGACTAGCGACATTGGTGACAGGGGGGTCTTAGTGCGGGACAGCAGCCGCGGATGTCCGCCGAAGCGCGACTGGCTCTCAGCTCCATCTGTCCAGTTGGGCCTACTGCTCGCGCTATCCCACCTCGCATCTCTAGATTATTGTACATTACTTTTGTGTCTTCCGTCAATCTTTCCTTTGGGCGTTGAATCTTCGTCTCGCAGTCCGTTGGAGCCTTCGCCGTCGCGGCGCATCGACTTGTTTCAGATCGGCAGCGTCATCATTGGGGGCGCTGTTGCTCAAGGCTGTCAATTGTCGACCCGCCAGTTGTTCTCTCAAGCGTCGCGCCTGCTCTCGACATCACCACACGCGTTTTTTATCGTCGCCTCTATGCATGATGAAATTCCTTAAGGGCATCCTGCTGCCCGCCCTGCTGGCACTAGCATCCACGGTCGCCGCAAAGGACGACCCGCTCGTCGAGACAACACCTTTCAAAAACGAGCTCGTCAACCTCTTGTACTTTGACGATTCTGGAGTCGCCTTGGTACAAGAACTCGACACGGGCAAGATATATCGGTCGCACGATGCCGGCAAGGGCTGGAAACAAGTAAAGGACCTCCAGGGCCTGGGCATACTCAAGAGTCCATTCGACAACAAGGTGGCTGTGGTGCTGAGCGAGAAGAAGCACTGGATTACGTACGACCAGGGAGAAACATGGAGCGGCTTTGAGACGGAGCTGCCGCCCTCGCCCTCGGTACCCGTGGGCTGGCACGCGCTCGACAATAAGAAGATACTGATCAACGAGATTGAAAACTGCTTCACGGCGCCGTGCCTTGGAAGGGTATGCGCAATTCGGCGGGTTTTTCACAAGTTCCGCGGCTAACTCGCCACAGACATACTACACCACCGATGGCTTCAAGACGCAGCCCAAGAAGCTGATCGACGACCGCCTGATGTGCCAATGGGCCAAAGCCTCGGAAAGGTTCCTCCAAGGAATTGACAAGCACGACGATCGCATATTGTGTATCACAAGGGGAAAATACTCGGACAGGTCCAAGGACTTTAGGCTCATGGTGTCGGACGAGTAGGTGGCGACAGGCCAGGCATAATGGCAACAACTGACAGAACACAGCTACTTTAAGAACTCGGAAGAACCCACCATGTCTTCTGGGCGCACGGTGCAAGGCATGGTCAACATGGCCGCCACCAAGGGCTACATTGTTGCCGCTGCCAAAGCCGAACATTCAAGCGAACTCGCCCTCTACGTCACCCAAGACACTGACTCGTGGCACCATGGCCAGTTTGGCGACCACAAGATCGAAGAAGACGCATACACGATTCTTGAATCCACTAACTACAGCATTCAGGTCGATGTCATGACATCCAAATACGTGACCATGGGCAATCTTTACACCAGCAACTCGAACGGAACATACTTTACCAAGAATGTCGAACACACAAACCGCAACGAGAACGGCTACGTCGACTTTGAGAAGATTGCGAATATACAGGGTGTGGTCCTGGTGAACATAGTTGACAACTACAAGGAGGTGGAGAAGTCTGGCCAAAACAAGAAGCTGAAGTCGCGCATCAGTTTTGATGACGGCAGAACTTTTGAGAAACTCAGAGTCAAGGGCAAAGACGATGAACTCCATCTGCACTCAGTTACCAACCTGCACAATAGCGGACGTGTCTTTTCGAGCCCAGCGCCAGGCATCGTCATGGGCGTGGGCAACACGGGCGACAACCTCAACAAGTACAGCGATGGCGACCTATATGTCTCTGATGATGCGGGTCTCACGTGGGAACTTGCACTCGAAGAAGCACACAAGTACGAATTTGGCGACCAAGGTTCGGTCCTGGTGGCCGTATTTGATGAAGGCGACACCGACGAGATCAGGTACTCGTTCAAACATGGAAGAAAGGATACCTGGAAAAAGATCAAACTCGACTACAAGATCCGAGCACGCGAATTGACGACCCTGCCCGACTCGACAAGCCTGAAATTTATGCTGTACGCATCGAAGAAGAAGGATGGTGGTGGCCGGGAGCACGTCATTATCCACCTTGATTTTAGCGACATGCTGAACAAGTGCAAAGACAGCGATTTCGACGATGAATGGTCTGTGCGAAAAGATGCCGCTGGCGATCCAAGCTGTGTCATGGGTCACAAGCAGTTGTTCCGAAGGCGAAAGTGGGATGCCGAATGCTCTGTTGGCGAGGTCTTCAAAGACCCGACTCCAAGCTTCAAGCCGTGCGACTGCGATAAGTTCAGGGACTACGAGTGCGACTTTGGCTTTTCGCCAACCGGAGAAGGCAAAGACAAGAAATGTGAGCCCAGCAATTCTTTCAGCTTGCCAAAGGGTGCTTGCGAAGGCGATGCAAAGACGTACAAGGGTCCTTCTGGTTGGCGGAAGATTCCTGGCAACCAGTGCAAAGGGGAGACGGAGAGGGACAAGGAGGTGGAGCGCCAATGTGACGAGACATCGAAGCGACCACCTCAAAGCAAGGAGATTACGAGTGAGATTACCAGGTTCAAGGGCAGCGAATTCGTCGAGCAGTACTACCTTGAGCGTAACACCCAAGGCGAGAGCACGGGTAATGAACGGAGCAAGGACGAGACAGTCGTCATGCTTACCGATGAGCGTACGGCCTACATCACACACGACCACGGAAAGAAGTGGAAGAAGGCCATTGACGACGAGATTGTCAGAATCTATCCTCACCAGTATGAGAACAACAATGTCTACTTTTTGACTGCGGGCAACAAGGTTTATTACTCGGAAGACCGCGGACTGCACGACAGCATCCATTCCTTCAAGGCACCTGCTGTCCCCAACCAGGAAATGCTGCCGATTATGCAATTCCATCCCAAGCGGAAGGGCTGGATCATCTGGCTGGGCGGAAAGGGATGCGACAAGGCTGGCAGCAAGGAATGCCACACGGTGGCTTATGTTTCGCAAAAGAACGGCGAGGACGACAGTTGGGAGTCGCTTGTGCCGTATGTGAAGAAGTGCGCATTCGTCTGGCGCGAGGCGGGACGGAGTGTCAAGGAAGAGCAAGTCTTTTGCGAACAGCACACAAACGAGGAGTCCAACGCTCCGCTAGAGCTCATTTCCAGCGACGATTGGTTCAAAAAGAAGGACGTCAAGTTCAAGTCGGTGGTGGAGTTTGCAACCATGTCCGAGTTCATCATTGTTGCGACCAAGGCCGAGGACAACACGCTGCACCTCGATGCCAGCCTTGACGCCAATACGTTTGCCGAGGCCAAGTTTCCTCCAAAGTTCTTTGACATCCACCAGACTGCATACACGGTGCTGGACAGTTCTACACATGCAGTGTTCTTGCATGTCACGGTCAACCCGAAGCGAGACCAAGAGTATGGTTCTATCATCAAGAGCAACAGCAACGGCACTTCTTACGTCATGAGTCTGAGCGGTGTCAACAGGAACACTGAAGGCTACGTCGACTTTGAGAAGATGCAGGGTCTAGAGGGTGTTGCTGTTGCGAATGTGGTTGTCAACCTTGGCGAGGTGGACAAGGGCAGCAAGAAGAAGAAGCAGAGTCGCATTACGCACAACGACGGCGCGGACTGGGAGCCTCTCCAAGCCCCACAGAAAGACTCGGACGGCAAGGCGTACCCCTGCGACGTGTCGGACAAGAACAAGTGTAGTCTGCACATTCATGGATACACGGAGCGTGCCGACCCGCGCGAGATGTATTCGTCACCCACGGCGGTGGGCTTGATGCTTGCTGTTGGCAACGTTGGCTCAGAGTTGAGCACCTTTGGTGAGGCCAATACGTTTATGACTACCGACGCAGGCATCACATGGAAGGAGGTCAAGAAGGGCACCTACGCGTGGGAATTTGGCGACCAAGGCTCTGTTATCGTCATTGTCCGTCGCGGCGAAGACACGGACCACGTCTACTACTCTCTTGACAGCGGCGAAGGATGGAATCTGTACAAGTTTTCGGACCGCAAGATGCGTGTGGACGCCATCACGACGGTGCCTAGCGATACGTCGCTCAACTTCCTTCTCTGGGGCAAAGACAGCAAGGAGCTGGTTGCCGTGAACCTGGACTTTTCCGGGCTGCCGGAGTTCAGCAAGGAATGCAAGCTCGACGAACATGATCCTACTCGAGGCGATTACGACCTATGGAGCCCACAGCACCCTCTCCAGCAAGACGAGCCAGAATGCTTGTTTGGGCACGTGGCGCAGTACCACCGCAAGAAGCGAGGTGTCAAGTGCCGCAACGCGCAGCGCATTGATCAGATGCACGACATTGCGCGCAACTGCTCGTGCACGAGGCGTGACTATGAATGGTAAGTCGTTGATGACAGATATGGTATGGCTGGACAATGTACTAATGCTAGTGAACAGTGCATACAACTACGAACGCGACACCAGCGGCGACTGCGTGCTTGTAGCGGGGCTCCAGCTGCCGGACCCATCTGCGGTATGCAAGGACAAGAAGGTCAAGGAGTACTGGGCCAACACACGTTTCCGCAAGATACCGCTATCGACGTGCGAGGGCGGCAACGAGTTCGACAAGACAGGCCAAGTGCATCCATGCCCTGGGTTTGAAGAGGATTTCCAGAAGAAACACGGCATCGGTGGCTTCGCCCTCTTCCTCGCTATCGTGGTGCCGTTTGCCGCGGCGGCGGCAATCGGTTACTATGTGTGGCGCAACTGGGACGGCAAGTTTGGCCGCATCCGGCTCGGTGAGGGCGGCGGCTCGGGTGCTTTTGATAGTGATGCTGTGTGGGTTAAGTGGCCTATTGCTGCTGTTTCGGGCTTTGTTGCTGTGGTATCTGCGCTCCCGCTACTCGCAGGCAGCGTGTGGCGGTGGGCTGCGGGCCGCATGGGGGGCGGTGGTGGAGGCGGTGACTATGGCGGCTACGGCAGGACGTATACTTCTCGCAGCAGCTTTTCCAGAGGCAGAGGCGATTACGCTGTTGTGGACCCTGATGAAGGCGAGTTGCTGGGTGATGACGAGAGTGATGAGGATGTGTAGTAGTTGTATGGGTTTTCCTTTTCTCTTCTCTTCTCTTCTCTTCTCTTCTCTTCTCCTTCTTTCTTTCTTTTTTTTTCTTCTTTTTTTTCTTTCTCTATCTCTTCTATCTTTTTTGTTTTTTTTTTGAAACCTCCTGGTCGGGTATCTGTGTAGGTGAGAAAGAAAGAAATAAAGAAAGAAAGAAGGTGAGAATGAGAGAGAATGAGAGAGAAAGAGAATGAGAGAGAATGAGAGAGAAAGAGAAAAGGAGAGAATGAGTGAGAATGAGAAGGAGAAAAGGAGAGAGAGAGAGAGAGAGAGAGACAGGAAACGGATGTATAAGGGTTTAGAACTTTTTTTATTTTTTTTCCTTTCCTTTCCTTTCTTTATCTTTTGTTTCCCTTTTTGAACCATGTCATGTCGTTGTGACCAACGGGGCTAGCATGTAGAACACGAGGGGAAGGAAGGGGATTGGGGGGGATTGGGGGGGATCGGGACGGCACAATGAGGAAGGAAGGAAGGAAGGAAGGAAAGAGGGGGGGGGGGTGTATTCATGTATTCATGTATTCATGAGATCAATGTAGCATTGTAGCATTGTAACACTGTAACACTGTAACGCTGTAACACTTGTTTTTTTTTGTATGTCATGTCATGTCATGTCATGTAACATCTCTCTCTCTCTCTCTCTCTCTATTTTCCATACGTTTTGTTCCTGTCAATCTTGATCTACTATGCAGAGTCTTTCAACGTCCATGTACCGAGTAAATTGTTGCAACAAAAGTGTGCGGGGAATGCATGATACTTTGTTTCTCTTGGTCTTTGTCTTTGTCTTGTAGGGAGAAAGTTGGATATACATATACATATATATGAGTGATACTTACGACAATTTACCTGGGTAGAACCCAAACTGGAACTAGTAAGTATGGACAAAGTTGGGCGATAAGTCATATATCTGAAGGAGAGAGAGAAAGGATCCAGACCACTGGATTAATGTAGTTAGGTTGAACAGGGGAGAGACTATTGGAAAATCCAAAAGAGGGTTTATTGAATACCCTTAGTCATGATGGTGGTTGGCTTTGTATTTGTATTTGTATTATTATTTTTTTTGGTGGTGGGAAGGGGTGGCTTTCAAGGGTGCGTGGATGGGTAACATGGTGGGCAAGGGTATTTCGTGGTAGTTTGGTTGACTAGCGGCTGGCTCCACTTGAACCGGGGATTGGACGAGTCCAAAAAAAAGAAAGGGAAAAAGGGTTAGTGGTAGGTAGATAGGTAAGTAGGGTGAATCACGAGTGAGGCAGGTTTGGTGGGGAAAGGCGACAAGGTTGTTTTTTTGTTGGGCATGATTGATGGTATGGGGTATGCAGTTGTTGGTGATGCTGATTAATGAGGAATAGCAGAGAAGAGAGAGAGAGAGAGAGAGAGAGAGAGCCAAGACTGTGCATAAACGCAAGAGGGGCAAATACCACGGGGTGGCCTCATGACGAGGCCTTCGGAGACAAGCTCTGGGCGGCGTGGTGCGAGCGGATGAGGCGGAGAGGCTGAGTTGACAAGGCCGAGAGTGGAGTGAGTGGAGTGAGTGGTCTTTGTTCCTTTGTTGTTTCTTTTTTGGCAAAGTCCCCTTGATGGATTGGCTCGGGGGATAAATTAAAGTATTGCCGATCTGAATATAGTGGCGGCAAAGAGGGTTGGGCGGATCCATTGGAGCAAAGGCAAAGGCAGAGGAATGGGTGTGGAGAAGGCCTTGGTTTCAAGCGCCGCTGCGGTTACGGGGCAAGAAAAGGGCCTAGGTGGTGATGTCCGGACTAGTGGGCGGTGACGATGCGGCGCAGATAGATTGCATTGGGCGAAGGATGCGGGTGGTGCGACCAGGGACCCCAAGGCCAGTGTGGCGGGATCTGGCTGGTTGCAGGCATTGAGGCGCGGTGGGGGGGTGGGATGTGAGCCATGTGCGATGCAAAGCGATGGCATATGCCAGTCAGTGCCAGTCTTGTCCCGCTCGTTTATGCCAGGGCGGGCGGTGTTGGTGAAGAGCGTGTGGGCAGCGGGCGTGGTTGTTTATGCACACGGGTGTTTGCCATTCGGCGTGGCTAGGGGGTGATTGGCCGTGAGTGGACGAGGAGCGTTTCTCATGCGTACTATTGCCGCGTCGAAACCAATCTACGGGTAGCACGAGTCGCGCACGCAACGTCAGAGAAGCGGCGGGCGTATAGGCTGGGCCTTGGGGGCGACGTGTGCAGGCACATGGCGAGGCGTACATGTAGCAGCAGCAGCGCCGCAGCCGAGGGCGTCGGGCCAGGCCGTTGCACCGCCAGACGACAGGCGGCCGAGCAGCACGAGCCGAGGGGGTTTGGCTGGTGGCAAGCGTTCGCCTGAGTCCTGTGCTATGCTTGACGCAGATTGAAACAGCTGGGCCGTGGGTGTTTGGTTTTGCGAGGGCCGAGTATCATGGGGGGCGGGCAGGCGGTGTCAGGCCGAACGAGGTGCACAGCGGCCAAAAGGCAGGGCAGGGCAGGGCAATGCAATGCATGCACTGGCGCGCTGTGTGTAATGGCGTGGCGCATGAATCGTACGGTAGGGAGGCGAGATGAGCAGGCGGCCAGAAGGTGAGCAGTCTCGGGGCCTGTCTGCATTGGGCGGGCCTGTCGTCCCCACCGCGTTTCAGCTCTACCTGGACCACGACCACGACCTCCACCACCACGCAGCCTCGACAACGGCATCGCTTGGCCCTGCGCTCCAAACATGTCAACGCGGCACCCTCTTCTTGCTGCGGGGAGGCGCCGCCCCAGATAGACGACGCGGTGGTGCTCTCTTCAGCCTCTGCCTCTTCAGCCTCTCTCTCTCTCTCTCTCTCTCTCGCCGACTACGCGCCCGTGTCTCGACGCCTCGCCCGCCAGGCCCAATCTCCCCACGCGCTCCAATCTCCGGCCCGCTTTGCAGCCTGGCCGGCGGCGGGCCATGAATGCGGAATGGCGTCGTGCAAACTGTCACCCACTGCCAAGCCCGGGCGCGGTTTCAGAAGAGCACGCCTCTACGCTGAGCTTGGTCGCCGTGGCCTGAACGCTGCGACGCGACAAGACTACATCAAGTCATGGCCTCCGCCGCCGTGGCGTCCATCCACTCTCTTCTACACATCGGACTGGGTCCTGCCTTCCTTCCTTCCTGCGTTGCTTGCTTGCTTCCTTCCTTCCTTCCTTCTTTCCTTCCTTCCTTCCCTCCTTCCCTTGATTAAGAGTGCGCCTTCCGTCGCTCTCCTTCACCATTCGCTTCGCTTCGCTTCTCCCTTTGCCACCACTCTCTTTCCCCTACTCTCCTTCACACCCGTGCTGGCACGCCTTGGCCGATACGCCAACCTCCTCAGACTTGCTGCCTGACACACACACGCCTGGCTGTCTTGATGTATGTCCATCCTCCACTCCACACTGCGCCCTTGTGGCTTGTCCCCCGCATCCCATTGCTCTTGCTTTGCTCGCCTGCCCCGCTGTGCCACTCGTCACACACACAGTACCTTTATTGCCCTGCCTCGTCCCCTCTCCACCGCTTCACGGCTCGTTTGTCCACAGCAGAGCTGTCACTGACCTGTCCCCTAGTGCGCCTTCCACATTCATTTCGAGTGATTACCACTGCATCTTGCACATCTTTGCTTCTTCAAGTCCCCCTCACTCTCTTCTCCGGACCGGATCCTTTCTGTAATCACCATGAAGTCCTTCTTCGCCATTGCAGCTGGCCTTTTGGCGGCTTGCTCCCCTGTTTTCGCCACTCCCCAAGGCACCCAAGGCGTCATTGGCCAGTACAAACTCCCTGGCAACCACTCGAGAGAGACCAAGGAGTACATTGTTACTTGGTGGCGCAACGACACTGACGCTCGCCCAATTGAAAGATATCTGGATGCCCTGGAGCTCAACAACGACGGCGACGTGATCCAAGCCCAGTCGAGCGAAGGCGTCCAGCCCAAATGGGTCATTCTCAAGATGTGTGACGACCATGCTGCTCTTTTCCAGACCATGGCTGAGATCAACGTTGTCGAGGAAAAGGCCGAGGTCAAGTCCTTTGTCACTCAGCGCGATGGCTCGCCATGGGGTCTGCAGCGAATCTCCAGCGCTGCCGGCGCCTCTGGATCTCCCCAAGGCCAGGACTTTACCTACACTTTTGACGACCCAAAGCTCGGTGCCAATGTTGACATCTACGTTGTTGACACGGGTGTCCGAACCACGCATGCTGTCTTCACTGGACGTGCCATCCAGGGCTTCACAGCCACTGGTTCATTCACGGATGGAGACGGTCACGGCACCCACGTTGCCGGTACTGCTGCTGGCGCCAAATTCGGTGTCGCCTCAGGCGCCAACGTTATCGAAGTCAAGGTCCTGGGCGACGACGGATCGGGTGCCTCTTCCGACACCATCAAGGGCATGGACTGGGTCATTGCCAGGCACAACAAGCGCAAGACTGAGCCTGGCTTCATTGGCTCCATCATGAGCATGTCTTGGGGTCTTCAGGGCACTGCAAACTCCGTCGACGAGGTCATCGCCGGCGCTTCAGACGCTGGTATCCACGTTTCGGTTGCTGCTGGAAACGACGGCCAGGACGCCTGCGGTAGCACTCCTGCGCATCTCGGTGGATCAAACTCCAACGTCGTCACCGTCGGCTCCGTCAACATCAACAACAAAGTCTCGTCCTTCTCAAACATTGGCAAGTGCGTTGATATCTACGCCCCTGGCGAGCAGATTCTCAGCGCCTGGGCTACTGGCGACAACGTCATCAACTTCCTTTCTGGAACCTCCATGGCTTGCCCTCACACCACTGGTGTCATGGCTTACCTAATGGCTGAAGATCCTGCCGGCCTTGGCCAGAACCCTGCTGCGCTCAAGGCCAAGCTCCTCCAGACTGCCCGCCAGGGTGCCATTTCCGGAAACATGGGTGGAAGTCCAAACCGCCTTCTCAGCAACGGCGTCAATGGCAGCGTCGCCGCGCGTCTTGTCAAGAACTATGTTGTCCCAGACAACAGTGGCCCCAACGGTAGCCCAGCTGCCCGTGCCGGCGCTGTCGTCATGTCCAAGGGCGTGACACTTGACAAGCGCTTCCAGCTTCACTCTCGGGACGTACAGCTTCGTTTCTAAAAAAAAATCCCGGCAATGGAGCTTCACACAATTGTTGGACATTGTTCCGAAAAAAAAAGTTGCCACTGCATCTCTGCCCTGTCTCTTGGCTATCCAAGGAGACTGCCACCTTAATACTTCAATCTACCCTGCATCAGCGTGGAAATGGCCCTTCTGTTTCTCATTTGAATCTGTCACCCAGTGGAACATGTGTCTGGACTTAATTTCGTTGTCAATACTTTTCTTTTTTTCCGCACCTCCTCCTCCACCTCCTAAACTCGTTTGCATTGACCGCCGAGGGCGGGGCACAGGATTTGGAACCGCCATGTACGTATGGCATGACTATTTTCAGCTTGGTCATCAATGCGTCCTTTGAATCGGTCGCGCATATACCTCAGACGTATATACGAGAAATTTGAAAAAAAAATATACATGCATATCAATATCTTGTCTTCTATATTGTTCATGACTATTGTGTAACGCGTTTAGCCCGTTGATAACTATCAAACATTCGGGTAAATGGTTCGGTGGTGTGTTGTTGTTGTTGTTTGTGAAGATCCACCTTCATCTGTGACTTTTTTTTTCAACCCCCCTCCCCCCCCCTTCTCTCTCTCTCTCTCTCTCTCTCTCTCCCTCAAGTTTTGCTCATGCTTACTAATTCAAAACTACTTACTTACTTCACACACACGAGAGCGGGGACACGAGACACATGCCAACCTGCCAACCTGCCAAGCCAAGCAATCAATCAACCAAACCAGCCAAGCCAACCCCATTGTTTTATGTCAGACAGGCAACAGACAGTCAGACAGATGGACAGGCAGGCAGGTAGACAGGCAGGCAGGTAGACAGGCAGGCAGGCAGACAGGCAGGCAGGTAGACAGTAAAAAAAAAATCACAAATGACACAATTCTTTCAAATCTTAACACATCATGTACATGCACACATGGCCATTCAAAGGGGAAATAGAAATAGATATGAAAATGGAATTGTGTGATTGATATAGATCAGTTTATTGTTGATGTTGATGTTGTTTTTGATGTTATTTGTTTGTTGTTGTGGCCAAGACATGCTTCACATACTTACATACATAGCACTACTTGGCAGTGAAAAGAAGGGAGAAAGAGAGAGAGAGAGAGAGAGGTATATTTCTTAGGAAGAAGAAGAAGAAGAAGAAGAAGAACAGGCTTACATACATACATACATACATACATACATACATACATACATACTTGAATGTAAAAAACAGCTCCCACTCGATAATCCCCAGCACGCCTTTCGCCCAATAATGTCGGGTAAGAATAAGCTGGAAAAATTGCAAATTCGAAACAAGCAAGACTCTGTCTCTCTCTACTCCTATAGTACTTCATCACAACCTTATATAACACGCACACACACACACACACACACATATATATATATACATATATATACACACATATATACACATATATATACACACATATATACACATATATATACACACATATATATACATACAATTCAGTCCAGTACGAAGCAGCTTGAAAACCTTTAGTTATTGATTGTTTTTCTTCTTTTCTTCAACGACAAAGCACTCAAAAAAACATGCTAAAACATGTGCTGCCCAATCCCAACCCATTGGCCACTCTACATAAAATACAAAACATTGTCCTCGTGTAATCGCCCACCCCCATTCTTACTCTAGTAGGTACGCTTGAATGGTGGCACAGCCTTGCACTCGGCCTCGTCCAGCGTAACGCCAGTCACGGCCCTGTAGCCGAGCTTGGTCTCACCATGTGGCTTCTTCTGCCACGATAGTGTGTGCTTCATCCATTGCTCGTCGTCACGCTCGGGGAAGTCCTCACGCGCGTGTGCACCTCTCGACTCCTTGCGGTTGGCGGCAGATTCAGCCGTCTGAACAGCGCAAGTAAGCAGGTTCCTTAGCTCAAGCGTCTCGACAAGGTCAGAGTTCCAGATCATGCTGCGGTCCTTGATACCAACGTTGACAAAGTCGGCGTCAACCTCGTGAATCTTCCTAACACCTTCGTCAAGCGACTCTTGAGTTCGGAAAACGGCCACATCAGTTTGCATGACCTTTTGCATCTGTAGGCGGACCTCGGCGGTCGACTTTGAGCCCTCAGATGTACGGATCTTGTCCAGAACGTCGATGGACTCGGCGCCGGCGTCAGCAGATATGGGGTCTGCCTTCTGGCCAGGGCTGAAGTTGTCACGGATGGTGTGGGAGACAGCACGACCAAAGACGACCAGGTCGAGGAGGGAGTTGGCACCAAGACGGTTGGCTCCATGGACAGATACGCAGGCGGCTTCACCGCAAGCGAACAGACCGGGAACAACTTGGTCGTTGCCTTGTGCGTCCTGGGTAAGGACCTCACCAGTGTACTTGGTGGGGATACCACCCATGTTGTAGTGGACGGTAGGAAGGACAGGGATGGGTTGCTTGGTAACATCGACACCGGCGAAAATGGCAGCAGTCTCAGAGATACCAGGGAGGCGCTCGTGGAGAACCTCAGGAGGCAGGTGGCTGAGTTGGAGGTAGATGTGGTCCTTCTCAGGTCCAACACCACGGCCCTCGCGGATTTCCAGAGTCATTGATCGAGAAACAACGTCGCGAGAAGCAAGATCCTTGGCGGTTGGTGCATAGCGCTCCATGAATCGTTCACCCTCAGAGTTCAGGAGGTAGCCACCCTCTCCACGAGATCCCTCAGTAATCAAGCAACCAGCTCCATAGATACCAGTGGGGTGGAACTGGACGAATTCCATGTCCTGGTTGGGCAGGCCTGCACGAGCAACCATGGCCATACCGTCACCAGTGCAAGTGTGAGCCGAAGTGCAGCTGAAGTAGGCACGTCCGTAACCACCAGTGGCCAAGACCGTGTTCTTTGCAATGAAACGGTGGAGGGTTCCGTCCTCCTGGTTGTATGCAACGACACCCTTGCAGACGCCATCTTCCATGATCAAATCGGTAGCGAAAAACTCAATGAAGTACTTGGTGTTGTGGCGCAGAGATTGTCCGTAGAGCGTGTGCAGGAGAGCGTGACCAGTTCTGTCGGCAGCAGCACAGCATCGGTAGGCCTGTCCACCCTTTCCGTACTTCTGCGATTGTCCACCAAAGGCACGCTGGTAACTAGACTCGGTCAGCATACCATGGGAACCCGGAATGCGGGGCACACGCACATCTTGCCGTCGTCGGTTCTTGAGAATGGGCAACCGTAGTTCTCAAGCTCAATGACAGACTGGGGTGCCTCTCTTGTCATGTAGTGGATAGCATCCTGGTCACCAAGCCAATCTGAGCCCTTGACAGTGTCATACATATGCCACCTCCAGTCGTCCTCGTGCATGCTACACGTGTCCGTCAGCCTTCTCATGTCCGCCTATTGCTTGGTGTTTCTACGTACTTTCCAAGAGCTGCATTGATACCACCCTGCGCAGCTACCGTGTGCGATCGAGTAGGGAAAAGCTTGGATATACAGGCCGTGTTGAAGCCAGCTTCAGCGAGACCAAATGCAGCTCGCAGACCAGCGCCACCAGCACCAACGACAATGGCATCGTATTCGTGGTCAATGATGGGATACTTGCTGGAAATGAAGCCTGACGCTTCCTTTGCCCTCAGGTTCTCGGTAGCGATTATGCGTTGCGCGGGTCGGGTTGACGAGAAAGCTCGTGTGGTCGGGCGGAAACTCCTCGCGAGCTATTGCGGTGAACATTAGCCATTGGACCATTGAGCTGTGTTTGAAATATGCAGAGCGTCTAGCAGTGTCGCGCAGGGTTACCGTTGTGGTAGCCTATGCGACCGTATGCCAGAGCCATGTGGGATGTGTGGCACACGCCTCAGTGCGGCGAATGCCGTTCGTTGGCGGGCAGATTGTGGTTGAGGCTCGTCATAGACCTACCTGGCTTGCAAGCTGCGTGCGACGCATCCTGAGACAACTCATGTTGGCGGTAGCCGAAAAGCGAAGAGCAGACGAAGGGGCGAGAGATCCTGGTGGGTTCGAGGTTGGAGGTCGATGATGGCAGTTGCGACCGGCGCTCTACTTACAAACTAAAATCGCCGATCGCTGATTGGATCGGTAAGCCTCGGTTGGATTGGAGGGCAAGTACCTGCCATCCCGGCTTTTCTTCTTGATGCCGCGACCAACACATGCCTCTCTCTGTCTGCCATCCTGTGCATTACACGACACTGTGCTGAGCTGTTGCGCCATGCTGCGCTACATCTGCTACAGAGCCAAAGCAACACAAACCCGTCCTATTGCATAGATTGACCTAATCACCCATTTCTTTGCCTGCATCCACGAACCCACCACCCGCCGCTTACCCACTACTTGAGACGGCCTGAGACAAAGTTGAGGCCAGCTGCTAATAACCAGAGCACATGACCACTGCTATTTCCACAGCTGACTCACGCACCATCCTCTGGCCCGACAGTTGTTGCCGCTGCCTCTTAAGATTTGGGCCCCAATTCGTTGGCGTCATAGACGTTTCCGAATCATCATTTGGCCGCCTCTCCAAACGATTCATTATGCAAAGCTTCTCCGTGCCTTGAAGTTTGAATGGCCGTTATTGCTACCGACACGCGAAACCATCTTCATACTTGACAGGCTCAAGCAAGCTTTCGTCGTTTCTTAATTTATCAAAGAACGTACGGCCTCGGAACGCGGTGGCATGCAAGTGTGCATCTAGGCCTTATCCCGGTCCATTCTTGGTTCGGGGAGCAACATCACCCCATCAGTGCGCATTGTACTACTTACTACGCAGCATCGGCTTCGCCAGCACGACACCCACTGAGCACGCTAATGCAGTGTTTCAAGAATCAACCCAGTAGGCAGGCACACGAACATCACAAGACTCTAGCAAATGGCACGTCGATTGAATTGGGGAATCGTTGAATTTTTGTTCAATCGCTCATGACTGGCATCCATGTTATAGACCTATCCCGTGCGCCAAAGCCCATGAGAAGAAATGCATGCACTCCGCACAACCACCATAACCTCAAGACTCCTAAGACGAAGCCTGGAGGTCCTTCTTGAGGACACCCTCGTACTGCCTCTTCTCCGCCGGTGTCTGGTAAGCACCATGACCGAACTTGGAAGAGGTGTCGATCCACTTGAGCTCGACCTTCTCCAGCGCCCTCCTGCTGGTGTGGGTGAACATGGACTTGCGCAGAGTCATGACGCGCTTCTTGACACCAGGGCAGGCACCCTTGAGGAGGATGAAGTCGTTCTTGACCTCACCGTAGCGGACGAAACCACCCATACTGATACATGTTAGCTTTGCTGCATATTCCTATCTCAAGGTCTTGTGACTTACGGAGTAATGCGCTTCTTGGACACGTCGAAGTCGGTTGAGGCGTTGCCCTCGTCATCGCCCTTACCAATGCGGTAGATCTTGTGGTTGACAGAGGTACGGTGGTGGTATCCGTCCTGACCAGCACGAGCCACAGTCCATTGGACGTGGGCAGGGTGCCAGGCACCGATACAGGCGACCTTACGAAGACCCTTGTGTGTCTTACGCGGGAGCTTCTTGGTGCCCCATCGGGAGGTGACACCGTTGAATCCCTTACCCTTGGTGACGGCGATAACGTCAATCATCTCGTTGTCCTCGAAGATGGAGGTGATTTCAATGGGCTTCTCGAAGAGACCGTGGCCGAACTCGACCTTGTCAGCGACGCTGCCGCCGTTGACCTGGATCTCCATGAGGTGGGCCTTCTTCTGCTGGAGCGGGGTCTTGGAGATCTGGGTGTGGGCGAGGACGCGGACGACGGAGCAGTACTTCTTCATGCGCTCGAGCTCGCGGGTGATGGATTGACCGTTGTTCTCAGAGTGCTTCTTGGCGTACTTGGTGAAAGCCTTCTTCTTGCTCTTGTACCAGTTGCGGTAGAAGCGACGCTTGACCTCGTCGCTCAGGTGCTCGGCCCAGACAGTGGTGAGCGAGCGGAGACCACGGGGAGTCTCAATGTAACCGACGAGACCGACAGCAATCATCTGCGGCCATGTTAGTCCAGCGTCCCAATTGCGTGCGAGCGGGTGTTGCGTACGGGAGGAGTCTCGATGACTGTGCAGGCCTCGACAATCTCCTTCTTGTGCAGCTTCGCGCCGGGACGGTCGAGGTCGCGGACAATCGTCGTCATACCCGCCTTGTAGCCCATGGCGGCCGTCAGGTGAACGGGCTTCTTGGGGTCATCCTTGGGGAAGCTGGTTGTCGCAGTAAGCGGGCTGTTGCAACTTTCGGGCGCCGGCGACAGCATTTACCTCTTGACCTTGCCTCGGTGGCGGGCCGCACGCTTGCGCGGCAAGAATGCCAGAGACCCGTGGCGGGGGGCTTCGAACTTCCTGTGGGACATGGCGAGTTCGATGTGCTGTGGTTAGTTGTTGTCGAAGTTGTCGAAGAAGTTCGACCTAAGAAGCGATCCGATGAATATTGTTGTGGGCGGAGCGAGCGGACGGCGCTAGCCGCAAGCGGCATGGGCTGCTTTCAGTGTCCCGGGCCTTGGCGGTATGGTGGTTTGGGACAGCCCCCCACTAAGCAGTGAATCGAGGTATCAAGGAACACGCCTCTGTCGCTGTACCTGCGCTGTTGTCCCCCTGCGTTGTCGCCCGCCGTCGTCATTTCGCTGCCGAGTCGAGTCTCCCGGCCGCCCACACACACGCCTTCCATCCGCTAGACCCCGCCATTGCCCACACACCCAACAGACACCGCTCCCGCTACATCATCTCTCCCCCATCACCCTCCTCCATCGACGGCGGCGGCGCTATCTCCCCCCTGGTCACTATACGAGCTCGAGAGTTGACGCTCCTGCCCGGCGGACTCTCCTCTGCACCCAACACCGCAAAGCGCCAGCTACACCCGATTGCACGCCGCTCGTGCTCTGCGATCCCTGTCAAGAATCATGGTAGAGGCAGAAGGCAACCCCACGACGTGGAAATTCACCCAGTACGTGCAGCATCTCGTGTCCGCTGTGTAGGCGGGGTGCCTCAGCTCGCCTCTGAGCACGCTTGCGAGTTCGGCCAAAGCGCCGTTGGAACGCCACTGACTGCAAACAGATGCTTCGGCGACAAAGGCGATGTCGAGGACATAACCGAAGGCACGTAGCCCTTCCTTATCATCCTCCCTTGTGTACATGCTCGTAATGCCCTTCTGCAATTGCTGACAGCGAGCGCAGCCGACATCATCTCCACCGTCGAGTTTGACCAGACGGGCAACTACCTGGCAACTGGCGACAAGGGTGGCCGTGTGGTCTTGTTTGAGAGGAACGAGACGGTACGCTTTTCAGATACGACGTCCCCCGCCATTACACCCCCTAACAGGCAGCAGAAAAAAACCTGCGAGTACAAATTCCACACCGAGTTCCAATCGCACGAGCCCGAGTTCGACTACCTCAAATCTCTCGAGATTGAAGAAAAGATCAACAAGATCAAATGGTGCCGCCGGCAAAACGCTTCACACTACCTACTTTCCACAAACGACAAGACAATTAAGTTATGGAAGGTATTTGAGAAGTCGCTCAAGGTTGTGGCAGAGAACAACCTGTCACACGAGTTGACGCCCGGAGGTGGGGTTGCTGGCGGAGGCGGTCCTGTCAGGAACCCAAACGCACAGTTCCGCAGTGCTACCGATCTGAAGCTCCCGCGGCTCACACATCACGATACCGTAGTCGCCGCAGTACCCCGGAAGACGTATGCCAACGCACACGCATACCACATCAATAGCATATCGGTCAACAGCGATGGAGAGACGTTCATCAGTAGCGATGATCTGCGGATCAACCTATGGAACCTCAACATCCAGGACCAGAGCTTCAACATTGTCGACATCAAACCAGCCAACATGGAGGAGCTTACAGAGGTCATCACAGCTGCCGAGTTTCACCCCATCAGCTGCAACTGGTTCATGTATGCAAGCTCCAAGGGAACGATCAAGCTAGCCGACATGCGTGAGAGTGCTCTGTGTGACCAGCACGCCAAGCGTAAGTCGCCCACCATGTCACAATAATTGCTTATTCTAACTAGTGGATCGCAGAATTCGAGCAAGAAGAAGACCCTTCATCCAGGTCCTTCTTCTCGGAAATTATCTCATCCATCTCTGATGTGCGGTTTTCGCATGATGGACGATACATCCTATCTCGCGACTACCTGACTGTCAAGATTTGGGATGTGAACATGGAGAAGACTCCAGTCAAGACGATTCCCATTCATGAGCATCTGCGACCCAGGCTATGCGACACATACGAAAACGACAGTATCTTCGACAAGTTTGAAGTTGTCTTCTCTGGAGATGCCAAGAATGTCATGACCGGCAGCTACAACAACAACTTCATGATATATCCGTCGGACAATGATAAAGACACCGAGGTCGTGTTGCAGGCTGACAAGTCTGCATTCAAAGCTAAGAAGGTGGGAATCCCGACGCCGATGAACTCTTCGACAAGCCCGACAGGCAGCAACGCCGGCAAGAAGGGCGGTTCAAGAGCAGGAAGCCCTGCTGCTGGCGCTGTTGGACAAGGGCAGCGCATGAGGAAAGAGACAGATGCGGACCAGATCGACTTCAACAAGAAGATCCTACATATGAGCTGGCATCCATTCGAGGACAGTATTGCTATAGCAGCAACAAACAATGTAAGCTGCGCGGGCGCGCGTCTCCCAAATCCTAGTGCAGGCTAACAAACGGCAGCTTTTTGTCTTCTCCGCATTGTAACGGCATCCTTCGTTCACGAGCATCGCCAAAGAATTTCGACGAGCGGGACTGTACACTTGTTGAGTTCTTGGTTATCCTTACCCTCTCATCTTCCTTTCAGTTGGCAGCAATCTGCCTGGTGGCGCTAGGATGATAGAACAGGAGCATTTATGGCGAAAGGGCATGGGGACGCACATGATGGATGACGCAATGCGGTAAACGAACATGCAGCCGCTGAGTAGTGTAGATTGCAATACCACGTTAATGACTCTGAGTGGTGCAGAGGAATGACACGAGAAGTCTTAATGAATGAAGTCTGCCGCTGTTTGATGGTGCTGGTCCCTGTGGGAACCTGCTGGGGCGGTTAGATGTGCAATTGATAGCTCCCGCCATGCCACTTGAATTTTACGACGAGTCAGTTGAGCACGTCAAGGCGAAAGCAGATATCATACATAGACCAGCCTAGTCTCGGCAGACGCATTTTCTGGGCCGCGTGTTCTCGAAGATTGCTTAGTTGGGTAAGACGGGGGCAATCCTCGTTAGCGTCCGTGAGGCTCATCTCATCCCGGAATTACACGTTGCGCCTAACAACACCACGCGAATCTGACCGACTACAGCAGACTGCAAATCATGACAAGGCTGTAGACACAACGCTACAAATCCTTCTTCTCTGTGAGTGCGCTCTTCGCAATGCACCCACGGCCTTTGCAAGAAGCATGGACACGTGGGCACCTGCCAGCCACTCGAGCCACATTGTCTAATTATTGCCAATCTTCCCAGTATCTTGGTTTAATCAACCCTACGTCTTGTTCTTCAGGCTTGGTATTTAGAAAATAACCCACTGATCGGTACCTGGCCATCATGGCGGCCATTGCGACGATCGTCAGCAGCTTCTCGCTCATCTTCGGGGGGTGCTGCGCCAATGTAAGGCCGACGCCCTCGCATTGCCTACAAGAGATTAGCCACTGACATTTCCAAGGTGTATTGCCTCGAGGCAATCGTAAAGTAAAAAAAAAACTCCGACTGTTTCGGCCAAAGCAGATACTAATGTCATGACAGACAAGAGCCTGACAGCGGGCTGCTCATTACGCTCTTTCAATTTGTCTTTACTTGCCTATCTACGTTGCACTACCAGTTCGATCCGAATGGCCGCTACTACATGAGAAGCTCGCCAGTGCCTTTCCGGAAGTGGTGCGTCAGCGCAGCTTTGTTCTTCACGGTCAACATGATGAACAACTGGGCATTCGCGTTCAACATATCCGTGCCGGTGCACATCATTCTCAGGAGCTTTGGCAGTGTAACCACCATGGCTGCTGGTTGGCTTCGTGGCAAGAAATATAGCCCTTTGCAGATCTTCTCGGTCGCCATCTTGACGTTGGGCGTCATGGTTTCTGCTTGGGCAGATGCTCAGTCAAAGGTACGATGGTGTGTTTGGTTGCCTTGCTTTTGCAGATGCTGATAATTTTCAGGGCAAGAAATTGGACACGTCAACCTCTGGCATGTCCAATTCTTCGCTCGAGGCTGGGCTCCTGGTCCTACTCATCGCACAGCTGCTTTCAGCGTTCATGGGAGCCTACGTCGAGGACATCTACCGAGACCACGGAAACGACTGGAAGGCGAACCTCTTCTATTCGCATCTGCTGTCTATCCCGTTCTTTGCTGGATTTGCACCGGTTTTGAAGCAGCAATTCAATCGTCTGCAGGCATCGCAGTCGTTCCAAATACCGCCTAAAGTTGCTGCCACGCTCCCGCCAGTGCTCAACCAAGCCCTGGCCTCGACATCGCAGCACGTCGTATATCTCACGGCCAACGCACTGACTCAATTACTGTGCATCACAGGGGTCAGCATGCTCAGTGCAAACACCTCGGCTGTCACCGTCACGATTGTGCTGAACATTAGGAAGCTGGTGAGCTTCTTGCTGAGCATCTGGATATTCGGAAACCACATGGGCGGATTGATGAAGGTTGGCGCTGCGATGGTATTTGGAGCCGGAGCATTGTATGGATGGGAGACTTCGTACCGCATCCCGCAGCAGAGAAAGTCCAAGGCAGAGAAGCAGAAAAAGGGCCAGTGATGCGAGGAGGATATGGTTTCGCGTGACTGCATGTGTAGCGAGAGGGAGAATAGCATGCATGCATGTAACGTGTTTTATCAGTAAGCGGCCCACATCAGTAAGTGGCCCACCCCACCAAACCTGACGCGATACTCTCCACAACCACCACTATGCCGCGACAACAACGCTCTGTACAGACTTCTCGTGAAGGTAGAGTTCTTCTAGCATCTCGCGCGCTTCAAGAAAAACGTGTTGTAAGCCAGCGCCAAGCTGCTATGCTATACGACGCTCCACGAACAACGCTCCGACGACGCCTCCGCGGTACCAAGCCACGATCAGAGACAGCCTCCGTCAATCGCAAGCTATCAGCTGTCGAAGAGCAGTCTCTTGTTCAATGGATCATAGAGCTAGATCGACGAGGCTTTCCGCCCCATATTATCGACGTGCGACGGATGGCAGACGCTCTACTCGC